CGGAATTCGAAATTTCGCATGAAGAGCAGCGTTTCGTGCGTGCGCTACCCGCTGAGATGCGCGATAATTTGGCCGCAGAGTTGCGTCAGAGTAAAGCTTTACATGTCACATTGAAGGAACTCCTACCAAAGCCACTCTACTATCCGGAGTGTGTAATGAAAGCCTATGCCATACTTAGTTTATTGGATAACTTCGATTTCACTTTAAGTCACTTGCTGAAAGAGTCTAAAAAGCATACGGGTGATGTTAAGTCACCGCTGACCATGTGTGTGGAGCGTTTGGTGCTTAAACATGGAGGTGTCGACTCGAAGGTGTCGCAATCTTGTTTGGAGTATTTATTGGAAATTTCACAAGCTTGGAATCCCGATTGTTTGAGGTTAGTGAGACATTTTTATAACCTAAAAATGATATATTAAGTTGGCAGCTTATAGCACCCAGTAGGAAACGTCGGAGACCCTATAAAAAAAAAAATATATATATATATATATATATATGTATATAAATGATCAGCGTGACGAGCTGAATCGATGAGTTCGTCTGAATGTCTGTCCGTCTGTCTGTATATACGCGAACTAATCCCAAAGTTTGTGTGCGATCGATCTTAAATTTTGCTTTTCTTCCGAAGAAGCTGCTTATTTTTTAGGACCGCCGATATCGGACCACTATATCATATAGCTGCCATACAAACTGAACGATCTATATCAAGTTCTTGTATGGAGACTTTTTTTATTTTACAAGATATCTTCACGAAATTTGGTATATATTTTTGTCCAAGGTAATTCTACAATCTTTGAATAATTGTTCAGATCGGACCACTATAGCATATCGTTGCCTTTTAAACTGACCAATCCAAATTAAGATAAAGATCTTTTTATACCATTTTATGCTATAAGAGATCCAATGTGAAGGGTGTTATAGCTGAGTGTAGCCTAAGTTAACGCTTTTATTCAATTTTATCTGTTATGCAATCAAATATACATATTCATATATATGGTATGTACATAAAACGTAAAGAAGTTAACTTTCAACTCTTTCAGATTGAAGGCCGCAAAAATTTTATCACACATAGCTGTACATTTTAATAAAGCTTTGGAGAAGAAAAAACTACGCTTTGTACGTTTGTTTATTGGACTAACGCTGGCGCTGCTCATGGACGATGACTTCGAAATACGCGATTATACAACTAAAATCGTTGTGAACAACATAGCTGACGACATAGGAATGAGTTGAGTATAATAACATTTAAAATATATAAAATAATAATCTCTCTCCCTCTCGTTCTCTTTTTCATTTATTAGAAAGCGTTGTGTCGACTATGGCGCAGCGTCTCTTCCTGCAATCTATTGCCGATCAGCTAGAGGAAATGCGTGTCGATGATAGTTACATAATCGAAATTTTCAAGGCCATCAACGAAACGGTAACATTGGGTATTGGCGACGACGAAGACAGCAATAATTCAACTAACGGCAGTAGCAGCGGCAGCAACAGCAGCGCGTCAGCGTTTTGCGATCTGGAGGTTTTCGATAAAAATGAGGCGAACATCTTTGCCGAACCGCAAAAAGTGATATACGATGCCATTGTTGTATTTAAAAACACTTTTACAACACGACCGAAAGTATTGCGTTATGTGGGCGAGGTCAAGCCACTTTGAATTTAAATTTGCTATATAGTTTTTTTATTAATCTTTGTTTATGAAAATAGTTCAAAACGTTATAGTGTGTATGACGCATATTTAGCTAGACTTGTAGTTAGTTGTTAAGCTAAAAAAAAAAACAAAATGTATATATTTTTCAAGAAAAGGACTTGCAAAAGAACACACAACATAGATAAACAAAAATGTACTGCAGGCAAATATACTTATGCTACATTTTGTTTCTTTGTAGTTGTTTTGAGAGATTTTCGAAAATTCTTGAATATTTTTTTTTTCATTTCGCCGTATTAAATATGAAGTTGCTTATTTATTAAATAGAACAGGCTGAATTTGAAAGCTATGCATTTATTTACTTCCTCACACTTCTATTTCTTATTTATGCGTGAATTCTTTTGCGCTCGTTTTCAAGAGAACGGCGTTAATAGTGCTAGTTTTTAAAAATATTGTATAATTACTCGTTGCTGTCATAATTTACTGTAAGCTTAAAAAATAATGCGTAAATTTTTGTCTGCATGAGTGTGAAAGTATAAGTGAGTATTCAAAAAATAAATTAATATATTATATATATTGAAAAAAGAATTAAATGGAATGAAAAAAATAAAATATATAAATTAAAAAATGAATTTATTCCTTTAGGATTATTTTAAATTAAATAAAAATAAAATTAATTGAAATGATTTGAATTAACTTGAATATAAAAATTACATACAAAAAATAATAACTTAAAATTAAATTAAATAAAAAATACATATGTATTTAAAAGAAATTAAATTAAATTAAAAAAATAAATTAAATTAAAAAAATATACATATGCATACCGAAAAGAAATTAAATTAAATAAAAAAGGATAAATAAAAAATTAAATAAAATGAATTAAAAAAAATTTTAAGTAAATTGAACAGAAAAATGTATAAAATAAAAAAATGCAAGTTAAATAACATAAAAAGTAGATGATTAAAAATAATAAATTATTAAATTAAAAATTAGATTTAAAAAAAGATTTAAAAGAAAGGAAATTCAATTTAATAAAATTTGAATAATTACATTAAATACAAAAATATAAATTACATAAAGAAAATTAAATTAAATAAAATATTAATTGATAATAAATTAAAATTAAATAAAATAAAATATTTATTGATAATTAATTAAATATATTTATCGATAATTAACTAAATTATTTTAAATACGTCCATTTTATTTTATAATATAATAATTGCATAATTGTAGTATTTAATGTACTTTAATATCGTTAATTCCTTTTGAAAAATTTGAATTTTCTTGATGCCGTAATCGATCTCCAGCAGGACCCTCGAAAAAAGGTGGCTGGTGGTGAGAAATATTTTTTTGCATACATTTTAAATCCCATAAGTAAAATAATTTATTATTGCAATAGATGAATGCAGGTAATGATCGAAAATTTAATTTAAAAATAAATTAAATAAAAATGATAAAATAAATAAATTAAATTTAATAAAAAAAATTAAATTGAGTAAAACAAATTAAACTAAATTAAAAAAATTAAATGAAAAAAAAATTAATTAAATAAAACAATTAATTTAATAAAATTTAAATGAAATTAAAAAATTAGTTAAATAAAAAAGCAATGCCCAATTTTTTGTAATTCGAAAACTAAACTACTTTTATAAAAGTATTTTAAAAATTTCGTATTCTAAAAAAGTGCTGAAAAGTTTTTAAAATTGATAAGTTTTTTTGAAAGTCATCTTTTGTTTTTGGTTAATGCAAAACACTTATGAGGAATTAGTATCGCGATAAACGCAGTTTGAAATCTTATGCTCACTTAAGATTGCCTTAAAAGTCGTGGCCGTGAACTTGTGAGATTTTTTGTGCTCCTGATTATTCTATTTATCAATAATTTTTCAATAAAAATAAATTTATGTTATTAAATAATGCTACAAAAATAAAAATAACCAAATTTTTTACTATTTAGCACATTGTTTTATATTTTTTTTCATAATTAGTGTAGTATATATTTCCCCTCATTTTTCATTTTATATGCTTTTACCTCATTTTTTTTATATTTATATTTAATAATTTCCTTGCTTTTCAAGATAATGTTCACCCTCCTAAAATAAATGTACTATGTAGCAACAAGTTGCGAGAGTATAAAAAAGTTAGAGTCAATATTTTTTCAGCGGACTTACGGACAACTTTAATTCTAAATTTAATGCAAATTTTCAAAATCTTTCTTTTCTTGACTTGTCAAATTTTTTGTTTTTCAATTTTAAGGTGAAGTCACTAAAAACAACTTTAACTTTAAAAACAGTTTATGGGGTTATGCTGTATTTTACATATTTAAGTTTTCAAATTTTTAGGTGACGTCACTAAAAATATTTTATGAGTTTTTGTTGTATTTTAAATATTTTAGCTTTATAATTTTTACACAAAGTCCATAACATTTTTTTAAATAAATACAAAATTTATTTTATGACTTCTTCAAATTGAAAACCAAAACCTTTCTGAGCAATTTTTGTGAAATTTTTATTTATTTTAATATATGTATGTATGTACATATAATAATCTTTTGTTGTATTCTCAGTTACTTTTTGATATACAGGTTAAGTTTTGGGCGCACTTCGCAAACATTTTTTAATAAAAAATTTTAAAAGAAAAAAAAACTAAATATTTTAAATTTAAGTTCTCTCTGAATTAGATATGGGTTTTTTTGAAACCTCAATTGTTTGCAATATTTTGGGTAAGTTTTGAAAAAAATATATCTGTAAATATAAATATATAAATACTTTTTTGAATTTGAATAAAGAGATTTTCGTACAGCACAAGTGTTTACGAATTTTGAAATATTTTTTATTAAGTTTAAGGGCAGGTTTTCAACAGCATATCAGTTTTTTTCGGATTCTGAAATATTTTTATATACTTATTTAAAGGTTCGATTTTTAAAGTATTTAGAAAAAAATTTAAAAAAACTTTAAAAACCATATTTTATAAAATTTCAAATAAATTTTCTTTGCACAATGCCATAAAATTTTTTTGAAATATTATGCTAATGTAAAAAATCCATTGGCATGTATGCTGTTACATCAGAGAACGTAAAACAACAATTGTTTTATTAAAATAACATAAATAAAAAAACAACAATTGTTTTAAGTTCTCTGGTTACATAGCTTGGAGTTCATATAACTTTCGTTGTAGCAAAATTTTTCAACTTTTTCACCACATTTTATGGTGTGTTTATTCAGCGCACCACATATTAGCAATATAACATTAGGTGGCCTACTTTTCGGCGCATATATATAAAAAAATTGTGAAAATCTTCGATGAAGGATACAAAAACTGATTTGATAAGAAAAAGATGCAATTTTATTTAATATGTTTACAGAGAAGAAGTAATATGTTACAATGAAAAATTTGAATATATAATAACTGCGAAAATTAACTAGAAGCAGCATTTTTTCAGACAAAAAAAAAACATTTATTAGAATACAATTCAGCTACTTTTCACTTCACTTAAATTGTTTAACTAAATTAGCATAACATTGAATCCATTAAGGTAACGTATACACAAATAATTTTTTCTTATATTTTTATATATATACCAATACAATAGTTGCTATAGTCAAATGACGAAACAGTGCTGCCACTGGCTGCGCATAATCACAGATTTATGCATTCAAACATTTTTTATGGCAAAAATACTGACCACGCATGCGCGAAAGTTGAGACATTTCGATTTTTGACCATACACAAATTTTATATATATACATATGTATGTATTGTAGCTTAAATTTTATTTTACCATGCAACTTATATAATTCTAGGTGGTAAATATAATTTGGGAGAGAAATTAGCATCTCACAATGCATACAAATAAACAATCATATAACTATATATATATATAAACGCTTATCAAGTATCACAATCATTCATTACAATTTTGTAGCCTTTGTGAAATTAAATCGATTTTTTATAATTTTTCTATAAACATATGTACATATATAGTATGAAGCGGATAATGGCAAATTGGAGGGCAAAGCAATATGTAATTCAAATTGAAGATTTTTTATATTGAAAATTTGAAACACAGCGAAAAATGTCGTTGTCAAAATTATTTGTGTGCGAGTTGATAACTCTAAAACTGCGATAGTAAACAAAAATAGCTTAAGTGGACTTTAGCAAAAGTGCTTAGTTTGAGTTAAGCTGCGCAATTTATAAGCAACACGACTTTGTTTGACAGCTCAAATAATGTTTTTAAAAAACTAGCAACAAATTATGTTGGAATAGAGCTGAAAGTTAAGTACAGATTTTATCTAGCAAACAAAAAACACACTTTAGCTAAAGACGACTTATAGGGTTACATGGGTTTCACGGCTTCAAAAAAAAAAAAATTATTGTCTTACTTAATTCTATAACATCTCTAGAATATTGTCCTAAATTCTCAAATTACTGTTATTTAGTAATAGTTTTGGAGATACAGCTTAAACAAGTTGCGCGTTTGAGGTCAGCTATATAGTCACTTAAAACTTTAAGCGCGTTTTTCTCGAAACTGTGTTTTCAGTCGGTTGTCAAGATTTCACACGAACCACTCAACCGATCTAAATGAAATTTTACACAGGTCTGAGATATAATTTACAAGGTCTTGTCGCGGAGCATATTTTTTTGATTAATTACAACTATATAAAAAAACAAAAAACGTCGAGAAATTTTCACCAAAATTTGCATGCTTTTGTAAAAACGTCTGCCAAAAATACAATTTTCACTTTATTTGTTTTTTCCCCGTCTCCGTACCTAGTTAACTAGGTCTTAGTTCAAACACGTATTTTTTTTTATGATCCTGTCAGAAATTCTGCTGTCAACGCGGAAGCACCTTGTTTTAAGAGACTGTCGGAAATGACGTCGTAATGACCGAGTTTTGAATATTTTCCTTTGAAAATTTCACAAAATCTTCATCAAATATGTATCTTTGGAATAATAAAAAGTTTGAATAAAATATTTAATTTTTTATATTAAAAAAAAATTATTGAAAATAGGGCGTTTTTTGTACGACGAAACCCATGTAACCCTTTATGCTATTTTAAGATATAATATAAACACAGCAATACTGATGTATCATTGTCATTAGTATAAAATATTCACTTTAGAAGCTTATAAGGACTCAAGTAATCACTCTTATATAAGAAACACAACACTTTCGTGTTAAGCAAAGCCTAGCTGTGCATTTCACTGGGCGCATACTCGTAACTGTTTATACGCTTCATATTTATCTATATATGTATATATGTAAAGAATTAATTTTAACGAATACAATGTGTGAAAATGAATATCAATGAGAAAATGTGGCAATGCTTATATTTGTGTGTGCGAATTTTTACGATTTGTAGGCCTTTTACTGCTCAGTCCAATGTGCAAATGCCGCCATACCAGTGGCATATGCGTATAAATGCAAACTTCAAATAAAAACAAAACCAAAAACATATCAAAGCAATTTATGCGCAGGCATATTCAATCGGCACTGCCATTATTAGCATTGTTGCTGCAACTAGCGGTCGGCTCGCATTGCTTTGGATCGGCACATTTATCACAGACACGCACTGGCTCATCCCACCCATGCTCGGGCACTGGCTGGCGTTGTTGTGAGCATTTTTCGCAAACCGCTTTGCCACAACGCCGACAGTGATGACGCGGACAGTGGCCAATCGGTGATGGTATATTACATTTGCCGCCGCCATTTGATATATTACTTGTGACACTATCACTCATATTGCCGTTGGCAATATTTTCTTTTGCTTGTGTGTCATGTGTATGTTTTGTGCTTTGGCTGCTGGGGGAGGTGCCACTGGCTTTTGCTATGGCTAGCTCTTCGGCAGTGCCGAAAAGTGTCTGACAAATGTAGCAAGTGGGTGAACTGGCGTCGGATACCCAGTATGAGGGGCGTGCAGTATCCTTGATGATTCCTGTGTGAAAGTTTATATATTTTTTAAATGAAAATATAACTTGTTTTTGTTATAATAGTGCAAACCTTTGGTAAACTCATAGGCGCCCTTTGTTATGTTGCCCAACGGATTGATGATCACCTCACCGATTTGGCGCAGACTTATGTCAGCTTGCTCGGTCGTTGGTTGGCCTGTGATATTATTATTTGGATTTGAATTTGAATTGGAATTGGTATGATTAAATGCTTCGGTTGTATTTGCTGTACAATAAGAAATGTATATATATGTATATAGATGTATTGGTTTTAGAAAATGAAACAATGTGAAATGAAAATAAACTAAATTATTTAAAATACAATTCAATCATAAAACTGGGAATTAGAATGTCTAAACGAAACGCACGGCAAATAAAAACACGAAAACAGGAAAGTTTTAAAAATTGAACTTATATATATGTATGTAGTTTCAAAACTTAAAAATTTCTCGAAAACTAAACGCATTGTTCAGTACGAATTGGAGAGTTTCAAAACTTAGTCACATAATTTATCTAAAGTTGAAGAGTTTCGAAAACTACGTACATTGTTAAGCGCAATTTGGTGAGTTGCGGAATCTTAAGTTGGAGAGTTTCGAAAATTAAACGCATTGTTCAGTACGAATTGGAGAGTTTCAAATCTTAGTAACACAATTTATCTTAAGTTGAAGAGTTTCGAAAACTACGTACATTGTTAAGCGCAATTTTGGAGAGTTGCAAAAATTATACACAAACATAGCCTTGTAAAAAATTGCAATGTTTCGAATCCTGGATTCTAGAAATTTAGACAGTCAAAAGTTTACCTCAAGCTGGTGGGTTTCAAAAATTAAATACCGAGAGAATTAAATGCAGAGTTTCGAAACCTAATTCGAAATCAAATTTCAAAACTTAGACACAGACATAGCTTTGTTAATGTCTGATGATTTTTATGTTAGAAACGTAGTTCAGGTCAATTTGGAGAGTTTCAAAACTAAGCCTTTTGGAGAGTTTGAAAACTTAGAGCTTCAAAACACATGTATAGTTTGTATATTTCAGCTAGATAGTTTAGAATTTACTTTGAAAATACCTTGTATAAGCTATTCTGCGATTACGCTTATTTTGAATACCTATATATAAGGCTCTTGAAATCCGACAATGCATTTTTTCTCTATTTTTGTCTGAAGAGTATAACTTTTAGGCGCCGCTATTATTGGAGAAAGCTACAGTTCTATAATTGAACTGTTACAGACGGCGGAAAGAGATCGGACACTACGAAAGACCCACTTCCATTAAAAAACTTAAGTTTCAGTTTTAAGTTTTTAAAAAACAATGCGTTTAAAATTTCTAATTTGAAAATAATAGTAACTTGAGGCGCATTTTGACGTATTGGTGATGCCTTTTACTTAAACCGTTGCAATCGGAAAACCGAAAGGGTTGATAACTGCACCGGTCTACTAATTAAAGTTAGACAAACACATTTTTCCAGCATTCTAACAACCGATCAAAAAAAGACTTGTATGTATATATATAACGAACTATGTGTAATATATTCTTACCTGGCACTCCATTCGGCTGTTTCTGCAAGAGTGTATAACATATATTACACACACGCACCGGATCTCTCCAGCCACGCGCTGGTACTGGCAACTGATTCATACTGCATGCATGACAAAAACCTTCGCCACAGCAGCGACAGTGATGCTTAAGCAAACCAGTATTTTCGAAAACTTTCTTGCATGCATGACAGCTCTGCAAAAAAAAAAATATACCATATGTTAAGTGTTTCTTTATAAAAATAAATTAATTTACAATAATTTCGCTATTTGGTTTCCAATAACTGGGCGCCACCCAATCCGCTAACCAACCGGTTACGGCATTCGGATGTAGCTTCGGCAGTGCATCGCCGAGCGTAGATACTTTATCCAGCACCATTTGTGCCGAGTGTGTGGGACCTTTTGGCTCCCATGCATGTACAATAATAGATCTGTAAAAGAAGATAGTTACAGTAATAAGTTTTTAACGATATTTAAAAATATACAAAAATTATTAAAATAAAATAAAAACTAAATAAAAATGTGCTTTTAATTTACCTAACGGCTGTCTCCTCCGGCGATTTATTGCCAAACCAATATTGTCGTGATCTGTAAATTTCGCCGCAAGTTGGACAATCGATAACGGCGCCCTTCCATGCATATTTTGCCAGCCCGGACCAGGAGCTGTCACTTCGCGTTTGTGTGCTAAATGTGACGACGTTCTGTGGTGGAAAAGGAAAGGCATTAAAATGTGATTTACATTATGGGAGTATATGCAATATAAAAAAAATAGGTGTCAGCGCAAATGAATCTAAAAAAGGGAATATACGGCTACATAAGAAGTATAGATTTTTCTCGATTTTGAAATAAAATTATATTACACTAAAGGTAACATGACGCAAGCCCATTTATTACTCGTTATAATTAGAATACAGTGAACCGAATAGATGGCAATCCATACATTAATTTTGTGAGAATTTTATGCTACATTTTTTGTTTTTGTTTTTGTGGTGTTGCAATACCTTCCCCATATAGTTTTGGTAAAGCTGTAGAGTTCCTTAACCGAATAAAAATCTAGGTATGTTCTGGTTACTTGGACTTGGACACGAAAATTGCGATAGCGGTACAACAAAACCTCTCGTTAATTTTGGCCGAAAAAATCTAAAATTCTAACGGCTTTTTGTATATGATTTAGGTTAGGTTAAGGAGCTAACAAGAGTTTTGGACAGCTAAAAACGCAAATGTCTTAAATCTTAAAGGAGCTTCTGCTTGATGTTTGTCAAAAATTAAAAATAATTATTTTAAATAATAACAACAAATATCACTCACCATTTTGCCTTTGTTGTAGCATTTCTCACACATATACTTCTTATTGTCATACTGATGCTGATAATTACATTGGTTTTGATTCATATGGGCATCGCCGTCACTCAGATGGCCCATTGAACGTTGACAACGCTGATTGCATGCCTCACAGCGCACTGGGCAAGTGAAAAATTGCTCGGGAAACGGATTTATGGTTTCCTCAATAATTTCACCGGAGAATTTCGTATTGAGCGCATTCATCGCTTTGAACACAACACTGGGATGACGTGGCGAGCGTACGGTGGTATTGGCGATTTCCAATTTGATGGCATCCCTCAGTTTGCTATAATCGGTGGTCAAATGTTTCAATGTTTGTACGCCAATATAGCGCAACGAGCTGAACGCGTTTATTTTATGGTTATGCATGTCGAATTGTTTGCGCAGTTGATCTTCGGCGCTTTCAGCGACAGCTGTAAATGAAGCAAGCAAATGTTGAAATAATGAAACAATATAAAACTAGATTAGTTTTAGTTACTTACAGCTATCAAGCGGATTTGTATGCTGTGTTTCGTGGAAGATGAAGACGGCGGGGCCAAGCGTTTGCGCTGTGCCTGGCACGGGTAGCGATTGTAGTGCTTGCGCGAAATGCAAGCAGAATGCTTCCGATGCAGACCCCAAAAACTCATACATGTCGCTGTGTAAACGCTCGGAGCGTGTGCGATAAATAACGATATCCGACACGGCGAGTATCTGTAATGAAGTTTTGGATAAGTAACATAAATATTAAGTTGTGTAGCGCACTCTAACCTTCAGCAACATGCGCGTGCGCCGATTCTTTTGCTTGGAGGTGCCCAATAGGCCCTCCGTATCCAGACAAAGCACATCCATGTTACGCTGTAAAGCCGCATACACGCCTAACGTGCAGGAACTCTGCTCCGCCGACGTTTTGAACACCTCAGCGCCATCAAAGAACGTGTGATTCATGGTGTGTGACTTGCCATCGCCGGTGTTGCCGAATATGGAGATCACTTTGATTTTTGTATCATCGCTACATTTGAGTCGTTGACGGAAGCGCTCTGCAGTCGCTATGCGTAAATTTTCCTCGGCATCCATGAGCAGAAATGAATGATCTGTGGAGTTATCGGTCAGCTCATATTTGGCAACGGGTGAGCAGCAATCAATTGATGTGAAATCATCGCTTACGGCATTGCTTGGAACTGATGTTGCAACATTCTGTGAAATGAGAAGGAGAAAAGGGGAGAAATTAATGTTAATAAAATATTAAATTAATACCTATGTGTATAGAGAAATATTATACAAACAAGAAATTTGATTTGAGGTTATGTATTATAACGGTTAATACGTAAACGACTCGAATACAGTATATAAGCACAAACTCGAAAAATGAGAGAAAAATTTCGAAATAATTTTTTTAAGAGCATATAATAAAATGATTATTATATAGAACACTTAAATACAGTCTATAAGTAATAAACCAAAAATTTATGTGCGGAGAAATATCGAATGACAATTCGAGTTCGCTCCGGTTATGTAGCTGTAGGAAAAACAGCTAATCGTAGGTATCGGCGATGGAAAAACAATAATAATTACTACTATTGTGAACTTCTCTTTATCACCATCCAAACGACTGACCAAACGATATGTTGTTGATCGCAAGTTGTTTATTGGTTTATATATATGTATGTACATACATATAATTGCGCATAAAAATAATCAAGACTTTATGAGTTTTGTAATGCTTTTTGTTATTCGATACCAAAGGAAGAATTTTCGCAAATTTTGAGATCGCTATGCAGGGCTAATGGATGTCATAAACAAAAAATAAATTAAAAGCTTAGACAGTGCTTCTCACAGTGTAACTGACATCGTAGTTAGATCCAGCAGAATGGTAGTGCGCACTTCCAACTACTGCAACATACCTATTGCCTCCATTTGTGACTCATAGATATAAGTATGTATATAAGGTATGTAGGACATATGAAAGTAATGAACAGTGTTCTTATGCCCTGAACAGCTCAGAAGACAAAGTTGGAGCGATGTCGGTCTGTCTGTTTACACCCGAACTAGTCCCTCATATTTTGAGATATCGATGCTTATTTGACGGAACTGACGATATCGAACCACTATAGCATATAGCTGTCATACAAACTGAACGATTGGAATTAAGTGCTTGTATGGAAAGCTTTTTCATTTGACCAGATATCTTCAATAAATTTTGTATAGATCGTTACGCAAGGCAGTAGTGCAATCTCCAAAGAAATTGTTCAGATCGGACCACTATAGCATATAGCTGCCATAAAAATTAAACGATCGGAATCAAGCGCTTAAATGCACAATTTTTTATTTGTCAAGATATCTTCACGTAATTTGGCATTTATTATTGTCCAAAGTAACGGTATAATCTCCCAACAAATTGTTAAGATCGGGCTACTATAGCATATAGCTGCCATACAAACTGATCGATCAAAATCAATTTTTTATATAAAAACTTTTTTATTTGTAAAGAGTTTTATAGCTTCGGTGCAGCCGTTTTTTGTTGTTTGATTATTAAGTAAGGGATTCTCTAGAAAATTTCATTTACATTTAATTTTTTTTTTATTTTAAAACGCGCTGCAATTTCTCACCCCATCATCCAACCACACAGCTTCCCACATAGTTTCAAACACTAAAATTTGGTTTTAATAGTGTGCAGGCAAATATGATACGCAAAAATATTTTTTTAAGTACACACAGCTTCAGTTTTGCATTACATACATACGCCGCACATCAAAAATGCATATTTATTTGCGCTTACATATATATCCACTTATTAAAAAGTAAAAAAAAAAACTAAAATGGTAGCACGAAATAAAAAAATTATAACACAAATTTTTTCGAAAAATCACAAAACTGAAATTTTGAAATTGATTTGAGCGCTGAGGCTTGCTGTGTGACTCTACTTGGCCGAAAGGCTATTGCTGTCGCTTTGTGGTTGGTTGATTGCAATTTTTTGCTAAAAAAAAAACAATTGAACATATAATAATAAAAAATGCAAAGATGGAGATAAAGCAAAGAACAGCTGAGTAGCGGTAAATAAATAAATAAAATAGCAACAATAAAATCAGTGTGAAATTCAAAAATACACGGAAAGTGATAACGTGAAGAGGGACGGTAAACACTGGAGATAAATGTCGACGGCTACGTCAGACGAAATGCAAGTGCAAAGGCATATCGATAACGAGCACATTGCAGGGATATGTACGTATGCTCAAACATACATACATATGGGTGGCGCACGTTACATGCTACAAAAACAAACCGTAATTACTTTTTTTTTAATCATTACATTTTTTTATTGTATAGCAAATTTTATTTAGTTTTATATAATTAATTATTGATCGCAAATAACCTCTATGCTCAGCCACATATGCGACCCCTAATAAGAAAATTATTAATTGCGGTCTGAAGGGCTGAAGTCGGGATTGCCTCAATTATCGATTTAATGGACTACTTCAATTCATTCAGATTTCTGGGTTTTGTTTTGCACACCTCTTGCATGACGTAAAAAAAGTCTGTGCAGTTAGGTCAGGCCCTTGGGGGCCAGCGGAGAGTGAAGTTTCTTGATATTAATTTGTTTCAAATTTTCGTTGAAGCTCCGTAATAACCCGTGGCTATGTGTGCAGTTGCTCCATCTTGCTGGAACTAAACGCTGTTGATAGGAATACGTCTTCGGCGCAGTTTTGGGTATAAAAACTCATTCAACATCCTAAAATAACCGTGTCCATTGATAGTAACTGTTACACCGTGTTCTTCAAAGAAGTATGTCCCAACAATACACCTTGATGAAGCTGCGCACCAAACAGTGACTCGGTATGGGTGAAGTTCCGTATTGTGGATTATTTCTGGATTTGACTCACTCAATATACGGCAATTTTGCTTGTTCAGAGGCAATTTATCAAGTTAATAATTTGCTGTCAAAATCTTAGCAAATTTTGAGAGTTTAAACGGCTTGTTATTTTAACTTTTTACAGAAACCGGTTAAAGTCAGAATGAATTACTCGTTGTAATAACCGTCTGCTAACTCCATGTGGCGTCGATAAGTTGCGAGTCGAAACTCTTGGATTTGCCTGTATTGATGATGCAAACCATTGTTTCTTGAACACGAACATACGGATTTCGATGGTACAGTCTTCTTGCGATACTTTTAAATTCGACAAACATGTTTACCAACCTCATAATGGTCCATTTACTCGGGGGAGTGTCGCCAAAACCCTGCCTGAATTCCCTTTGGACGGAAATGATGGACTGCAAAGCATGGTCTCGCTGCACTTTCCCAGCCTTCTTTTCGGTAACCTACGCTTTCATTTTTAAAAAATTTAAATAATAACCTGCCAAATAAAAAAAAGTAAGTGGATTACTCACACAGAAAACAAGATTTACGGTTTGTTTTTGTAGCACGATTCGTGCACCACCCTGTATAAAATAAAATCAGTATGAATTTGCATTTGATTAAAAAAGTAATAGAAACAATATTTTTATATGCAAGCATAAAAATTACATTATTTTAAATTAATGTAACTAAAAATTTACAAAAGTTTATGTACCTATAACAGTTGCCGCAGGAAACGCCCCCATATTTTTAACAGAGTACACACAACACATTTATTTATATTTTTGTAATATGTATATATGTACCAACATATATTGCCAAAGGAACCGCTGCAATCATGGAATAAATTATTCAGAGCGGACCACTATATCGTATAGCCGCAATATAAACTGAACGATCAAAATCAAATATAGTATGGAAAGTTTTTTAATTGTGAAGGGTATTATAGCTTCAACTGGCACACAGCTATCATAACAACGTATATTGTTTAATAAGATATAATTAACTGGGCTTTATAATAGTTTGGCATTGATTTTTACTATAAAGAATACCAAGTTTACACATTTTTGTAATAAAATGCATCATTTAAAACTATATTACGCATATGTATCAGTTCATTGTATAAAAGTGATAAGATACTCTTGAAAGTCTTTTACAGAAGTCAATGTACTGCAATGAAGGCTAGCACGTTTTTGTTTTCATTTTATTTTTAGTGCATACGCACATACAAATGTCTGTACATACGCGTGTTAAATACACAAAAGGAGAGGAAGGTGGTGTTGTAGTAAATCTACTTACTTTTTTAATGCATATGTATATAAACGATAAGAAAATTATAAATGAAAACGGAGTGGCTGAAAATTATATTATTTTTTAAGAAACATGACACACTTCCAAAATCAATGCTTTAAATTTATAAGCAGCAAGGAGTCGAATCAAAATGTGTAGATTGCTGTTGTCTGTAAACCGAAATCAACTTTTTCCGTGACCAGTAAATCCAATGTGAATATGTACATATGTATATTTGTACTTGTGTACATACATACGAGTATATCAAGTAAGCATTCAGTCTACCAATCTAGAAATAAAAATATTATGCCCAATTAAATGTCGCGTTTTTTTGCGTTTAACATTTGCTTTCGCGTACATTTATATATTCTAAATATGTATACATATATGTACATATAATTACATTTTTTTTATAATTATCACAAGCGCTAAGGTGATTCATACCTCAATTTGGAAATTTACAAAAAAAAAAAACGAATAAATTAATATAATTGCATACTCTATTGCATATATGTAAATACATACAAAAATACTGTAGAGGCATATAAATGAACATACATACATATGTATTTCTGATCAGCTGTTTTTAACGAGTAGATTTTTATACCCTGAAAGTTGGCAAAAAAGTTTGTAACACTCAGAAGGAAATGATGGAGACCCTATGAAATATATATGTACATACAGTAGCGGACAGTGAAATCCGAACAACCGCTCGGTTTGTATTTGAAGCGCGATTGTAACTGACTAGTGTATTTTACTGCCGAAAAGGTTATTATTTCATATTAATGTGTGCTCGTGCTTCGTTAAAGCTTAAATATGCCGATTTAAAAAAAAAGTCTGAAATGCAAGAGTAATATTTTGATTTTGCGGTAAGAAAATCTGACCATTCGGGAAATTAGTCATAGAGTTGGCTTCAGCAAGTCCTCCATAGGAGAGTTTCTAAAAAATTTCGAAAGAACCAGGTCTCTTAAGAGAAAAACTGGCTCTGGAGTAAAGAAGAAGACAACCTCGAAGGAAGATCGGGTGATAGAACGTATCAGCTTGAGGGATCGCTTCAAAACTGCTGAGGACATTAAAGTGGAGTTATTGAAAAATGTCGGTACCAAAGTTAGCGCAAGAACCGTTCGTCGAAGGCTTCAAGAGGTTGGTTTAAACGCTCGTCGGGCCGCCAAAAAGCCACTTTTAACCTCAAAAATGCGTCAAAACCGTTTACGATGGGCAAAAGAACATCAAAAATGGACTCATCTTGATTGGCGAAATGTTATCTACTCAGATGAGTCCAAATTTAACCTCTTTTGCAGCGACGGTATGTCCTATTATGTCGATTTAGCCATGTCCGTCTGTCTATACGCGCACCCCTGCGGGCAGGGGATAGAATATGCCCGCGGCAAGGCATGCCTGTCGTAAAAGGCGACTAAAAGCCAATATGCACTATGACTGTTATTATATTCTTTGCCCAGTAATATCAGCATAGTATATGGAGTGATAGTGCTATAATACTCAGCTTGAACTGATATTAGAAACACTTTAAATGAAAAAAGCTAATAAAAAGACATTTGAAGTTCAAGCGACAAATGTCACCAGTCATTTGAGTAATGGGGAGCTCAACTGGCAGTAGTTTAGGCTACGCAGTCTGACCGGAGACTTTCCGGTACAACGGGGAGCAGAAAGCCCTTGGACTTCTGTTCAATCTGCTCATTGGGTTCGGCCCTTTGGGGAGTATCGTGGTGGCTGTGGTTTAAACCTAAATGCTGGAAGAACTGAATTTTCAGTTCGAAAAAAGAAGTTACACAAGTAACTGGGTGCCGTACCCGAAAACGGAAGAGGTTTTAGGTCGGCCTCGAATCATACCAAGATGGTAGTGTGGACCCAGACACACTGCCACTGGTATCCAAATAAATACTTGCATAAGCTCGTATTGTTTGGGGCGCTGATCAACGCATTGTATTGATCCGTTGTGTTTTGAACACCGTGAGGTAAGGCCGTCGCCGGCAGGTACTCACGTAAATCTACAACGAAAGTTGTCTATACGCGCACTTGTTGCTCAATTTTTGAGACATCGATCTGAAATTTTGAACACGACGATTTCTCTCCATGATGTTGCTCATTTGTCGGAAACGCAGATATCGCACCACTATAGCATATAGCTGTCATGCAAACTGAACGATTAAAACCCAGTCCGTGTATGCATTCAGGTGTCCTAGAAACTGATAGATCAAATTGTATGGAATTTTTTTTTATTTTTGAAGAGTATTATAGTTTCGATGCAGCCGAACATACATATGCATGTATGTATTTAGTTATTCATATTAAAACTTTGTATTTTATTGTTTTTGAAAAAGCTCGATGACTTCAGTATTTTGCTTTTTTTTTTTTGGTTTATAAAATTTTACATTTTAAACCTTTATTTGTACATTAACCAGCAATTGTTCTGTCATTGCGCAATACGATTTCGTGATTACTAATATACATACTTACAAACAAACAAATTTGTTTAGGTTAAAAAGTACATATGACGAATGTTCATAATAAAGTTAGCTAATAAAAAAGTTATATATAAATATCTATATCGAGACATATAGAAGGAATATGTATGTGTTAGTTGCAACAATAAACTGGAACATGTGTTTGTTTATAAACAAAACTATTTCAACAAAGTCAAAAACATGCTAATTAAACACTACAACATATCACACATACATATATTATGTACAATATGTATGTAGGATTACAAAGAGAAGTGTGTATATACATAAATAGCTTGAGGTAGTCACGTTTTAATCAGCTGTTGGTGTCAGCGTCAAAGCCACATAATGTTATTGGTATTAAAAAATATTTTAGTAAGGTAAAAAATATGCATACACACAAGTATAAACTCATGTGTTTTTGTTGAGTGAAGAGCAAAACTACTAAACCTTATGAAATATTAAGTTAAGTTAGAATTCATGTGGCGTAATTTAGAAACCGATATCTTCAAAAAAATTTCCAAAGAGTGGATTGGAAATCGACAGATTTAAAGAAAATATCAATATAAAAAAAATTCACGTGTTTTTATAGCAATTAATTTTATTTCATTTTTCAAACAATTGATGCAAATAGTTTTGTTTTTGCAAGATAGTGTAAGTCATAAGGTTGAATTTAGAGTCGCATAATTGTAATCTTTATTTCAATGACGCTGCTCAGTCTCAAACTAAGGAGGCCAGTCTATGTTATCAGCGCAGTTGTGTTTTTCATATGCACGACTCGAATGAAGTAGAGTGACACACCTCCTTCCAACATGCGTTATTTTCTTGATTTTTGCATATACGCGTATATTTATATATATACCGTATAAGAAAGTTGTGTTAGTTAAGAATGGCTGAAATTTGGTGGAGAGGCAGCTTAGAACCAGATATCCAATATAGTAGGAGACTCACTTACTATACATATTCGTAAGTATTATATTTGCTAATTCTAAAGAGAATTTTAATAAATCAGTAATACTGTCTAATCTTTTTATTATGGAGATACCTGAACAGTTTCATCATTGGATGTGCCTGGCTTACCGCCCCACAATTTACGCGTTGTTTGTTCTTGCGCCTGATAATTAAACAAAAAAATGTCCTCTATCTCAAAGTACTTAACTAACGTATACAAAGTATGCACCAAAATACATGAACAATAAAAAATCATTAACATACTTAGATTTTTTTTGTATTTCCTAATAAAAAGGAGTTTTATAAAATCCAAAACCTGCTTATTTGTTTCCTCTGAGGCGGACCAGAGTTCGCCGGGTCTTCTAGTATAAATATAAACGTAAATATGTAATGTTATTGCCGCTCTGCGTTATCAGGGCAGCTGTGGTTTTATACTTGGAACACTTATCGTTGAGCTCATAAACACACTATATTTTCATTTCTTAACATTTTTAGGCGATTTTGTGGTTAATTTCTGATACGCAATTCATGTTTTTTAGACATGTGTTTTGCGTTGCGGTTCGCTCATTCTATGGTTTTTTCAAAGTCATTGAGTTACAACTATTGCGAAAATGTGCGCTTGTAATCGAGGCTTAGCGCTATAGACTGAAACTACAAAACTCACCCTGATTCCAGGTGGCGTTTCCAGCGCCTCCATTATGGCCGAATTTGCTCCTAGATGTTTATTAAACATTTAAACCGGTTAGCTAAATCAAACACTGTGAAACACGTTGTCTTTATAATAGTTAAGGTTTTAAACGTAAGATTATAAACTTTTTCACTGCTTCGTTTTTAATTTACATGCAATCTGAAAACTTGCTTTGTCTGGCGTTAATGAAATTCCTCGAATGTCAAGACAAAGGCAACGGAAACGCTTTAGTACCGCCGATTTTAGTTGTTTCCTGTATTTAGCCACGCCTTAAATTGCGTATATCATACAAATAATAGCACATGGACAAATATAGTTTCAACTGCTATTTGTTAAGCATAAATAGTTTTAAATATTAATGAGATATTTGTTTAGATTTTTCACTATAAAGGCAGTTTTTATTTTCGCTATTTGACAAATAATGCAACACCAAGAAGAAAACAAATCAAACAACATTGCAATAATAATGAAACGAAATGAGAAAAGAAATGTCAGTGTTGCTAAGTTTACGGTTGTCAGGTAGAATACAAAAAGCATTACTTACATGGCCAATCAGAACTTTTGCTTCGCTTTGCGTCAGACATTGGTTTTGACAGAAAAGTTCGTTGTATGCTTTTGTGTGAGTACGTTCCCATAGAACTATCGATGAAATTTTAAATGAATTTATTTTTTTGTTTATTTATATATATTTCTTTATTTAAATTACTTAAAACTAGTAAAGGTTTGGTCGCGTAAACGCCATTTTGTAATAAATTAGTAATAACCTTAACACATTTAATATAATAACTGATAAATTTTTTAAATTTTTATTTTGTAATAATATCTTAACTCATCAAATATAATAACTAATAAATAAGTATACTGGTATTTTATTCAATATATACAAACTTAATACACAAAATATATAATATAATATTTATAAAAGTTTAAAATACTTTAAAATAAAAAAGTTTCTAATTCTTATTTCGGCGAATAAGGTACATTTTCTTTAATCTTTGTATACACAGAAATGCAACTCTATATGTCGTCATCTGCTATCTGCTGATATTACTCATGCAAATTTCCGAAACAGTACAAAAAGGAGTAGTGAAACATTTTCAGCTGGTGCATCCTACGGATATCTGTTTCCTTTTAAAATTATCCGGCGATTTCATTAAATTATTCAAAGTAAAAATATACGATTATCTTACAAGTGCTGTTTAAATATTAAAGTGTTTTGTCCATTTTGTAAACAAATTCATTATTATTACCTAAAGTGCTTGTGTGTAGGTAGAAGTGCACAAGGAGCAGCGCTGGCAGACAAACTTTGCAGCTGCTAAAATTAATGAGCGCAAAAACAGAAATCAACAATATACACATTCTTTAAAAATTATATAGAAATAGTTGCGGTAGCTGTACCGGTGGCGCAGCTGTAAACTCTGCAAATACCATTTTCATATAAATTTTGTTTTTTTGTTTACAACTCGGAAGATTTTGCCTGCAAAGAAGCCTTTAGAAAAGTGTCAACTATACATGCCCGGTTTTCACATAAATGAAATGGGTGAAATGGTTTTGGATGCCATCGATGACATCGCAGTGGTTGATGTCTACGATTTAGCAACCGATATTGGTAAGGAATATGAGCGAATTATAGATCGTTACGGCACCGATGCCGTAACTGGTATAATGCCAAAGATCATCAATACGCTCGAGCTGTTGGAAGCATTAGCGACCAAAAATGAGCGCGAAAATGCGATAATACAAGAGTTGCGTGAAAAGATAGCACAACTGGAGAGTGAAAAATCCGAAAAGGCCGAATATCGCAGGCGTTTTGAAAGGGTAAATTCATTACATATTTTATACTTGACAAATTATTAACTTTATATAACCGTTAACAGGAAATGGAGGTGCTTGAAGAGCAATGGCGAACCGAAACCAATGAACTGGTTGAAATGGTACAAACATTACAGGATGAAAACAAGCGGCTGGTTAAACAAACGCAGGATCTGCAATCCTCTTCCGCACACTCTTCCGGCTTGGGCGCTAGTTTGACCGAGAGCATCATTAGCATTACAAATAATGAGTTGAATGCTGCGCTAACCGATACGCAAGTGCTGCAACGCTTAAAGGAACAAATTTACAAACAACGTGACGAGCTGAAAGAAAAGGAGCATGAATTGCAGGAAAAATATGGCGAAATCGAAAATGTAAGTATTGCAAGCAAAGCAAGAGTTTATAATGAGTTCATATTCACTATGTTCAGTGCTAGGCGTCATGAGCTCAGCTGAAAAGTAATACAATGTTTCTTTAGTAGGTTAAGCAACACTTTCCAAATTGTTTCCTAGAAAATGAGTTCAGAAATAGTTAAGACAACTCACACTACACTATGCATGATATAATAAATTAGGTAATTTTCTTAAATTAGCTAATTAATCGATTAAAGACAATTACAGTACACAGTTGATTTACAGGTTTTTATACCCTGAACAGAGGAATTAATTTTGCCGTGAAGTTTGTAACACCCAGAAGGAAACATCGGAGACCCTTAGAATCGATTTAGCCATGTCCGTCCGGCCGTCCGTCTGTCTGTATATACTCGAACTAGTCCCTCAGTTGTTGAGATATCATTCTGAAATTTTGCACTTGTCCTTTTCTTCCCAATAAGCTGCTCATTTGTCGGAAGCGCCGATATTGGACTACTGTAGTATGAAGCTGCCATACAAACTGAGCGATCAAAACTCAGTCTTTGTATGAAAATCTTTTTAATTTGTCCAGATAACTTCAATTTGGAATATATTATTGTTCAAAGCAAACGGTAAAATCTCCGAAGAAATTGTTTACATGGAACCTCTATAGCATATAGCTGCCATATAAACTGACCGGTCAAAATCAAGTTCTCGCATGGAATCTTTTGTATTTTTAAAGGGTATTGTAGTTCCGGTGCAACCGAATTTGACGTTTTTTCTTGTTAATACTTAAGCATAGCAATTTTTGCGGAAATCTAATTACCCCACAGCGAAGTATGCTGATTTTTCCATTATTCAGGTCATCATAAAATGTATTTAACGGTCGTTAACTTTGGCTAATTTAATCAACTCGTTGCCAATTATCTGCGGCTGCCTATGCAGCAACATTGTCGTTGCCTTAACTTGAAAAGTTTTGCAACAACTCAATAGAATTACTTTTTCCCCTACGCATGCATGTATGTGTAGATGTTTATTTTTATGCTTGTTTGCATTTCCCGTGCCTTTTCTCTACCACCACCCACTCCTTTTGCATAACATCCTTTGCAATCGGACTTTTATTAAATTTTTGTTATGTCTTCTTGCTTGCCTTACAGCTACACATACAAATAGATCGTTTGAAATCGTCTGGACGCGATGCACACCGTCGACGCAAAATGTTGCAGTCGCAGGTGAAGACGCTGTGCGAGGAGCGCGCCGACTTTCTCGCCCAACTACAGGACCAATATCGTGACATTAATCAATTACGCAAGCAACTCGGTTTGGCTGAAAAGGAGAATGAGGATTTGGTAAAGTCATGCAGCGACGACCCCAACGATCCGAATCGTCCGCGCTACACAACGCTACAGTTGAAGGAGTTAATTTGTGAACGTGACGAATTAATTACCACTGTTGACAATTTGACCGAAGAGTTGAAAGCACTCAAACCCAGTAATGCCAAAACGACAGCGGCCAGTGGTGGTAGCGGTGGTGGTGGTGATTCAAGTTCGTATGATTATGACGACGAAGATGATGATGTAGATGAGGAATCGCAAGAGGCGCAAGAAGGCGCAGTGTGTGGCACGTGAGTATAAGGCGTATAGTTTTGCGTGTGTGCGATAGTACAGCAGTGATTGTGTGCTGTGTGGGTGTGGTAGTTGTTGCGCTTGAGTGGCGTCAAGTGTCGCTACCTGCATAGCGCTTTACAGTTATTGTATGCATTTAAAAGGTCTCTTCTTTAGATTTTATTATTTCTTTAGCCTTTAGTTTTTCAGTTTTTCTCGCTTTGGCTGTATTGTTTTCTTTGTATGCGCATAAGTGTGTGTTTATAATGTAGCTTTCTTACTTCACCCTTGCTTTATAATTTGTACTTGTATTATATAGTTCTGTGTTTTCATTTATTATTTTTAGGCCACCTGACCATGATGCACCAGTACAAGGACCTCTACCGTACGAGCCAGACGATGCTCCTTGGAAGAAGAGCAGTGAGTCCGGCATACGCAAATTGTTAGTACCTTTACAAAATATGGAATTTTTACTATCAATTTTATTTTATCAATAAGATATTTATTTATTATTATATACATACATAAAAAAGTGAAAAGAAAATTGAAACTCAAAATGTTATAAGCTGACGTCACGATTGCAATCCTTATCTGAAACAAAAAAAAATTATTTTTTCGCTAAATGCTGCTAACGCTAAATTTTATTCGCTAAATTGCGAATGTTCGAAAAAAAATTTTACTATTTATTAAAAACAAAAATGACTATTCTTAAAAACTAGTTATTGAAAAAAATTACAATTAAAAAAAAAACTATTTAATAAAAAAAACAGTATTTACTACTTTACAAAAATTACTATTTATTAAAAAAATAAATATTATTTATTAAAAAAATAAATATTATTTATTGAAAAAAATTTCTATATATTAAAAAAAAATTACTATATTAAAAAAATTACTATTAATTAAAAAAAACTTACTATTTATTATAAAAAAAAATTAATATTGATTATAAAACAGTTTATTGTTTTTATTTATTTTTTTTGTTTGTTTTTAAATATTTTTTAATATTTTTTATTGTTATTTTGTTTTTTGTTTTTTTACTTTTCTGAGTTTTATTTTATAATAATAAAATGTTTTTAGTGTAAATAGTTTTTTAAAACTAGTTAAGCGTTTATAGTTAGTAAAGTAAAGAGTTATACAGAGAAGCCTTAAAATAAATCTGTTAAGTAGAACTTGAGAAATCTGGAAAATTTTTGAAAAAAAACAGTTAAAACAAATGCGTTGAAAGCTTCGAGATGTCGTGTCACTAAAAATCTATATTTGCGAAACTATTAAAAATTTTCAACAATTTAAATTAAACTGGGTTGGAAATTTTTATTACACAATTTTTAGTTAAAAAATTAAATATTTAATTTTCAAGCCTTACTGCTTGAATAATATAATAATATTTTTTTTGTTTTTTAATATTAAAATATTTTAGATGAATTAATATTTTAAAATTGTTATGCTAATTTCCTTACAGCTTCCGCCGCCTGTTCTCCGACACCTCGGATACTTCCAAACGTTCCTTGGCTACGCTATCGAAAATGGCACTCTCCGCCACACCTGGCAATATGGAGGTCAAGTAAATGGTTGTACGTTTTTGTTTGTGTCGAAAGCATTTTGTGCAAAAAGTTGTAACTTTTCGGTTTTAAGGAGAGCAATTTGTTGCAAACATTTTAGCTGGAAATGGTGAACATTCTTCCGTTTGCTGAAGATAACTAATTACACTGCAGAAATATATGTACATGTATAATGTTAATGCATTGATATTATTGTATATTAACACAAAGAAGGACGATAAATTCACAATTTTTTTTAGGTTATGTATTTTTTTTCGAGACTATGTGATGTTTCTGAATGCTAGGTGGTAGCTAAAAAATGTTTAGTATTTATGGTAAACAATGCTATTGAAATTTTATTTTTTAAAAATTTCTTTTCGCACAAAAAAAAAAATGAAAAAAAATGTGATTTCCAACGATTGGGATGAAAAGTATTATATTATTAACATATTTTGTGTTAGATCTTACAGAAATAATATGTGCTTACAAATATTAAGCACAAAGTATGCTTTATAAAAGTTGAAATTATTCATAACTTAAATTTTTTTATTTGCGTTGGCTTTAAATAGCAGCTTTTCCAGCGCTATTTAGCTTACTTGTGCTGTTCTAAGCGCCTCGCAAGCCTTTGTAGTCTTAATGCCTACGAAATTCCATACATTTATCGTCCTTCAATATTTTTACTAAAGCCAAATATGTTTATAAGTGTTTTCTATTTTATTGTATATACAAACATATTTATTTATTGTCTTCTACACAATTTTTCTATTTAGTTTATTAAGCCAAAGCACGTATGTATGTATACCAATACACATGTGTTGCCATGTAATGTGTATGTATGTAATTATTTATTTTTTGCAAGGTGCTATTTTTTTCGAAGGCCCCGAGCACAACAAAAAAAAAATTGAGTAATTAAGTGTAAATTGTGCATGAGTTTAATAATTTATTATAAAAAAATATATATTCTACAAAACGTTGCGTGTAAAGCTTTATTGCAGATTTATGTTAAAAAAAATTATTAAAAATTTAAAAAATACTAAAAGGGCGAGTATTCATAAAAACTATTATACTTATTTATTCAAAATTTGCTTGTTAGTTTGAAAAAATGAAAAACCTATTTTTAAGCAACGAAAATAATATTTATGCATATTTACGTGAAGAAAAATTATTTAAAATTAAAAAAGTGTTTACCTTTTTATGGTATGTTTTTATTAATTTAATATTCGACACATTTTGTAACTGGAACATTTTTTGAAGTACATTTTTTAAAACAAATTTATAACTAAAACGAGTATTCATAAAAAAATCTATTTCGAAAAATTTTTTATGTAAAATTTATCTTCCTTTAGCGAGTTTTTTTTCGAAATATTTTTTATTGGAACCCTATTTTCAATTATGAAAAAATTTTGTTTCTACGAACAACAACGACATTACGTGAGTATTCATAAAACAACTGATTTATCTTTTTATCGGAAATTTTTTAACTGCGTTTATTTTCTTAGAATTTGAAATTAACGAACGATTATTCATAAAAAATGTATTTTTGTATATTCGAAATTTTGTTTTCAAACGAAATTTTTTTCGAATGTTTTAGTTAGAAAAATATTTTATGTATGAATATTGCACATGTTTCTACGAAAATGAAATGAGTATTCATGTAAGATTTAACTATTTTGAATTATTTTTTCTCGAAAATTTAGTTATCCGAAAATTTTGTATTCGAAAAATATTTGTTTTAACGAATATCAAAAACGACATGCGAGTATTTCTCAAAATATTAATTGAAAATATTATTTTTTCCCACAAACACAAGAACAAATCTTTAATAAATTAATTATATAAATTTTAGTATAATAAAATGTATATTTTTAGTTTTTATTGCTTTTTGGTTATTCACTTTTATAATTTATTACATGGCTTTTGTATTACACCCTCGCACTTGAATTACCGAGTTACTAACTATAAAAATGCCTTTAAAGCCTTGATATTTACCTAAATATGATTGAATGGTTTGAAACAGGTCTGTTTCGAAATACAAATCATATTAAATAAAATGTTTTCACTTAAAATAAATGTTTTAATAAATATTTAATTTTAATTTTGGTAAAATCAAGAAATATTTGGATGGTTTGAAATAAGAATGTTCCAAAATATATTTAAAAAAAAAATAATTATACAGAAAATAAATTTATTTAATTTTAATTTACATAGAACATAATTCGGCAATAAAAAAATAAATATTTTAATACTTTGGGCCACCCTAATTTCTTAAAAACTGCATTTATATCGAACAGACCAAATATGTGGCGCTTCCAGTGTTTTATAACGGACATGTATCTATATTTTTTTATTGAAAACATTTCCGACGGCTTCCTGGTCTATTTTTTGTATAACTATATACCAAAACATATGAAAGATAGCAAGAATATTGTAGAAGATACGAAATACTATATTTAAATGTAGTACAAGATTCTCATACTAACTCTTATCCATACAAACATATAATATTTGAGTAGACACATATTGCATGTTTTGCAAAATAAAGTTTAAAAACATTGTTTAATAAAAATAGTAAAAAATATAAAAGTAATATAAAAGCAGTGAGCAAAACTGGTCAGAATTTTAAGGATAAAAGTAAAGAAAAGTTTTCAAATTTGTTCAAAATTGTAATTATTGAGTTTTCAATAAAAAAAATATTTTCGAGCGCGCTTCAAAGTATGCTAAGGCTATTCTAGTAAAATTTTAAGACATTCAGTTGAAATATATATTCTGAACTTTTTTTTTTTCAAAAACCTGAATTTGGTTATATTTTATGTATACAATTTTAAGATTGCTGGTACAGATGCATACTTTTTGGGGTGTCCGGAATTCAAGAATTAATTAAATGAAATGAAATACTTTTTTAATTATATAATGAAAATAAAATGAAAATCATAAAATAAAAGAAAAATGAATAAAATGTAAATCATAAAATAAAAAAAAAATGAATAAAATATAAATTATAAAATAAAAAAAAAATAGTATTATAAATATAATAATAAAAAATAAAAGTTATATAATATAATTTTGAAAATGTCATTGAATAATAAAAAAAATAAATAAAATAACATAAAAAAGGTAAAAGAAAAAAAATAAAACAAAAAAAATTTTAAAACTTGTTTTGACTTTTATCCTTTTATCAGCTGTCCAATAAGCTCATTCAGTCACGCACACTCACATAAATTTCACAACAAATTAGCATATGGATATACATACATATTTCTAAGTATTTTAATCGCAAAACAAAAAAAAAAAAAAATTATAGTGCCTCAGCAGCACATTTTTAGCTACGAGTAACGTTGAGTAGCTGACTAAATATGAAAATCATTTTAATTGAAAAAATAACCAAAATAATATTGATATTAGAAACATACAAAATTTATTGTATTTGTAGTTCTGAGAATGAAACCATGTTCGTTAAGTAGCGCGAGTTGTACGAAAAAAGAAACATAAAAATAAAGAAATACATTTTTAGTACAGTGTTTGGCAAGCAATTAGCAGCACTTGCAATCATTTTAATTTAAATCAGTTATTAATAAGCCGATACTTTGGCTATACTAAGGTTATACTAAAAGACATAGACATCAAAGCATAAAAAAGTAAAGTTATTAATTTTTTTTTTTAATTTTGAAAGTTCCTGCACAAAAAACTGCTTAAGATTTTGAAATACGAAAAATTGCGTAAAATTTTTATAAAAACTAGAAATTTGCTGCAAATTATCGTAAAAAGTCAAGTATTTTTGGAAGAAAGTCGACTGAGCTTTCGTGAGGTTTTTTTGAAATGAATCTTGATTGTATTTTGAGTATAGATTTTGAATTAAGTTAATGTTTGGATTGCCTTTACGAACGCTACGTTTGTGTAGTGAAAAGTTAGTGTAAAAAATAATTAGGAGCTTTCAGAGCTTTTTAAGCTTTTTGAGAATTGATTTTGAAATGTGTTAATTGTTTGCATAACGTTCTATGAAGACTGTGAAGTTTTATTGATAAGTTATCGTAAAAAAATTCGTGTAAGCTTAAGGTGCTTTAAGCTTTTTGGGTTCAAAAAGGTGAAATATATTGAAAATTTGGTATTGTTTAGCTTTGCATTATTTTTGGCTTATACCGAAGTCTTTTAAAGCAGTGCTGGTTTTGAAGAGCTTTTGAGTAAGATTTCTAAGCTTATTCCTTTTTAATTTTGCTTTTTAAAATTAATCAAATTTAAATATTATATATATACGTGCCGTGGTAGTTTGAAATCTGTGAGTTAAAGCTTTTTCAAAAAAGTTTTTTCGCTACAAAAATCAATTTTGTCGCTTATTAATTACAACTATTGAAAAAAGTTACTAATTGCTTGCTCTTCGCTCTACTTTAAAGAAATTAATTTATAAAAACAACTACAAAAATATTGAATTGAAAATTGAAAAGTTAATTAAAAAATGCGATAGGGCATAAATTATTACATATGCATGTTTTTGAAACTAGGAGGTTATTTTAAAAGTGAAAAAATGATACAAAAGAAACGAAGAAATGTTAAATTAAAAATATAAAATTATATAAATTAAAATATGCCACAGCTATTAGCCAATTAATCACAGACATTTCACGCGAATGCACTTATGTATACCAAAAAAAAAATAAAGTTAATTATTGTAGTTTAAAAAAATTAAGAAACATTCGAAATTGTTATTTAATTTGCAAAGTAAAAGCAAACGCTTTATTTTGCTTAAAATACACACGCATTAAAGATAGTTAATTTAAAAAGCTTTCGCCACAATTTTTCAAAATTTCAATATGTGCTTGTAAATTTGTCTAAATATAGCTTGAGCTTTTTCTGCGAATGACAGCCAGTTTTTAGAGAAACACAGTCTGAAGAACCATTTTAAATTTTAATATATAAACAATTTTTAAATTTTAATTTACTATACAGTACTCGTACTATTTGCATATAGTGTACAATTTATACATACACAGTTGCCAACAATAAACACACAAATATACATTTTTTTACATATACAAATGTATGCATATGCCACATCAACCATTCCAAACAAAGTTTTTGGGGTGCTGGAACATATCAAGAAAAATCGGCTAAACTATTGGGTTAAGAGTGAAATATTTACAGAATTATATATACATATATGTAAATATTGTAATTTCAAAACTTTGTTTCTTTCAGATTTATATACACATATGCTTTTATTTTACTCAAAAAATGTGCCAAAGCAATGCACGGAAAACATCACATAAAAGTAAAAAAAATTTAAAGCTCGTGAAAAGCTAAAATCTTTTTATGGTTTCAAAAATTAAATTAACTTAAAAGCATTTTTTCTGTCAGGAGTTTTTTTAAAATTCGTTAAAGCTTTTCAAAGGATTTCAGTTTTGCAAAGCTTTTGAGAGTTTTGGAAATTCTATAGAGAATCTATCATACTACGTACACAAAATATCAAAAAATTAATTTATATTTGTGTTCAAAAGCTCGAACGCCAAGCTTTCAATATAATTTTTGATTTCATAATTTGCTGAAAGGTTGGACTGTTTTGAATTTATTATTGTATTAAAAGCTTCACAAAACAACAAAAAGCCTGCGAAAAGCTCACCTAATCTCTAAAGCTCTTGAACATTTTTATAAACAACACAATGGCTGGTTTTCTGGGAGCTAATGAAATTAACAATTTAATACAGTTTGAAGATAAATGCATGATTTTAATCATTTTTCGGCATTTAATAAAAATATAAATAACTTATGAAATCAAATATTTCTCTTCTCTAGCTTCATAGCAAATTTTATAAAAGCTTTAACGAATTCTTTAGAACTTTTTAAATCATTTGAAAAGGCTTTCGGGAAACTCTCAAGCTTGAAATACAATGAGTGTGAAATTGTATAAGAATCTTCATATTTTATTTTACAGAGCTTTTAAAATATCGAATATTTATACTTTATTTTTTAGCGTTTACAAAAAAAGTGGATCGAGTTTTATCATAAAAATGTATTTCTTATACTTTCTTATTGAATTTCATAGAGCTTTTACAAAATTTTTTGTGTGTGGTGTGTGTTCAAATTTTATACAAATTTTTGTAAATCATGACATATTGATGCATTAATTTCAGACAAATTTCAAAGCAAAATTTCAATGTTTCCATAAAAGCTTTTTTGAAGCTTTTAACAAATTTTAATATTTTACAAACAAATTTTAATCTCTTCTATAAATAGATATCAATATTTTTGATCTGCATTAAGACGTATTTTTACTTTTGTTTTAATTAAACAGAACAGTAGTAAATAAAAGTATTGGGGTTAGTTAAAAATGTTATGTACTCTAAAAAGGTTTAAAAACCCTAAAAATCCAAAAATATAATATAATATAAAATTATTTCTAATACTAATATATGCACATTTGTATGTATTAATGTTTATATGCGCATGTACACAAATCTTTACATAAACACATATGTATAAGTGTTAAATTACGTGCTATTGTTGAGCCGAGTTTTAAAATATTCAAGAAAGTATATAAATTTGTAAGTTTTAAATCGTGCAATGATTGTAAAAGTATATATAGCAAATTTTTTGTATATTATTTATTATTATTTGTGATTTATAAATTTTAATATTAAAAATACTTTTTTTTTTTAATTTTGTATTCTTATATGAATAATATCATATTTATATGTCTTCTAAAACCTTGGCATACAACTTCTCCGTTTTTATTTACTTATAATACATTTTTAATAAACCCGTTCAGAATTGCATGCTAAGTAAATATAGGTGGAGTGAAAAGTGTAAAATGCGTCGTTTAAAGCCACGATTTTGCCCAGAAAAGCTTTCAGAGCCAAATAGTGCCAAATAAAGTAAGTAAAGGGTCAATGAAAGTTTATACGAGGTATATATTATATTTTCAAGTGCATTTGAGAGCTATTTACGAAAATGTGGCCTCGCTCATATCAGCTCTTTTCAAAAGTTCATTAACTCTCACATCCTACAATACTCTTCATTGTGCTTTAGTGACCGTTGAGTAGTACTTTAGCGTCCTTTTGCAATAACATTTCTGACTAAAATTCTCCATATTTTATTTTAAATCTATGCACATACTCATATTTTGAAAATTCTACTAGTTTACATACAAAAAGAAAACTTGAAATGATTGTCAAAATAAACATACATTAAGCATAAAAATATACAAAATTGTTTACAAGTATAAAATAATGAAAAATATCACAATAAATTATAATAAAAATAAATAATTATGTTATAACCAAGAAAATATTAATTTTATTGTAATTTTTTTTAAAAGAAGGAAGCAGCGAAAGTTTCAGAATGAATGTGTAACTCAAGCAAAATCTTCAATCTCCTTCTTAGCTTCTTGGTATACTAGGGATTTATACCAGCAGTGTCCGTGACTGTCAAGTCGATGGTTGTTGTTGTTTCTCCAGAAATTTGTAGGCTATAAATATTGACGGTAACGTGAAATGGCCTTCGTGGAATCAGCCACCCAGAAGGTTGGACGCTCAAAATCCTGCTAAGTTAAAGCTTAAAATGGTAAATTTCCGAGTGAGTTTCTGCAATGACAAAGCTTCTTTCGAAATCTGTAATCTTTCGGAAACGGCTCAAAACTTGTTAAACCCTCCACTCATTAAATTATGTATGTTTCTTCACTATAAATAGTTCATAGAAGAATGATCCTACACAGCTGGTGGACATACTTAAAGACCACAAAGTTGAGAGTATTTGCGCTCGTAGGTGCTCTTTGAGACTTATGTTTAAAAAATGGCTGTAGACTAAAGATAAAGTACTTTAGCCAACGAAGTGAGTGAAACCCGAATAAAGAATAATGAAATTGTTTTGAATTATATTTTAATAAAATTAATCTTATTGAGCCGAAGTTTGGTTGAGAGGGAGAAATATTTATCAGTTTTTGGATATATTTGTATGTGATTGTTGTTTAGATAGGATAACATTACTGTGTCGCTGACACACAGCTTAGAACATTGTCGTAGTACCCGTATATATCTCGATCCAACGCTTTTCAGGAAATTTAGAATCGTCTACACATACAGTGAGATGGACTGGCGCATTATTTAGACCTGCCTCTTCCCTAAATCGTATTACAGGTTATGCTGCAATTCATCTAGGGCTCATAAACGTCTTGAAATGATATTTGTGTGAAAAGTTAGGATTGGAATTTGGGAACAGTCGGTTTTGTAAATTCAAAACAATTTCGGTTATATGCTCTTGATACCTCTGCAGATGCGCAATGGATACGTTATCCGAAATATCGGTTCGGTTATGTGCCAAAGTTGACTAAATTTCCGCACACACGCTGAACCGGCATACATCTGCACTGGCACCTTGTCAGTGCAGGCGTAGTTTGTTTGTTGTATTGGAAGCTGTGAGCGCTTGTGAGGCGTTGGTATTCCTTGTCAATGGTGATTGGTATGGGCATGCGCTATCGGCAGACCGTCGGTATTGTCTTGCAATTAAATGTACGAAGTGAAATGCTGCAGTATGCGTTGCGAAAATTGATTACACATAATGTCGCGCAACAGCCGAAGTATCGCAACGCCAACACTTTATGGCGCGCTCAAGAGTTATGAGAGTTCAAGCAATTAAATGCGCTACGTCTGATCTATTGTCGCTTATTTGAGGCGTTCGGTTGTTTGAAATATCATTTTGGTTAGACAGGATTGATTATGTACAATATAGCAATTTTCGAGTTCACTTGTTATGCCTATTGAACTTTTAGGGCGTTCTAAAGACGGCAAGCCTAGCATTGTATACCCTTTATTAGCAAGACTAGTTTATCTCTGTTGGTGTGCGTGGCATTATTGTTCTTGAGTGCGGAGTTGAGTGCGTAGAAGGTAAGTGCTGGGGTGAAAGAGGCGTTAATTTAGTTGCAAATAAGAAGCCACAAAGAAGCTGAATTACCGACTAAAATTCGGAATAGACGAGCTAGTATAAATATTCGTTCGTAAAATGCGCTGAATAAAGCTGGTAATAAGTTATGCTCCTTTCTCTTAAGTGTATATCAAAAATTTCAACAAATTTTATGCAAATATATACAATAAACCCAATTGATTTCAATAACCAGATAAAGTGTTTTATAAGCAAAATTTATTTAATTTTTAGCTAAAATGTTATAAAAAGTTTTATGTTGGCTGAATAATATAAAATTGTTCCAAATTGATTATAGAAATTATAAAGTTGTAAAGTGCTGTATACAAAATATTATAAATGATCTATTAAAAAAACATGTATTATGATCTAACATCTATTTAAAATAAAGATTAATAATTTAGAGACTGAGCCAAATATCTGCAGGATTAAAACTCAAAGGAGCTGAATAATTTTTGGTTCTGCTGATTAAGTAAACAAAAGAATTATATAACTAATTGTTTAGTAATCAGATTAAATAATTTGTGGTTTGTTAAAATCATATTAAGATTGATTGACAGACAAACTAAATAAAATTCATAAAATCTTAAATAAATTCTTTTTAATCAGCCCCTTAAAAGCAAAGCAATATTGACTTCAATAATGCTGAGTAAATAGTAGAGAAGCCGAACGTAAATTAAATACGGATATTAATACTAATAATGCTAATTAATATTAAAATAAAGTATTATTCTTACTATGGTATATCAAAAGTTGCGTAAATGTTTGCAATTTATTACGAGCTGACTTGACAGCTGAAGAGCTGAATTAGTTCATAATTTATCTCATTGATTTGATTGTATCACAACGCACAATTTAAGACCTGCTGAATACTTATTGAAAGCTGACAATGACTTCAAAAGTGTCGAATTAGTCTATAAATTGTGTAACTGACTTAGTGTTATACTATTACTACTTATATATTGGAGGCGATTAATAACAAAAATAGGACTAAATTTACAGAGAAAAGTCATGACTTTCAACAAATAGTACAATAGTTTAATTTCTTTGTAACTTTCAATGCGTTAAAATTTTACTTGATTGATTGACTAATTAAGTGAATTGATTGCATTTACTTTGGTAGTTGCTGTAATATAAAACATTTCCAACAGTTATCCTTTGAAGTTACAAATAGTCAGTTGTACGTCCAAATGGCTATCGACAAGCGCGCTAAGAAGAAAACTTTTACTATATATCTTTTCGAATTCATAAGAGCTTTCGTGAATTTTGGCTGCATATTCTTCGCATGTCGTAGCTTCACGAAATCTCAACTCATTTACAAGCTTTACACCGGCTTTTGGATCTTTCATATTACATTTGTCTTACTTTACTCACTGCTTTATGAGATACACCTCTACGACATCGACATGGGTGGACTCATGTACAACCTACTTTACATAACTCAAATGCTTTCACATCTTACAATCCTACTCGAATCGTTCTTTATGGAGTCCAAACGTGAGCAAACAACAAAGATTTTCAGGCAGTTCGAAAAGCGTTTCAGTAAAAAATTTGGTCGTAAGCACGCCTATAGCGATTTCAGTTGTCAGAGTTGCATTTCATCAATGCTCAGTGTTGTCGTCGTTATAGTTAGTGCTTCGTTGAAAACATACTCATTGTATATGAGTATATATCAGATGACTCTGAAGAGGACCTTACTAATTTGGCATACATTGCTGAACGCTTTGGCGGTACAATTTCGCATTTTAGAACTTATATTATCCATAACGGTATTGAATGAGTACGCCACTATATTGTGTCGCAAACTCAATGAAATGGGTGAACGAAATATACGTCGTGTCTTCAGCCACTATCTACGCGGTTTGCCGGTATCCAAGGGGTGTATTATACGCGTCATGCCGCAGACGTTGCAGCCCAGCGAGGAAGCTGATGAGCAGAAGCTGCGCGTGTATAAAAAGCTTTATGGCGATATTTATAATATGTTTAAGACAATCAACGAGAGTTATGGCTGGTCCATGTTAGCGTTTATGATAATGTACTTCGTATATTTCATTATAAATTCCTATTGGATAATTTTTGCGGCAATTGCACGATTGAGCGAGCATGTTACGCTTATTAGAAATCTCGGAGTTTTGGTGGTTGTGGTGGCACTGCTCTATATTTTGTGCTGGCAAAGTCAAAATAGTCAGGAACAGGTGAGTGCGGTGATGGGAGTCAGCTGATACGAGAAGAGATCGGCAGATTAATTTTAGGTGTGAAAGAAGACATTTTCTGGTGTTCTCTCTTATATATGTTACAATATAATTTTTGTTGTCTTCATTTTCAGAGTCGCCAGATCGGCTGCATTATGTTTAAACTCGTCAAACCACTGGGCAGTAAAAGCTATAACGATTTGGTTACGGATTTTTCGTTGCAAACTTTACATCAACAGTATATAATTACTGCAAATGAATTCTTCGATTTAAATTTAAATCTTTTGGGCTGTGTAAGTTGTATTTTATTCATTAAACTAAAGCTATTTATAGACGTAGAGAGTAGCCTTTGTGGTAGCGAATTTTCTTGCAATTCCTAGAGTTCGATTTCTGTTATAATGTTTTCTCTTTATTATCTTTCTAAAATTTTTAGATGGTTGCGTCCATCGTCACCTATCTTGTCATACTTATACAATTTATGTTCGCCGAGAATAATAGAGGCAATCGGAATGCGATACTGCGTAGCATGATTAACCCCACAGCGAATGTGCGCAACTGAAACGATTTCGTGAAAATATTAAATTGTACGTACATATGATCAGGTCTACCTATATGTTTTCAAGAGGTTCTATTAACAAAGCTAAAATAATCTATTCAAAAGCTATACTCAGTGTAGTTCTCAAGGGTCGAGAGAAAGTGCCGACCCCGATGCTTTTAATGTTATTCGGTAAGTGGTTAGAATATGGTGTGAGGTTAAGATAATATTGTGTGAGAAAGTATATCTAAGTTTTGACAGACTTTGTCGAGACTTAAGATAGTTATAGTCATTCAAAGATAAATAGTCACATTAAAATAATTTTCTGCGGCGACAGAAAGCTTTTAAGTCTATTATTTGTTCCAAACATCTGTGAATTTTAACGAAATGTAAATGGAAATTACAAAATGGTTTGTCATTTTACCTGGCTTTCTCCTTAAGTGCATAATTATTCCTAATTATTGTTAAATTGACCATTATTTTTATCAATCACCCCACACCGGTTGGACACTGCTTGATGCTGATTGCCTTAAGCACATACAAGTATGTAGGTATATGTTATGCGCTTAATACAAATTATAGCAACAATTATGGAACTGAGTGTGGAGAAATGTCATAAGGTCTACTGAAGACTTTAGCTAGAGAATGTTAATACTTTGCGTAAAGCAAGTTGAACGATCGCAGGCAAGGAGGGATACCACGTAATTATTTCAGATCTATTTTTATTAATCGAGTTTATTTTAAAAACTTTTAAATCAGTATAAATTTATGTGTATTTGTATTTTCACACAAATATTATAATATTGCGTAACTAAGCCCTAAGATATCAGTATTTCTCAATACAAATTAAGCAATATAATAATATGATAAAAATCCTCCGTTGAAACGCCTCTGTCCATGTTGGCATGCCATTGAAGTAACGGCGAGTTCGCGCAGAGACGGGGTGGATCAAAAAATCGAGTTGTGACAAAACGTTGAAGAAAACCAAATGACAACTTTGCCGACAGACATACATACATACGAGCTCGCATACATATTGACGCCGAATTTTGCGCATCGTGGCGGAGTTGACAAAATTGGTTTGAATCGACAATGTCGGTCGGCTATGTTGTCTCGTTTGTCCTTCCTCGGTTTGCTATTGTAAGTTGACTTATGCTCTTTTGAAATACTACGACTACCGATGATTGGACTGGATTTTAATAGCGTTCTTATTAGGTAAAATGGGCTAAATCGAAAAACTATGAAATAATGATAATAAGTAAACATATAAAAGTATTATATGGAGTGTGCTTAGAATATATAGATTATATACAATATATATATACATTTCAAATAATATAATAACTCGCTAATAGGCCATGTTGCCAATTCTCCTTTCTGAAGGGAACATCAGACAAATTCTTCAATTTCTGATTTTTAGCAAATGTTGTGAGGAAGCAGCTTGTGGGGTACATACAAATGCGAGGGGAATGGTAGGATTTTCAGTGATACAAATTGCAAAATTCTAATTTTGCTGATACTTCAATTTTACTGAATGAAATTTAAAAACACAGAAAAAAGAGCGCAGTGCAGATTTATACACGATCGCGCTTGGTTTTGTAGCATGATGAATTTTTTGGCGTTGTAATATGCATTATGTAGAAAATATAGCGCAAGCGTGCTCGAATCTTATTGGTCAATGATGGTGCGTCTACGTTTTTTTTGTCACTTGCGCGAATGTTTGATTTTTTGCGAAAGCATATTGAGGGACCTACATATGTAGATATGTGTACATATATGCAAATATATTTGGATATGCGAATGAAGGAAAGGCAATTTCGAGAATATTCACATTTGAAACAAGTAAAAAATTATAATTTTCACACATTAGAGTAATATGTTCAGATATTGTTTGTGGTGCTGCTTGTATAGCACATCATCTGAATTTACTTTAAATTTAATTTTTTTCTCATTATATAAATGTTCTTCAAAATCTATTATTTCTTTTTGTTATTCTAATTTTCCCTAACACGCATGCCAAAGAACATCTGCGCATACGTACATATATTAGTCGTTCCTTTATAAGGTGGTGACAATTTTCTTGGTTCCTGCTTAGAGTGGTGTAGTTTGTTGAGTTCGATTAACATGAGGGGAAGATATCTTTTTGATGTGGTGTAATTGAACTTTCGAATTTGCGCATTTTCGATGTTCCCTTTTAATAGTTTACATTTTAGCACAGCTAACATTTGTGCTTTCTCTATTTGTTAACATTCTCTGCCAGAACCTCTTCTACTGGATTATATTACAATATATAACATTAAAAGTATTTGGCAGCTGCTTAATCTGTGGTGTTTGGTTTTAAGTTCTGAATTCAATATTAGAATGATCTTCATATAACTGATTTGAAAAATTTAGCAACGGTAATTTATACAGATATGTTTATAATCTATTTTTAAATAAATATTTCATTGCAATACATTTACAGACAATCCACGTCTTCGCCAATTATCTGGTGCTCTTATTACAATTTGTACAAGTATATGCCTCGCCCAAAGTTTAGAAATTTTGACTTCTTGCGGAGGTCGTCCTTTAAGTTCCTGTTGCATTGCTTGTTAGTTTAGACTTGACCGTCATTTTGCTATTTATTTCTTCATACATCAAGAACTGCATTAATATTACCAGATATGTATTGGATAGAGCGAAAAGCTGAAAATAAATGAAGATATCGGGTTAATCATATTCAAATACTTTTTATTATCGAAAGGAAGTATCAATAAAATACAAGTCAATATCCCGAATATAGCCAAATAAGCCTCAGCATTTTGGGGTTAGGAGTTACTAACTTCCAGTATGGTTGATGGTTTGAGTTCCGATTACAGCATATCTAGAGTTGAAGCTAATAGCATTTAACCCGCATTAGGTAATGCTAAAATGTATTTAGATCATGTAAAAATATCTTACAAAACTGCCTCAGTCGTTTGTATGTTACGATGCTGAATGTTTCAATAAAAGTTCGGAGAGTTCGAGTGTTAACAGAGAAAAACTCCACATCCGATGTCATTACTTTTGTTGGATCTCTTTTATTACCAATATATTCGTAAAACATATGAACCACCGCCATCTTAGTTTAACATAAGTAAGCTGAGACGAATGATTAAAAAATGCTAATAAGTGTCATGGTTTCGTTAATGATCTGATGGTAAATACTTGTACAACAGACCCATGAAACGCGATGAATAATTTCAATAGCGCTGGTTGTTTATTTTAAGGTTTTGTCAAAATGGATTGCAGTTTTGTATAGTTTTGGCAAAAAGCAATGTGACAAACATTTGAGAGCAGGTCTTGAGAAAAGTGAGTACTGAGTAAAAGCTCGAAAGTGTAATCTGAAGTGGACTAGACTATGTGGATAACGTTCGAAAACCCACTCTGATAAGAAACAAGTACTAAATTTTCTTTCATAATTTTGATAGGTAAATTGAACAAAAATTTTTAAGCATCTATCTTCAAATAAGTTTTCGAGTTATTTTTAAATCTCAATACTTACATCACCTAGTAAGGGTAAATTCAATCTGAAAAAGCCTTTTACATTTATCATAAATGGTTGATGTAGACATTGTAGTGAGAAAGCGGAGAGGAGATCGTTGTAAGCTTTATTGCCCAGCGGTTTCGCCAACTTGAAGATGAGGCCGCTTATTTGCATATTCTAGAAAAAATAGTTTAAATTATGTTATTCTTAAAGCTTTAAGCACTTACGTGTTGCCTCGCTTTGTCAGCAGTGATCAACAATATCACCGCTAAAGTACTTAACCTCAATATGGTCAGCGCATCATACATGAACTGTCCGACCCGAAAATCACGACTTAAGATTTCAATGCACCAAAAAATGTTGGCTACTACAGTGAAGAATGTCTTAAATAGCAAAACAGTGATGGACCAACCATAGCAATCGCCAACACATTGATACAGCTCGCAGAGCCGTCCTTGTAGCAGACGTAAAGAGTTCAGGTTTTCATATTCCCACAAAGCATAGGGTTGCCACACATCACTTGTGTATTTATGTTTTGGACGATTAGCTTTTACCAGAACCCGCAGCAAACTAGTTAAACTGCGTGCGCGCTCATTTTGACGCTCAATTGTAAGCGAGATTTGTGCATAACGTGCTCGTTCGATTGACATCATTGGCGCTGCGTAGTAAAATACCGGCGACATGTAGTATCTGAAGGCAAGCACAAGCTGAAGGATATCGTATACGAATTGTATGAACGTACAGTAGAATACTTTGAGCCACATTTTTCGCTCTGATGTCGCCGTATTGTCGATATGGTTTCGTAGCAATGCATCCATTTCGATTTCCAGGCGTCGCAGCTGCTGGTAGTGTTTTATCTTACACATGGATTCGACGTAGGTCACTATGTTCGTTAGTATCTTAAAGACAAACAAGACACTGCCGACTATGTGCCCGAGCTTTTCAAAATTTTCCGTGAGTAGTTCATATATAACAGCGTAGCCGGGTTTTGTGAGCCAAACAATCCAGACCAGCCGACAGATGGACGTGAGCCATGCTAGACGGGGCACGGGTTGTAAAAGTAGTAAATACATCATTACTAAATAGTAGTAACGTGCCAAGTTTGCGAAAATATTACGATAGTACATTCTGTCTCGACCATGTGTCAATAACTAGTCCTTGTGGCCAAGTTCTTTATGTTGGTTGCTTTGGGAAGCTTGAATGATTTTGCATAAACAATCAGGAGTACGAACAGAAATCATGAAATCATTATTTTAATCGTCTGCTGAATTGAAGATTATAATCGCCATATTTAGTGACAAATAAATGGAATAATAATTAAATTTCGGCCGCACAATTAGATCACCAAACACTTTGCGTAATTTAAAAGTCAGCCTATTTAAGCGATAAATATACCAACGACTGCGTAGAGATTATATCTAAGAGGTTTTTGGGTTCGGTAGAGTAATAGAGTAAGGGGAGATATGTTATTAGATTAGCGGTAATTGACAGTCTGGGCATCCCTTGCAGCTTTGGTTTTGTAAGCCCTGTGGCTCAATTTGATGAGCATACTCGGTATCGTTATCAAGTCTGTTCATATTATCAATCTATATATTATAAGAACTGAACTTGTCCTATCATAAACTATTGTTAAGTTTTGGAATTTCTCTACATCGAGCGATCTTTCCATAATGATCTAAATACGAGCCTGCCGTCAAGTAGTACAGAAACAGTGTATGGAACTGAGCTTGAGAGAGTAGAGGACCTAAAATATATTATCAACCCCTGGGTCAACTAGAAAGTAGTTGAAATTTAAAAAAAAGCGATTAAACACGGGGTTTATTACTAGCTCTTGGCAATACTAAGAAGTATGCGTGGTGTATGCAAGAAGCTGGAGAGTAGCTCTTATTAAGGAAAAAAATCTTATCGGACGCAAATTGTTAAAGTTGTATAGAAGAAGGTGAGGTCGAAACATTCAAGCATTTTCTCCTCCATTATCCAACTTTTGTAAGACTGAGGTTGAAACATTTTAGCAGTCATACCATCGGCGGTCTGAGAGTCGAAACTAATATTTGCTGCCTCAACGAAATTGTGCTATGCTCAAAACGCTTTGTCGGCTTATTAGTTACCACAACAGTTCTTAGCTGTCAAAGTGAGATCCCTGTAAGGATCACTTTTTAACCTAATATAATGTAACCGAATGGAGAATATTAAAAACAAATTATATTTAATTTAAATCTATTTTATTTCTATTTTTACATTCAAAGTACTTGTGATTAGTTAATTATAAAACTGACAGTTTCAATTTGTCGTCAACTTATCCTCGCCCATGTGGAACTGTATAAGTATTATTAGATATGTTGTTGTAGCGCCAGCGATCTATAAAAAAAGTAAACCCAAGTTATGCATTAGATAAGTACATTTATGTATGTGCTCTCACTGTATAGACTAATGAACAATTGATGTCAAAGAATCCAGCGGCTGAAAAGGCCAACTTTTGATGTAAAAGTTGTAAAGAGAATTGCTCGATCTGCAAAAAAAAATAGAAGCTATTCATTTATCGGATAAAGTGCCAAACAATGAATAGCAAGCCTAAAATGAGGTTTCTTCGGTATATTTAGCTTGCAGTAAGGAGGTGAAGGTAAGGATTTTCTTAACACGGCCGAACTCTTGTCGGATCAAAAGGAAGAGATTATTTTAAAGTTATCAAACGACAATGAAGAAATATACGACCTTGAGGAGAATATTAACTTAGTTTGACGTTGATACGGATTCAGACCGTTCTAAAAAATTCTCATGCTCCAGTCTTTAAAGCATTCGATATCATAGCTAAATTGAAAGGAAATAAGAAGAACTACTACATAATATGACCAATATTACCATGAAATCGATGACGTCGGTGAGGCTATTTGAGAGAGTGAGAAAATATAAGAGAAAGAGGGAAAGAGTGAGAGCTAGAGAGGAGAGCGAGAGAAAATATGAGAGAGAGTGAGAGAAAGGGGAGAAAAGGTGAGGGAGACTGAGAGAGAGAGAGAGAGAGAGTAGGATTAGATAAATATGTTTAAGCTTATTTGAACACGAGCTTATTTGGTAGTCTTTAGCGGTAGTATAAGTTTCATCTCTAAGATAGTTTGTTTTATATGAAATACAATTCTCACAGTACTTCAAAAATTAAACGCGCAGTTGTTTCAAAAAAGATATTCTTAAATTTCTTACTCACCACGGTATTATGATTGTCGTTCCAAATATTGGTTTCGATACGATGAAGACCCAAAGCAATTGCCGTAGTCTTAAATTTTGAGACTAAAATGAGTAAGTGAGATATATAAAATCACTCATGCTCTGTACTCACCCGCTGAACCGTACGCTCACAGAGTAATGCCAACATTAGTACGTTGAAGAGATGCGGTGTGGACCAGGTGAGGCTCCTAGCGATCTCCAAAAAATTTTGCAGTGTTGTTGAATATGTTTTTAAATTCAAAAAGATCCAGTAACAATTTGCGGTGATGGATATAAAGTCATTGCCCACATTTGTCAATATTGAAATACCAAAATCGTAGTTGAGCGTGACCGTCAGCTCCCACAAACGATTGTAAAGATCACGTATGATAAGCAAGCGCTTCATATCTGCATTCTCCATATCATACTGATGTTTCAGGTAATCGGTTATTTCGTAGACTGGTGATGCTTGTGATATGAATTTTATATTTGTATTCGAACTGCCACCCGTATTCTGCTTCGGCTTGCTATTCAACAGGTTCAGTTCATTCATGGCTGTTACTAGTTTATCTAAGCGATGGCGCACTATCATAATAGCGGTAAATATTTGAAAATAACGCACGCCACAAATATAAAATGGCAGCAGATAGAATATCAAATTTATAGAGTAGTTCTGATCATTAGCGAGAAAATGTAGCCACAATTTCAGCGCCTCAGTGCCGAAATATACGAAGATCATAAGGACGCCGCGACGCAAAATTTTTTGGCGTAGGAAACTGAAAGCAAGGAAGTGAAAGCGATGTTTTAAAAAGTGCAGAAGTGGGATAGAAATATTGATAAAGATATGTGAAAGATGGACTGCATTACTTGAGAGCCCAAAATGATAAAAGGAGATCACACATATGGAACGCAATGGGATATATTGCGTGAACGAGCTGGTTATGACCTTTATAGCACAGAAGTGGCTCCCAGGGAAATACGAAAACAACAAATAGCAGAAAGCCCGCAAGCTTGGTACGAAGACCGCTGGACGAAAACCGACTGTATTGCTACGACGTTCTCTGGTAGAAAATCGATATTATATCAAAATTTGTAATGATTCAATAGAGGTTTCGGATTTCTTGTGGAAGCAATATTCTGTTTCAAAAATAATTAGTTCTTTTCAGTTTCTTTTGGCATCTTATAATATCCAGAGAATACTTAATTTAGTCGATATCAAAAAGAAGCAACGGAAGGAAAAGTCACAAGTATAGAGAGAGATAAAGGGATTAAAATCGGCGTTTGTGAATCTATAAAAGCTCCCGAAGCGTAAAATGCTTTTACATTGAGTTTGTTTTATGTAATTGTAATCTAAAGTCTGGATATCGTCAAGACCTCAGCTGAAAAGCGCTGCAGAATCTATCCTATATAGAGTGAGCGGGACTTTTTACAACTCTTTGGTCTGTTCTAAAACGTGAAGCCCCCGATACTCAAAATCAATAAGAACCAAATAGAAAACTTCTCCTGCTTCCACATGTTTCTCACTCACCTATCATTCACGTCCACATTTAGTGAACATTCGAAAATACGATCCATTTCGCTTACTTGCTTTATGAATGAATTGTGATCGTATCGCCGTAGAAATGCCTCCAAAATAGAAACAAAATGCGCCACACGTATGCCCATCAATTTTATATAGTCCAGCGTTTGGCCGACATCATTTTCCGAAATGCGAAAGTAATTACCGTCACTAAAGATGTCAAAAAGTACAACGGCGAACGCGATGAGTAGAGTACAAATGGCATAACTTTCGAGCAGTCGCGAGAGATAAAGTTTGCCAGTTTTACGCTCCGACATCCATTGTGAGAGGGCGCTGAGTTGCATGCACTTATGCAGAGCACCCAGTGACTTTACGAAGTCCATTGGCTGTGTTCTACTGTATAGTTCACGAAACTTTAATACAAATTATTATTTAAATGTCGTAGTAACAACTCTCACTTTGTCGAGCTGGCGAGTTACTGCCGTAAGTAATCATGTAACAAAAGAATTAGAAGCTTGTCTAGAAAATATGACAATATAATTATCATTTTTTTTTTACCGCTTTTAATGGCGGCCTATATAATTACTCTGCCGAAATTGTGATAAAATGCATTGATTGTACTAAGAGGCTTATCGACATGACTAGATAAAAAAGAATGAATTAAATGCTAAAAGACGCAGGCTGCTTCTCTCTCACTGACATAGCCCGACAGAAAGACACATGTTATATTATATAACCATGCATTATAGCTGGAGAAATATTTAAAATTATCCAGATGGGAACCAGGAGGAATCTCTGTAAGCGGCTAAGTTCGGTCAAGAGTCAGATTAGATCAGATCAGAGAGAACACGATGGCCAGCAGTAAATAACTTTAGAACGAAAGCTCTGTTGTTAATAGTTATGGTTAAGAAGTTTCAAACATATTTCAATACTTGGGAACTAGAATTATTAACTACCAACGCCTAACCAAGAATGGTGTATGGAGGATAAAAGAGATGAGCGGCTTATAAAGTAAAGATTCCTATAAAGATTATAAGAGAGTTATTAACAAGGCATCAAGGTTGTCTTGTCTGAATTGAACAGAAAGCTCTGCTTCTGAAGGTTCCATCAGCAAAATTTTTAAATATCAAGTCGGCTGTAAAAGGTACCTCATTTAATATATCCGGAAGATATTTTTTGGATTATTTGAGCAAGACATTATAAGAAAGAGTTTTGCCTCATGAAGGTGTCAACTCTGACAAACACATCTGTTACTAATAAATGACAAGGTTCTGCTTCTGAAGGTTTCCAAATCAAAAATGTGGCTGGTAGATACAGAAAACTTTCAATAGATTAAAGCGTTTTTAAATCTCGACACTACGGGTGTAAACTGAAAATGAATGCGAACTTCAAAGAGCTTCCTTATGAAATAAATTAATCAATCTCTGGGAGACCAGAGTTTCGGCTTAAAATATGAAAAATATTAATACTCTTTAATTCGAGGTTAATCGGATAAGATAACCAAGGGTATCCATATAAATTGTATCAAGATTTATATAGAATACTGGTCTGAAGAGGTCTTAAGCTATTCAAAATATAAAATAGAAAGATTAAAGTACTCAGTTTTGAATACTTCTACTCTTAAAAGACCTCTTCAATTTTGCAGTTTTTCTCAATTTTTTACCAATCAACCGTCGGCAATTTGTCTTCAAGAGTCTTCGAAACACATTATATTAAATGAAAGGGCTTTTACCTTCAGGTCTAAACCATTATATAAAATTAGACACACATGAATGTTCACTTTCAGTTAATCCAATTTAGTTAATATTTAGCAAGTCAATAATGCAAAGTTGCATTAAGTGAGTACACCTAGTAAGAAATCGGAGTAGTCAATGAGTGGATTAACTACTAGTACCAATAAGGCTCTGCTCCAGCGGTAGAAAATAAATAAAATAATCACAAGGCGGCAAAAGGATAAAAAAAGACAATAATATCAAAATATTTTGTAAGTTTCAAGCACCCCGGCCTTGTGGAGCTTCTTCTTCTTTCAATTGTGGTACGTACATTGTAACAAAGCTTATATATGTGTCAGACTTTTTTCGACTAATCCGAATTTATGAAAGTATTTTTTTATATCTATCTATAAATATATATGTTTGGGTGAGGCTTGAAATTACCATCTGTAAAGAAGACGGTATCGAAAATTAATTCGATCCTTTTTGACACCATAATTTTAGAGAGCCATGAAACTCGCTACCCCAAAAAAGGTAAACATGTGAACTTGTAGTGTAAAAATCTTGTCAGAAGTATGATATCATGAATGCTGGCGTTATTTTTTATAACAATTACTACAAGGGAAGAAAATTTGAATGATGATATATATGAACTCTCTATTTTGTTTTATATAATATAATATATAGTCACTTAAATTTTTTTATCTATTCAAGTGACTAAAATACTTCAATTTATTTCGCAAAGCTTTCTTAACCGCTGGGTTTTGATAGCTTTATGAATAGCCTGTTGCATCTGATTGACCAAGTGGTATGTGTGAAAACTTATGGCGATAAATATTAAGCTCATCCATCATTTTTAATCGATTTGCTGGATGCAAGCATTTTAGTACTGCTACCTCACGCTGCACTCTCATAAGCCAATAGGGCAGAAAAACAAAACGACGACTGCTTGAAGAGTGAATATTGTAATAAATAAGAGTCTAAAAGAAACGGCCGTGCCATTTATTGTAGCTGCACAACTCTTGGAAAATAATGTTAGCTCTTAAAGTGTAATGTGCATGAAAGCGTGTCTAAATACCCAGCAGCTATTAGTAGGACTAACCAGCAAGTCCATAAACATTCTAGTGGATAGCCAAGCGGCAATTTATGCTATACACAGCGCCAATACTAACCTTATTGCTTTAGGTTATGCAAGCAGGCAATAACTAGACTTTTAATAGGTAACTCGGTTAATATCATTTGGATACCCTGTCATATAGAAATAGAAGGAAATGAAAAGGCAGACGAAATGTCCCGTTCAGGGGCAGCTGAAAATACAATTCCCCTGAGGCAAGGCCACTTGGCTCCTTCAAGGGTTGCTTGAAGCAATGGACCCTAGAGGAAGACCTCAAGTCTTGGAATACAAGCAACATAGGGCATACCATAAAGTTACTTTGGGGTAGTGTTGATGGTGGATAGATCAAAAAGCTCCTACTTCTAGGCAAAAGGTAGCTTAGTAACATTGTAGAGGTCAGCACCTACCTTTAAGATCCCACCTTAAGAAAATGGGAAAAGTGGATTCGGCGGAATGCAGAGCATGCGCGGAGGATGATCAGACGTTGGAATATTATCTATGCGAATGCGCAGCCTTCAGCCGGATGATACGGGACATTTTCCATGGCTCCCAATGCTCTCACTTAAGAGACATTGGGCAGCTGGGGTCGAAAAAAATCTGTTTTTTTTACCAAATCCACTGAGTTGCTGGATAAGGCTTAATTTGGTTACAACCAGGGAGCCCAATCGGCCTAATGATGGTCTAAGTGCGGCGGAACTCAAAGTGCATCGGAAAACTGAATATGAATGTAAGGTTGATTTCTCAGCCTCAATACTAATTTTTCATAAAAACATCAATCTTTTGCAAGCAGCTTAATTTATTTAGCGGTCTCCATTTTATATAGAGTAGTAAGAGAGTTTTGTGGATGGAATACTGGCGCCATGATTATTACTATTATTATTAATTAATTAGCGGGATATATATGTGGTACAAATATAAAAAGTTTGGTACAGGCTTCACTTATGGTAATTCCTTCATTCCTTTGATTATGTGCAGATTTTCTCTAAATATATAAAAATTGTATTAACACCACCAGATATGAGGCCACAGTTGCTAATATCTGTACGAAAGAACAAAAATTATTTCACGAATATTTTGCTGAAACATTGATTAGGGGCTCACCGCCATTATTAAACGCAAGTCTAATATAAAGAAATTCCTACCGGTCACTACAATGTACTGCAGCTCTAGCTGGGTGGAGAATCGCTGCAATAAAGTGCGATAAGAGCGCACGAACCGCGAAGAACTCATAATTATTAGACGACGCAACCTAGCGGCTAACAAGCGATCCTAAAAGTATGCTTAGAAATTAGTTGTGTGAGAAGATTATGACGTTTGTTTTGTGCTTACCAGTTGCGTGCAATCATGGCATAGATAACAAATATGCCAGATGGTAGCGGTCATTGGCACCAGCCACCAAAAAGCTGGCACATAGTAGGCGGAACTTTCCAGAAACCCTTCATAGCTTAGCAGCGAAAAATAGAGCGCACAACCATAGTCCAAGATATAACAGGTTATTATGACTAAGAGTGACCAGCCGGCAAATTCATTGAGCAACTCAAATGCCTTGTAGAGTAAGTCGTAGATATCCTTAATGGCCAACAGATATGCCAACGTTTGCATTTTTTCGTAGTTAATATCCAACAGTTGTTGGCTTGGCGCTGTACGGTATGCAACAAGCTGTTGCAATTTCATGCAAAGGCACTCCAAATAATTTCGCAACACACACACATAAATACATAACTGTATGATACGTAAACGAATGATAATGTTATACCAAATGGCGTGCCAATAGTACCCCAAATGTTGTAATTGCATAAAATGATACACCGCAACTACGAAGCAGATGAGCGATAGCCAAAGCAGATATTTCAAGTGCCAACGTACACGCGACGCCCAACAATCCAATGTAATGTCCCCTCGCAGCCGTAGCTTTAGTGAGAACTCGATTTCGTGCAGCAGTCTCAAGAATGCTTCATGCTGCTGTTGACGCCATAGGCCCTCTGCTACAATGACTATACTCGACAGCGCTTGTAGGCTAAAGATCAAAGTGCACGCTGCCAGACTGGCCACACCCGGTATGGGCTTACGGGTAGCGAGTGCTTTCACATAGGCTACGCAGAGTCCAACAAATAGCAGGTGTAGGTAAATTTCTTTCAAACGTTGTTGCTGTAAGATTTGTTTGCGCTCAAGCCATGCCAGACGCTTGCTGAGCGCGGCTGATTTGTTGTTTGTGTACTGCGTACTCGATGCTGGACTCATATAGAGCCCGAAGACGAGCGAACAGCGTAGCCAGGCGCGCAATTGCTGCTCCATTTCGCGTGGACTTTCTTCAGTGTACTAACTAAACTTTACAAGATAATTTAGTTTCCAAATAATCTTTTAGCGTGTTATTTGATTGACATATTATATAAATAGATTTAGTATATGATAATAACAAAATAAAAATTCAAAAGTAATACGTAGCCACTAAAAGGTCACTTGTGAATCGATGGAAAAATTCAACAAGGGGCACGGAACCGGCTACTTTTAGGCGAAATTTAATTATTTTGACATCCCTATTTTAGAGTTTGAAAATAGTCAAAATCGGACTACAACCACGCCAACTTCCCATATAACCGAATTTTAAATATCATCAGCTTCTTTTCATTCTACAATAAAAAAAATCAAACATTAATGATGGTAATGGAATCTAACTGTGCGCAAGTATTGCCTTCAAAGTATATCACCTACCATCTAAAAATAGTCGGAACCGAATCATAACTTGTGACCAGATACCGAATATGAGAACCATAGTGTCTATGTCAGTCTTTTTACAGTAAATATCGGTCAATCTAAGAGATATCTTAATATGTGTTTCTTAATAATATATCCTGATACGGAAAATCTCTTCAATACTTTGCTTAGACCCCATATACCTATTATAAGAATTTTCAAACTTCCGGTTGGCTTGGTACCGTATATATATATTAAAATGTCTGCTATTTTAGTGAAATAAAGTGATTAAGTATCTTGGATATAATTTAGTTAGGTTGTGAAAATAAGTAAAATATCTTCATGAATTACCCCGGCTTACATATACCTATTATTGATTTTTTTATACCCTAAACAGGGTAAATTAAGCTTGCCACGATGTTTTTAACATCCAAAAGGAAACGTCAGAGACCCTATAAAGTATATATGTATATAGTATAAATGATCAGCATGACGAGCTCGTCCCTCAGTTTGTGAGTTATCTTTTGTATTTGTAAAGAGTATTGTAGATTCGGTGCAACCGAAGTTAACGTTTTTTCTTGTTTTGCAGTGTCTTTGATTTTTTTTTATATTAATTTTTATACCTTGAACGGAGTATACTAAGTTTGCCACGATGCATGTAACACCCAAAAGAAAACATCGGAGATCCTATAAAGTATATATTATATTATATTTTAATGATCTGCGTTTGTGTATATGCAAACTAGTCCCCCATTTTTTGAGATATCCTTCTAAAAGTTTGCTGCTATCTTTTTCTTACTAAGAAGCTGCTCATTTTTCGGAACGGCCGATATCGGACTACTATAGCATATAGCTGTCATACAAACTGAACGATCGGAATCAAATGCTTGTATTGAAAACTTTTTCATTTGACGAGGTATCTTTCCGAAATTAGGCATAAGATATTATATAAGGAAACAATGTATTCTCCACAGAAATTGTCTAGACCAGATCACTATATTAAATAGCTGCCATACAAATTGAACGATCGGATTTAAGTTCTTGTAAGGAGCCTTTGCATTTGTGAAGGGTATTAGAGCTTCGGTGTAAGCGAAGTTAACGTTTTTTCTTCTTGTCATATTTATTCACTATTATTTACTTCTTCTATAAAAATAAGCACTTTTAAAATAACAAAAAAAAAAAAAAATTAAATAAAAAAGTAAAATCTTAAGAACCACACTAATAAAGCCATACCCTCACCATTTTCTACTACTTTCAATTAATTTTTTATCCAAAAAGATATCATCTATTAACAAATATTTGCACACACGCGAAATTTTACACTCAACTTGCCTTCAACTGCAGAGCAAAACCGCAAAGCATTTGTCAAACTCCAGCGTAAAATGGAACACGAACTGCGACACTGGCTGCGCTTGTGCATGTTCTTCGGTATTTATCTGCGACAATCTACACCAAAGTTTGCTGTGGCGAGAAGCATGCTTACTCTGCGAACAGAATCTTACAGCTGCCGACGCAGCTCCAACAGCGACAAGCGGCGTTTGCTCACGCCTTCGCATTGCTACCTCTGCCTGATAGCTCTGACGCTCTGCGCGCTCTACGTGCACGGCCTACACCACTGTGGCGGTCTGCCAACGCTGATACTTACATGGGTGGCCAGCGTCGTACTCTTCAGCATGCAAGTGTTCACCAATCTGCTGATACTTGTGGAAACCATTCGCCGACGCGCGCAACATGCCGCCTTTCTGCAAACGCTCACGGCGATTGAAGATGCGCTCAAGCTACGTTTGCATGTGAATGTGCATAAGCCGGCGTTGTTGCACGAAATGCGCTGTCTGATCAGCTGCTGTGCGGTGTGCTCACTCGTGGGTCTGCTGTTTTTCATAATCAGCACACATTGGTTGAACTACATTGGCTTCTTCTGGCATGGACTCTGGTCCATACTGACAATGCGTGTACGTATCATTCAATTATTGTTGTACGTGCGTATCTTGCAACACTATCTCGAGTGTCTCTACGCGAAGTTGCGTCAAATTGTAGCCTACCGTTTGGCGCCACAGCAGCAACTGCTCGATATCAACTATGTCAGACTGGCGTCGTTGGAATCGCTACTGGCCATCAAAGAGATTTACACGCTCATTTACGGTGCGTTTCATTTGCTCAACTACTTTGCCGGCTGGTCGCTCTTTGGCATTGTCAACTGTTATATGTTTGATGTAAGCTGCAATGTATATTGGACGCTGCTAAGTTTGAGTGGCTATCAGAATAGGCGTAACTATTATGTGGCGGGACCTCTGGTGTTGGTGCCGTTGCTTGGAATCGTGTGTTATTTGTGCTTTTTATGTGATAGATGCCAGGAATTAGTAAAAAAGCGCTGGGTCGGTTGTTTATTTACATTTTAACAAAAACTATTGCATACTTCTAGGCGCGACGCATTGCTTTCCTACTGAACAAGCTGAAAATTGTGTGTAACACGCAGTCGCTGGTGCCATATCGACTGGTCTTGCAACAACTTTCCGTACAAATAAAACTACAACAAATCGAAGTAACGGCACAACACTTCTTTGTCTTGGAACTGCGCCTATTGATGACCGTAAGTGAAATTAGCTTGTGGTCACAAGGTTAAACAGCTAAATACGATTTTGAGAAAATTTGAAAAAGCAACTTTAATTGTCTTAAATAACATTTTTTACCATTCAAATCTCACATCACATTTTCTTCTTCAATTTTATACCTTTGTGACTTTACCTCTGAAGACCTTCAAGTTTGTGTTTAGCTATAGGTCGGTTTTGTATCAAGTCGAACTTTGCTGTTGCTTCTTGTGGCCATATAAGTCTTTTCCCCTCAGCTAAGTCTGAACTAAACTAAAAAATATAATGAAATTTTATATAATTCTCTTCGTAGATTTTCTCAGTGACTTCAACACATTTGGTAATACTGGTGCAATTTCTTTACCTGGAGTTGGAATTGCTGGGCTTACCTTAAAAACTATTAAGCAATGTAGAGAAAAAGAGCGATCAAGTAAATAAAAATACTAAGGATTGGTAATGATTGCAATTATGCGGTACAAACTAATAAAGATTGCACTAAGAACGTTTTTGTTCGAAAATTTATTAGAAAATCCGAAGAAATATTATTTTGACATTGTCTCACATTTTTTTACGGCAATGAGTTTACGACGAGTAGTCATAATGAAATTCAACGATCCAAAAGCATTCTTTAGCGCTTGAAAGTGCTTTGATCGGGGTTTTTTGCCATATTTGTAGTGTATCTCTTGATATTGAACAACAAAAAAGTTTCAAACTTCTTCAGAGGAGGGGACAGATTTTTTGAGAAGCTTTTTCATATCAAAAATACGCTCGTAGGTTCAGGCTAGAACTTTTTCTCCAGGCTGGTAGACAAACGATTGCGCCATTCTATAATTCAATAGTATAACTGTACTAATAGCCATCTCATTATTGGTAATAATATTGTAAGTTTCGTTTTATGGTTCTAACGATATCGATTATTGATTTTTTAAAAACGCATTGTCGAAAGCCTTTTTAAAAGTCTGAAGAGACACTTTAATCTTCTTACTTGTGGAATTTAAAGACAATATATTTCTAATACAAATATTTCAGAATATCAAGGAAAATTGCAATTCGTGTTTAAATTTTCAACATACATATTTTTTTGATTAAATTTGTTTTTAATTAAAATCAGGTCACAACCCAGAATCTAATAGTCATTAGACCATATACAAACACATTTACTGCTATTGCTGGCTGCCTTAAGCTATCGCGTAAAAATAATTGATTGATTTAATGTGTTTAGTATGAACTTCCAATCGGCTTGTCAGCCCTAAAGCTGTCGATCTTATCAATAAGCTGTTTATGCAACGCTGCGTTCACTGCAAATAATCTAATAACTTTACTTAGCCCTTACTACACTTTTATTTAGTATCTTACCACAAATTCACGCAAAATGGAGCAGCAATTCCGCGCTTGGCTGCGTTACTCAATCGTCTTCGGCTTATATATTAGCCCAACGGCATTCATTAGCAATAAATCAGCGCAGGCAGCAAGTCTCTCACCAGCGCTGTCAAACCACGGATTTACATGTTCATTGCAACGTTTAAAAAAGCTCTACCTCTACGTGCTGCTACCGTGGCTCTGTGTGCTCTACTTGAATGGTCTGGCTTCGCGCAAACCCGTACCGGGCACCATGCTCAGCTGGACGGTGGCGACGGTGTTCTTTAGTTCACAAGCGCTCTCGACTATACTCATCGCAGCCGAAGGTATCTGGCGTCAACAGCAGCATGAGACATTCTTGCGGTTGCTACACGAAATCGAGTTCTCACTGCGGCTGCGGCTCAGACAGGACATTAAATTAGAGCTATTTCTGCCACGTGTGCGTCAGCTGTTAAGATTTCAGCTTTGGTTTTCTGCTATTTGTGTGCTAATATTCGTGTATAATTTTATTAAATTACAATATATCGGCTACTTTTGGTATTCCTTTTGGTTTGCGATCGTTATGCGCTTACGCTTGATACAGCTGCTGATCTATGTATGCGTTCTGCGCCATTATATGCGGTGTCTTTGCTTAAAATTGCAACAGCTTGTTGCCTACCGTACGGCGCCAAGCCAACAGCTGTTGGATGTTAACTACGAAAAACTGCAAACGTTGGCATACCTATTAGCCATTAAGGATATCTACGACTTACTCTACAAGGCATTTGAGCTGCTCAATGAGTTCGCTGGCTGGTCGCTATTTAGCATTATTTTCTGTTATATGCTGGACTATGGTTGTACGCTCTACTGGGCGCTGCTCAGCTGGGAGGGCTATCTTGAACGTCGCAACTATTATGTCGCGTGCTTTTGGTGGCTGCTGCCAATGACCATTATCATCTGGAATCTGTGTTATTTGTGCTATAATTGCAAGCAATTGGTGCGTACGCTAATTATTTACAAGAAATAATTCTGCAACCCCTTTCTCGGCATACTTTCAGGATCGCTTGATAGCAAGCATGCTGTGCCGCATAATTGTTGCGAGTTCCTCGCAGTGCATGTGCCCTTATCGCATATTACTCCAACAATTCTCTACACAACTGCAACTGCAGAGTATCGAGGTGACCGCAAGAAATTTTTTTACACTGAATATACGCTTGATTATGTCGGTAAGCCTAAAGGTATACTTCATTAGGATGTGTGTGTGAGTATTAATAGCTTTTCTTTACAGATTTGTACGTCCATAGCGACTTATTTGGTGATTGTGATTCAATTTTTGAATATTTAAAATATTTAATTTGCAATTTAACAAATTATTAAAAATAAATAAAATAAAACAAGAAAAAAGCGTTGCACCGAAGGTACAATACCCTTCACAAATAAAAAAATGTCACCAAAAGCTTGATTTTGTCATGCCAAAATTTGTGAAGAAGTTTTCTAGTCGAATAAAACAGTTTTCCATATAAGAAGTTGATTTTGATAGTTCAGTTTGTATGGCAGCTCTTTGTTATAATGTATTATATACAGGCAGATATACGAACATATCTAAATCGTCGTATTCTTGCTGTTTTGCGTACTTCAGACTTCTTTTATGTGCCAGTCCATACCGTCACATTATACTTTATTTCATTCCAAATTGTTCCGATAACATGGTACAGCACTCTTTATACTTTTCTTAATAAGCTTCTATGAATATTGTCATATTTATTGTTTCAACTTAGTGTTTCAGTTCCAAATCGTTCCCCTACATTTAACATTGTTTTTTAAATTGCATTTCCAATACGAATATTGTGCCATTTTTGTTCCAATTCCAAATCGTTAAATAAAGTTGTTTCTGTTTTGCTTATCTTAAATTTGCATTTACATTCTATACAGTTCCATTCTAATCTGCTCATTTTTACATTTTTTTCTTTTTTCCATTCCATATCGTTATTCTAAATTGAACTAAGCTCTTTAAGCATATTTTTTTTTAATTCCATTTTGTTTTTTTTTTTCAATTCACCTAGCATTTTTTATATTATTATCGATAGTTTTAAAAATTCTTGCATGAAGCATACGTTTATTTATATTTATCACTCTATACTAGGTTGTTCCACTTCCACTTCCACTTCGATCTTTGTTTTGAACAAAATTAACTTATTTCGGTATTAACATTCTCGTTTTTTAACTTGCATTTTTATTACATGTCGTTCCATTCCATGTAGTTCCAACAATTTTAAGATTTTGGTATGATTCAATTTCCAACATGCTCGCAGCAATATTTTCTATTAATAAGTTGTTCCATCTTAGTGTTCCGATTCCATTTCGTCCCTTAACATTCAATTTAGCTATATTGCTACTGAGCACTTATTTTCTCTTATTTGTTCTAAATTTAGCACTCTATAGTTTTTTATTCGACTTGAAATCCCTTAAAACCCATAAAAGTACATAATTTGTCACTACTTTTTCGTTCCAATTCTACCAATTTATATGTAACTGTTTCACTTACATACATTTCATCTCAAACAAATAAAGTTATGTCCTGCAAATACATTCGTGCGTCCTACATTTAACGCCTTTTAAGTATCAAGATTAAATACTTGCACTTGATATCACATACTCGTAACGTCAGCAATCTGCCATTTAAACGACTATCAATTCGCCTGTCACTCTTGCTTATCAGGGGTCTAAAGAAACATCAACATAATTTTCCATTGGAAAGTTGAGTTTGGTAAGCGCTCATTAGTCTACAAAAGCAACATGGAACAGCAACTACGTATGTGGCTGCGTTACGGCATACTGCAGGGCATTTATTTGAGTGAAATAGAAAGCGGAACAACGGTACAAACACAACGAATGGCAAGCAAGCACCAAGTATGGATTAGTGCACCGAAAAAGCTCACCCGAAAGGCGCTGTTACAGCGCGTGCATATGTGTTTTTTGCTCTGCGCTCTCAGCGCGCTCTACATACACGGCCTAAATTGGCTCGGCTATGTGCCGGGGCTGATGCTCACCTGGGTATCGGCTACGGTAATCTTCACCACGCAAATATGTACGAATTGCCTCATCGTAATGGAGGCGCTGTGGAAGCAGCCAGAGCACGAGGCTTTCCTTCTGCTCTTAGATGAGATTGAGGTGTCTTTGAAATTGCGCTTGCGACAGGATGTGCAACCATTGTTATTGTGTAAAATTGTGCGTACAAATTTAATTTTTCTGCTCGCAATGTCGCTGGTATCCATAACGCTCTTCATTGTTACCTCACTTTGGTTGAATTACATTGGTTACTTTTGGCATGGACTTTGGTCCATAATAACCATGCGCTTACGCATAATACAGCTGGTCATCTACATGCGCATCTTGCGGCACTATCTCGAGTGTCTATGCACGAAATTGCGTCAAATAGAAGCCTACCGTACGGCGCCGACGCAGCAACTGCTGGATATCAACTACGAGAAGCTGGCTTCGCTCGAGTACCTGCTGGCCATCAAGGAGATCTACATGCTGCTGCATAAGGCATTTCAGCTGCTAAACAGCTTTGCCGGCTGGTCGCTTTTTAGCATCATCGCCTGCTATATATTTGACTTCACTTGCAATCTATACTGGACTCTACTGAGCTTGGATGGTTTCGTCAGGCGTCGTTATTACTACATAGCTGGGCCGGCAGCCATGTTGCCGCTAATCGCGCTCATTAGTCACTTGTGTTATTTATGTGATAATTGCACGAAATTAGTAAGTTTTAACTTAAGAAACTCGCTTTTTGTAATTTATTAAAAATTGCATACTTTTAGGGTCGCACGGTGGCGCATTTACTGAGCAAGATAATTATAATGAGTTCCAAAAGCACACACAGCTCATATCGACTCTTGTTATATCAACTTTCCGCGCAATTACATCTACAACGCATTGAGGTGACAGCGAAGCATTTATTTGTTTTGGAAATACGCTTTTTAATGACGGTGAGCCTGGATGTATGATTTTGCTAAGAAGATAGGTGAATACAGAAAGGTCTAACAAGGCATCAAAAGGAAGCTTCAGAGCCCTATTATAGTTGAGTTTTAAGTGTGGTAAGACTAAAATCCTGTCTCAGTTTGAAATATCTCAAATTTCAGTCAGTCTGCAACACATAGTTTTAGGATAATTATGAGAGAATTGTGGTGGGATTTCAACAACTTCTGTCCCTTGGACGATGATTGATATGAGACTGTTAGAAACAGTTGTAGAAATAATTTTCTGTCTCGAAAACTATTAACACATGAGAGTTGAAACCAAACTCAATTTCTGACTTATTCCGGTGTTGAAATGTATTGAATCTCAGGTTTGTTAAACTAACTTGAATCCAAACAGCTTTCGGCTAGATAAAACAGTCGAAACTTTCTTTCAAATTATTAAATTAATTTTTAAATATAAGTGTGTTAAAGGGTTCGAGTGGTAACTTGATTCGAATCAAATTATATCATCATCAAAAGCTATATTAAGTATTTTCAATACACTGAGAGGTTCTCTGTTTTTAGTATAACGGATTTTTAGAGGAAAGCAGTTTACAACTACGCTTTCAGAGTTCAACAGCTACTGAAACACGAAACGGGAGCTCAAAAAGTTAGGCCTATAATATAACCTCACTATGTTCATAACTAGGTCCTAAGATTGTTACAGTTTACTTCAGATTGCTTTTGGATTGGACTTAAGCCGTTTATCCCCCATAAATTATTTTCTTTTCTCAGCATTTAAGAATCCACAAAATGTCTATGTTCAGACCTTTTATTTTGATTTTTGCTTTAGAAGTGGTCACTAAAACTGATTTTAATTTCAGATCTCTACGGCAGTAGCAATGAATTTGGTGATACTGATACAATTTTTAAATTCCTAAAGTTAAACGATAATTAAAAATCGGATTAATGACATAAAGTCATATTTATGAAATGAAAGTACTAAATAAATTGATATCTCAGTGATTTAATTGTATGTTGTCACCGAACTCGACCGAATTCTATTTCTTCCTTTAGATGGACTGAACAATCCCTATTTAAAAAAAAAATATTGGTTCCTACCAGACTGCAGAAAAGGGTAGTTGAAAGACTTGAGTCCTTTTAGAAGTTCGAATAATAATGTTGATAAAGTGTTTGTCAAAGGATCAAGTTAAAATGTAACATCATCGATCGGATATTAGCTTGAAGTGGTATTAATTAAAAATCATAAATATTTTTAGAGGTCCAAATATATTCTTAAGGTAAGTTGAAGTTGAATTATGTATATCGCCAAAGTGGCCAAACTTGACTTTCTATATTTCATACATGTAGCTGGGTACTGTGACATCCAGCTAAAAGCTTAAAATTTTTGAATGCGGATTTACACTTAAATCAACACGAGTGGCAGAAACTACAAATAACCGAAGGCTCATCATCTAAAAATTTACGGACACCTTTAATGTTACCTTAATGTTTGAGAAAGAAGCAAGTGCTTTTTATAAAAGATGTGTGGGGTTAAACTAACTTTTCCAGAGAATACAGATTGTATTTAACTTTCGCTCTGCACAAATGCCGCTACTTACTTAAAAGATTTTAGGAAGATTCCACATTTATCAAACTTTGAAAGCTCAATCTATTTGTATATTTTTCATGCGCCTGCTATCATAAAAGCTCATTTAGGTTGTTATTCTTATTGTGAAAGCTATGAACTCAAGTATAAAGTCTAATGCGCTGCTCGCTTAAAACTTACTAAAGGCGTAGTCGCGGCTTAAATTATTAGTTTAATATAGCAAAATTAGAGCTGAGAGCTTTTACGAGTTAGCGTCATATCCACTTATTCCTATTAAATATGAGTTCCTCATGTAGTTAAAACGTCAATAGCGCTAGTTTAGGCTCTATGTATTTATACCTAATACAGTATTTTTGTGTCAGTTTTTCTCTCTCTCTCAGCAAATGAAAAGCCGAATGGTCTGAGAAATATGATTTGAATTTTAAAGCTTTACTGGAGTGCAACAAACATCATTAATCGCTCACAATCCACTCATTTGTTCGCTTACCTGCCCATGGCTAATGAACACACGAATCGTCAACCGTTGGGCCACAAGCAAGCGCACCCTCCATAGTTCTTTCGTGGCGCTTTGAGTTACTAATGAAATTTTATCTATTTATTATCAGATATATCTACTCGTAATTACATGCTAAACAATTAATGCGCTAAGTGAATGCTATTTATGAACTTAATTGACCCAAAAAGCTCCGTTAGTACACTAAAGAAAGTCCACGCGAAATGGAGCAGCAATTGCGCGCTTGGTTACGCTATTCACTTGTTTTCGGGCTCTACATGAGTCCAAATGTGAAAACATTTTACGCAAGCAACAGACCTGCCGCGGCCAGCAGGCGTCTGGCATGGCTTGGACGCAAGCAAATCTTACAAAGCCAACGTATGAAGGCAATTTGTCTGTACGTACAACTAGGCGGAATTTGTGCAGTCTTCGTGAAAGGGCTTGTAGCACTAAAACCTATACCGGGCATGGCCAGTGAAGCAGTGAGTACTCTGCTCTTCGGCTTACAAGCGTCAACGAGTATAGTCATTGTAGCAGAGGGCTTATGGCGTCAACAGCAGCATGAAGCATTCTTGAGACTGCTGCACGAGATTGAATTCTCACTGAAGTTACGGCTGCGTGAGGACATTAATTTGGATTGTTGGGCGTCGCGTGCGCGTTGGCATTTGAAATATCTGCTTTGGCTATCGCTCATCTGCTTCGTAGTTGCTTTGTATCATTTTAAGCAGCTACAACATTTGGCCTACTATTGGCACGGTCTTTGGTATAACATTATCATTCGTTTACGTATCATACAGTTATGTGTTTATGTGTGTGTATTGCGAAATTATATGGAGTGTCTTTGTTTGAAATTGCAACAGCTTGTTGCATACCGTACGGCGCCAAGCCTACAGCTGTTGGATATTAACTACGAAAAAATGCAAACGTTGGCATATCTGTTGGCCATTAAGGATATCTACGACTTACTCTATAAGGCATTTGAGTTGCTCAATGAATTCGCTGGCTGGTCACTCTGTGCTATAATAACGTGTTATATTTTGGACTTTGGTTGTATGTCTTACTGGGTACTACTAAGCTATAAGGGCTTTCTGGAGAGTTCCACCTACTATGTGGCCGGTTTTTGGTGGCTAGTACCCATGACCGCTATGATCTGGCATATTTGTTATCTGTGCTATAAATGTACGCAACTGGTAAGCACAAAAAATCGTCATAATCTCTTTATTCAACTCATTTGTAAGCATACTTTCAGGATCGTTTATTAGCCGCTAGGTTACGTCGCTTAATAATAATAAATTCTTCGCAATCCGTGCGCTCTTATCGCATTTTATTACAGCAATTCTCCACACAGCTAGAGCTGCAGTGCATTGTAGTGACCGGAAGAAATTTCTTTATAGTAGACTTAGGTTTAGTAATGTCGGTGAGCTCTATTGTATGGGTCGGAAGATATTTCTATAATAACTATTACTTTTTCTACAGATTTTAGCATCTATGACCACGTATATGGTGATGTTAATACAATTTCTCTATGTTTAAAGAAAATTTCTAAATATGCAAATAAGGAATACTATTTTAGATGCAGCGTGCACATAATAAATTTACTAGATATATATTTTTAAAAGAAAACACTGTAACATTACAAAGAATAATAAAAATAAATAAGGTGCTTACATATATACTACGAGCAACAACCAAAGGACTATATTACATGCTTTCGCTGAGCTCAGGATTATGGAGTCCTTTGTAAAGTATGATCGAGATATTTCTACGCTCATCTACACTCAAATCAATATAAGGAACAAAAATGACTATACTCATCATAGTGTGCTAAGTATGAAGATATATGTTAGGTTGTAACCATAGTTCTAATTTTCTTGATCGGATCTTATGTCAAGCGACTGCTACTTCCGATATAAAATTTTATATTTCATCTGATTCTGACACTCTGTATGTCTAGTGCATAAATCAAGGACCAGTTAAGTTATCGGAATAAAATTTAGTAAAAATAGTGCCATTAATTTATACCATTTCGAGTCTAAGAAAAGGCGAAAATGGATCTCAAGTTTATAAGCCACTAGTTACCGAATATGAATACCTCAGTGTCTATGTCTGAGTTTATACCAAAAATATGGATAAATCTGTGAGATTATGTATTGAAATTTCGAGGGGACTTTTCCAGTAAGATACCTTCAGCCAAAAATTAGTTAAATCGATTTAGTTGTTACCTCAGCTCACATATACCTAATGGAAGGATTTTCAAACTTCCGGTTTGTTTTCATACCGTATATATCGGTTAATATGTAAGATATCTTAGCAAGTTTATGTAAGTTTATTTCTAATATTGGAGTATTACAGTTTTCCATTAAAAAGTAGTGAAATCGTTCGACGACCATATACTTAATAAAATGATCTTTATTTTCTAGTATCCTTTACGGCAATGTGAGTAATCTTAACATACAACGTATATACTTTATTTTATGACAAATCAGCGACTAGCCAATAAAGATTTAAGACCTCAAAAATTTTCGCCAGGCAATTTTGCACCAGGCGCACAGAACACCCCACAGTAGGTGGCTGTTGCCTTTTTCGCACTTGACAGGGACGCAAAACGTGACATATTTTTAGGCAACCGAGTCCAATGTGCACTGCTATGCTAACCAGAGTCGACCACATACATCGCCGCATAGATGAAAACTTGAAAACTATAACACATTTTGAAACTTAAGCAAAGACTCTGAAAGGCTAAAAAAGCGGGAAACCTATTCGCTAATGCAAAAATAGTGTCTTTACGTGCAATAATCGAAGTCGACTAACTTTGCGAGTTTAAGTTATCTGATAATGATTAGTTGTTGCTGTTGTGCAGAAATTGGTATAAAAATTATTATTTCAGTTTTTATTTAAGGGAGCCGCCCGGTGTGACGGCCGAAATTTCGAGGTTTTTTCGTGAATTTATTTCAGCAGAAGAATAATATGCGATCGTTTTGTAACTTTTACATGGTTTTATTAACACTTTCAAGCAAAGAAATTTTTATTTACTTAATTTTACTTGCATTTATTTATAATTTTTTGTGTTGAAGTGGAGTCCTTGAAGGAGCGTTAAGCGGTTTCGTGGAAGCACACAGCCTTTCGTAGTCATCTGAAATAAAAAAATTGAGGAGATTATTACTGTTTATAGTTTACTCTAGTGAACTAACAAAAAATATGCATTAAAAAAGTGAAATAGTGGACTTGTGAAAAAAGGTACTGAAAATAAATAAATTTTCAAAAAATAAATGTTTCTTAAGTTAAGTATTTAGCTATATATATCCAGAATAACACGTTGAATTTTTTGACAAATCGGTTAAATTCTTTCTAATCAGTGTTCCCCGAAATTTTAAAAACATACTTTTTAGACCATTGTTCTAAAAATGATCAGTCTCTAAAACGATGGCTATTTCAAGCATATAAACTTTAGTATAGACAGACTTATTGTATTGCAGTCAGATATTTACATTTAAGTAATTTCAAATAAATTTAAAAAAATTAAAGTGAATTAATGCATAAGGAATGAATAACTGTTATTATGTTATGCATAAATATTTTAAATAATTTATTAATTTAATTAAACTTATTAAATCACATTATATAATCCTTAAATGCATAATTTAATATTTTTTTTCAAAAAATTTAAATATTAACTAATTCATAAATTTTTTCCCATAAGACGGGGACTTCAGTGTAATTACACACATATTTTACTTATACGTCAGGGTGTACCATCAAAGTCGAATTATTATTTGCAAAAATGTTACGTTTGTATAGAATAACGGTAATATGATGCCATTCAAACATTTATAGCATATTTATGCCCTGAACAGGGTATATTAAGTTTGCCACGGTGTTTGTAACACCCAAATGGTAACGCCGGAGACCCTTCAAAATACATATGTACATATATAAATGATCAGCATGACGAGCTGAGTCGATGTATCCCTCCATCTGTCTGTATATACGCGAACTAGTCCCTCAGTTTTTGAGATATCGATCCGTTGTCGGACTGCTATAGCATGTAGCTACTATACAAACTGAACGAAAAAATTAAGTTCCTGTATGAAAAACTTTTTTATTTGACGAGATATCTATACAAAATGTAGTATAAATTATTCTTTGAGACAACGCTACGATATCTGAAGAAATTTTCTAGAACGAACGACTATAGCATATAGCCGCCATACAAACTAATCGATCAAAGTCAAGTCCTTGTATGGAAAACCTTTTTATTTAACGAGATAGCTTAACGAAACTTGGCACAGATCATTGTCCAAGAAAACACTAAAATTTTCAACAAAATTTTTAAGATCGAACCATTATAGCATATATTTGCCATACAAACTGATCGATCAAAATCAATTTCTTGTAAGGAAATCTTTTTATTTGGGCGTATTATAACTTAGGTGCAGCCGAACTTAACGTTTTTTCTTGTTTTCAATAAAGTTATGTATTTATAAAGACATTTTATTATATTATTTATTTTTGGTACTTCAGAGTTACTTTTGCGCACTGTTGTATGTCATTGGTGAGTTGAAAGCTGTTTATTCTTGCGCTAGAACCATTTTGCATTTTAATTGAAATAAAAGATATTATTTTTGCGAATACTCTTTTATTAAGCGGTTTAAGTTGTTTGCAATTTGACGATTTTTTATAACAAAAATTTAATACATACATATAACAGCCAAGTTAAATGTAAAAAACATGTTATTTTTTTTTTTTTTTTGGAAAATTAGTTAACTTAAAATTAAATTGATTAAGAAAAAATACATTTTACTTTTATTTTCTAAAAAATATAAAAAAGAAAATAAACAACTTTTTTGATTCGCTACTTTATTATATTACATTTAGTCCTTCGAAAATAAAATTTTGCAATATTCAGAAGTTCACAAATTGTCTTAATATCACCAGATAGGCAGATATCGCAATGAAAATCTGGAACAAATTAAACAATAAGTTTAAGAAATTAAAGTTCATTTCAGCTTTAAAGTATACAACTAGGCTTACCGACATGAGTAACGGCATATCTAAAATGAAAAACCCCTTCGCGGACACCTTTATAGGTAGCAGTTGCAGTTGCATGGTAAACTGTTGCAAGCATAGGCGATAACTGCGCAATGATCGCAAAGAACTGTTTATAATTATTTTGCTTAAAAAATTTGCTATTAAGCGATCCTAAAAGTAGGGAATATAAGGTATTCACGTGAATTAAAAAAAATAAAAATAAAATTTTATGATAAAACAAAGCAAGTGTAATAATATTTTAATCTTACTTTACGCAAATAATGGAATACTAGCTGATCCTAAAAGTAGACCATATTATATATTTAAGTAAAATAACTGTGTTTTAAAACATAATTGAATATGATTTTTTTGCGATTTTCAGCAAAACGGTAAGTTTTATCATAAAAATATCTCTGACCATAATTCTAGATTATAAAATTATCTACAAAAATGTATTTATACTTTTTTCCTACGTGTCACTGTATCGGAGATATAACGATTCAAAAATTTTGAAAAGTAGAACTTTTTCCATACAGGGGAAAGATGGGAACTTTGAAATTTTATTTATATTGTAATTATATTTTAAACGATCTCACCAATTTTCAGCTTGTTGTGAATTTACATAACTTCAAATGTCTAAATGGATCGGACTATAACATTATTGTAAAATGTGACTTATTAAGTGACGCTATATGTAGACAATATACATTATTTATTGGATCGGATAATTTTTAAATTATATTGATTTAATAACCTTCGTAAGCTGCTTGAAGTAGGCAATATATATGTCAATATACGAATTTACATAATAATTGTTAGTATAAACTAGGCTAGAGAAATAAGGTAAGACAATTATCTTAGTGCTTAAAACTTTGGATAAGAGTCCATGAAGGTAGGCAGTACATGTAAATTTTTTTATTAAAACAATATTTTGAAATATATGAGTTAAAAGAATGTGACTTAAAACATTAGTTCATGAAGTAAAAAAATTATAAATAATATAAAAAAATTTATAAATTGAATAAGTTTTCAATAAATGCAATCAAAAGTATAAAACACAATGTTTTTAATATTTAAAATAAATTAGATAGAAAAACTTCGGCAATTACCTATCCTAAATGAAGGCACATAAAGGCAGAAGATTTTAGTGAAAATTGCACTCACCAACTGCTTGCAGGCATCACTCAACTGACAGATATGCCAAACTATCGCAATCATGGGACAAAGCCACCATACGCTCGCTATATAGTAATAACGCCGGCTAGCATTGCCGTCCAAACTCAATTGAGACCAGTATATATTGCAAGAAATGTCCAACATACAGCACGTTATAATGCTGCATAGCGACCAGCCGGCGAACTCATTTAGTAAGTGAAACGCTTCATAGAGCAGCGCATAGATATCCTTGACAGCCAGCAAATATTCGAGCGTTAACAATTTCGCACAATTGTAATCCAGCATTTGACTGTTCGGCGCCGTGTGGTATGCTACAATTTGACACAGTTGCTTGCAGAGACAGCGCATATAATGCCGCAGCACGCGTAGATAAATCAGCAGTTGTATGATGCGTACACGCATAGTGATTATGAACCACAAGCCATACCAGAAATAGCCGATGTATTGCAGCCAGAATGTGGTTAACAAAAAGAGCCAGAGACCCATCAACGATATTGTCAGCAAATAGCATAGATGGCGCCGCAAATTCAACACAAATTGCTGTTGTTCGATAGGCTGTCGCAGCCGGAGCTTGAAGGCGAACGCAATGCGCTGAAGTAACAGCAGAAAGGCCTCGTGTTCTTGCTGCTTCCACAGCGTCTCAGCGATGATGAGCACATTTGTGATGGCTTGTACGGTGAAGAGTATGGTCGCTACCAACCAGGTCAGCATAGCGCTGGGTATGCGTCGTCGGCAATACAAGCCATTTATATAAACGGCAAACACCCAAAGCAGCAAGGCATAACCGTAGCCGCGTTGGAGACGAGCGAAGAGCGCTTTAGTAGTCTGAGAAAATGCGCTTCTCCGCTTCGTGCGCGCACTGTAGAGTTCAGTGGTTTGTTGGTTTTGCGGCGAGTGCGCACTTCCCGTTTGAATGCCTAGAGCTGAAGCGTAGCGAAACCAAACATGTAGCTGTTGCTCCATTACACGTTTGAATTAGTTGGCGACCGAGCTAATTGTTGTACTATCGATTGTAGGCAGATGCATTGATATGCGGGCATGTCAACGCTAATTGATTAATTTTTCCATTAGCGATTGTTACATAGTGAGGGTTAGATAGCAAAAAATAAATATTAATGTATAAAAAGAATGGGAAAAATTAAAAAACGTATTACAGAAAGAGATTTAACAAGTAAAAACGTTAGCTTCCGCTCCATCGAAGCTATAAAACCCTTCACAGGTACATTTTTTATAGCACAAAAGGGTATTTTTTTTTATAGTGGGGTGAAGCATCGAAAGCCGAAGTGCGGAACTTTAATCCGCTAAACCTAACTCACTCCCAACCCAAATCTCTCCCACAAAAGGGTATAAGAAGACCTTTATGTTGGTTTTGATCGGTCAGTTTATATAAGCTATAGTGGTCCGATCTGTACAATTTCTTCGAAGCAGTGCTTAAGGTAATAATCTACATCAATTTTATGAAAATACCTTGGCAAATAAAAAGAGACGGACTGACAGACGGACATGGTTAATTCGACTCAGCTGTGACCAGCTAACAAGTTACTTTAATGCAAGTTCAATCTGCTTTAAAAAATCTCTTCAATATAAAGCCTACACAATGAATCGGAAAAGTTACGAGAAATTTCCAATTTCAAAATATTTTAATGCTAGTAATATGTTTTGTTCTTCGGGACTTAAGCTAAAATAACTGGTATGCTTAAATTGAAGAGCTTAGATATAGATTGGTGAAAGACTTTAGTTTAAACAGGCTTTACTACTTCTTTTAAAGTGCTGGAGTTATTGGACATCGAAGACTAGTATCAACTTGAAATTCTTGTTTGGTATTAGCATTTGGCTGAAGCAGTCAGGTGTTGGAAGGTTTATTAAAAACGTGAAAAAGAATATTCTAATTTCTATATTATAACATTAGGGTCTACATATGTTAGAAACGTTTTGGGTCAGGCTGTGTTAACCTATGCCAAGATAGCAAGCTGATATTACTGTAAACAGCAACAGCTTTCAACTATCTCAAGTATGATAGGCAGAAACAGCTGAATGTATTTCCCCTATCCCTAAACATTTAGGTACGCATAAACAGATCACGGAACTGATATTAAGGACCATAACGTAATTTTTTGTTTGTATAAAATCACTTCTTTATTAATATTTAGTATGTGATGGCTCTCAACAGGTCGGATCTAAGAAGGACGGAAAGCGTGGAGGTGTCCGATCAGCTGATTGTTAGGGTGTGTTCCAAGCAGAGGTGGTAGATCATTTCAGCTGTGTAGCCCGTTAAGTGGTGCTCACTTCAATAACTATGTGCTATGAGCATTATTTTTTAAAAGCTTGCCGAGATATAAATCCTTTATACTTGTATGTAACTTTTATTATTATTTTTTTTTTTAAGAAATAATTTCTTCTTATTTTCTAATAATTTCTTTAAAACTGATTGAGTATTACCAAATGCATAGCCATGGCGACGCAAATCTAAGGGATATAACTCATTCTTAGAATAATTGAAAAATTTGTAGCATATTTGCAGGCTCACCGACATAATGAAGCGAAAGTCCAGAGTGAAGAATGTGCGCGCTGTAATCTCAATGCGCTGCAACTGCAACTGCATGGCGAATTGCTGCAAAACCAATTGATATTGCCGTCTCGCGCTTGCTGAGCTCAAGCGAATCAGCTGACTTAGTAAATGCGCCACAATACAGCCCTGTAAGTATATGATATTTTATTTTTTCTTGCATGTAAAATACAAACATATACCAGCTGCCTACAACTATCGCACAGATAACACAACTCGCAAATCAATGCAATGACGGGAAGAAACCACCAGAGATCAGCTAAAAAGTAATAACGACGGCCATGAAAATTATCGAAGCTTTGCAGCAGCCAGTAGAAGTTCGAGCTCAAATCTAATACAGACGTAATGACAATACCGAAGAGCGACCAACCGGCAAAAGCATTCAGCAACTCGGAGGCTTCATAGAACAGCATATAAGTCTCTTTGATCGCCAGCAGATGACGCAACGTGCCAAGCCGCCCATAATTAAAGTCCAGCAAGCAGCGTTGCGGTGTCCGGTGGTACGCCACCAGCTGTTGCAACTGCAAACACAAGTCACGCAAGTAGTGCCGCAATATGCGCAAATAAACGAGCAGTTGCAGTGTGCGTACACGTATGCTGCATATATACCACAGTCCCTGCCAAAAGTAGCCGCCATAATCTACAAATACCCAGGTGGCCACCATGAATGGCACCATACCGAGCACGGATAAGGCCAGGTGATATTTGAGCATGCGTTTTATTTGCGAGAGCAGCGTCGTGCTTTCAACGCGCCATTTAAGCCGCAGCCGCAGTGATGCCTCAATCGCCTGCAATGCTTTGAGAAAGTTCGCATGTTGTTGCTGCTTACACACCGCTTCCATTAATATGAACGCGTTCGTTATGAAACGTGTAGCGAAAAGTATGCTTACTGCTACCCAATTGAGCTCAAGGCCTGGCGGAATCGTAAGCCAGCAAAGACTGCACGCGAATACAACGCAAATGCTAAGAAATAGCAGGCAATTGTAGGCGCGTTGCAGCCAGTAAGCGCGTGAGTTGGCTGAGCCGCGCCCATCTATGGACTTGTCGCCGTCCGTGTACTTCCTGGCGCTCACGTATCCGCCGAAGAATGTACAAATGCGCAACCAAGCTTGCAATTGTTGCTCCATTGCGCTGTCGCTGCGTCGCTTATCGCGGTTGCTTCGAGCGAATGGCGTGCTAGGAGTAATGAGCGAAAGGCGGAGCAATTAACTATCTGTGCGACAGTCAAATTGTTGACCTATTGCCTCATTGATTGCCGTGCGATAGTAAAGATATCGATTGAAGTGTATCAAGGTTAAAGCAGCTCCGTTTATGGAGAAACTTCGGAACGTACTTAATTGCAAAATATTTTGGAATAGCGTTACCACCTATCGATAAATCTAAAACTTAGTAGAGTTTAATTTAAATATATTTTGTGATAGAGTTGCCACCTAACCTTAAGCAGTCTCTTAAAGCCCTCTGCGAAAGTAAATTTGATGTAAACATATTTGCTTTAACGTAAAAATATGTACTTTGAGCAAGAGTTGCCACGAATTGATTGTAGCTTAAATAAAAATGTTACAAAATATGTTGCATTGTAGTGGGCCCAAGGAAATATGTTGTAAAGTTATATAGAGGTTTTTAAATTAAATATATTTTGGAATAGAGTTGCCAACCAACAAAAAAATTTAAATAAAAAAAAATTACAAACTACATATATGTACTGTGTGGAAAAAAAAGTCATCGAGGGAATAAGAGGTCTTAATTTAAAACTAAAAAAATATTACAAACACGGTGTGGAAGAAGAAAAATCGTACTGGGAATGAAAGATATTTAAATATATTTGAAATAGAGTTGCCATTCAAAACAAATTTAAAAATTAAAAACTGTACGCACGATGCGGAAGAAAGAAATTCAGAAAGAATTTAAGCCCAATTGGGAATAGAGTTGCCACCCAACACTTTAAATTTAAATTTTAACAAATTTTGCAATAGAGTTGGCATCCAAAAAAGTTGTAATAATGAAAAAAAATATTAAAAACTATACGTACGGTGTGCTAGAAAGAAGATTATACTAGGAATGAGAAGTCTATATTATAATAATATTCTGGAGTTTTGAAAAAGAATGTGGGGTACCTAACAAATAATTTAAAAATTATCAAAATATTGCAAAATAATTGTCATGCATCAGATGATAAACAAGGCTTTCGAGAAAGTATTATGATATATTTTAATTTAAACATATTTTCAAAAAGAAATGCCACCTTTCACAAAAGAAAAACTTACCAATTAATTAAAATATTATATCCAAACATAAGTGTTTAAGAGAGTATTTCGGATGAATACATTTACCTGTAGGTTGTTATATATGTATATGGGTTTTAGAACAGGGTTGCCATCTCTAGGGAAAAGTAAAACTGTGTGCCTCTGTGCGAAATATTACGCAATGTGTGCGAAGGAAAGTCATTATAAATATATACAAAGAATGTATTTCAATATGGTGAGCAAAAATTTTTTTTTTACAATAATTGTTTTGTAAACAACTTTTAAATATTTTCTTTGGTACCATTACATATTGATTTAGAAGGGGTTTTTAATTTGATGTAATTTTTTTTATATGAAAGCACAGACACTGTTTCGAAATAGTAGACTTAATTTTGGACCACCTTAATAAAAATCTGGGTTAGAAAAAGTATTCTTCGTTTTGGATCACCCTAATAAAACTCTGCATTTGCTTACTCAATATTATTTTAGGATTTCAAAACCTGCAGTAGAATCACCAGTCTTCACCACTACTGTGCAGATCTGTTAATGAGAGTATAATAGATTAACTATAGTTAGGCAAATGTACAGTTCTTGTCGGCTCACCGCTATGAGAAAACGCGTTTCCAGTATGAGGAAACTGTGGGCGACACTTCAATACGTTGTATTTGTAAAGTGCGATTTGCTGAGTTAATGATCATTAATTTAGACAACAATTGGGGCAAAGAGCGCGCCTAGAAGTATATGTAAATTTGTATTGTTAACTGGAGACTACGAAAAAATATATACGAACCAACTGCTGACATTTATCGCACATGTACTTCAGATACCAGATAATACCGCCAGCGGCAGCAGCATAAAAAGGTCCGCAATTTCGTAATGACGTCGCCGAACGAAACCGACGATAAATAAGCGATAAGCTGCCGTACGCTGCACATTATGCTTCAACCGTAAGCGCAGCGCCACTTCAATTTGCTCCAGCAGTTGCAGAAAGTGGTCATATTGCGCCTGCTTGCGCCAAGCTTCAAGCATTATAAGCAACACTGTCATCACATATAGGCTGTAGAGTAAGATTGCGGCTACCCAGGATATGCCCGGCATTGTGGAGCGCATTGTAAGACCAAGCGTGTAGACTAAGCACAGCACAAGTGTTAGCAGACATATGTAAAGGCGTTGGCGTAGCTATGTGCTGCGTATTGTCGCGCGTTGGCACCATTGTGCGCGCTTGGTGTGGCGTCTCCTTGTGTCAATCTCAAAATTGCTGCTGATGTTGTTGACGGTGTGTGTTGTAGCGCGGTCGATAGTATACTAGTATCCATATAAACGCCTACATAGATGCCGAAGTATGTGCAGTAGCGTAACCAACCGCGCAGCTGTCTTTCCATTGCGCGTTTATAGAGTTTCTAGTGGAAAATATAACACTGCAGTTGTGGCGTGGTCAATATGTAGTGTAATTAAACATGCGATGGTTATCATCGAAAAGGTAAGCTGTACACTGTGGGGAGTTTTCAAGGCATTTGTAAGTACAGTAAGGACTTGATATAGTTAAAAAATGCATAGCAATACTGGCTCCATAAAATTATGGTATATTTATGTGGTAAGAAATGTAATGTGGTGGAGGACAGCCTTAACTTTCTGGGTTGGTGCTTTTTTTGCAGCGACATAAAGAGTTCCACAAATGTGTATGTAGAATCCTGGCGGGTTGATAGGTTTTGTTCCGATTAAAATCAGAGTCTATTCAGGCAACATCAGTTTTCTTGCGCACTTTCACGGTTTTGCACCCCACTTCGCATACACAACCCATGATTGGTGACTTCTTATTTGAAAACAACCTTTCATAATTCTAAATTTTTCTTTTCGGTAGGCAGTTGAGTATGCTTTCACAGCTGTAGTTTCTTCAGTGGTAGATTCCGTCTGCAGGTGATAGTATATGAGATGAGCTTAAAGAGAAATTTTACAGTCACAATTATAATAATAGTCTTTCAGAAGCTTATGAACCCTGTATAAAGACTTTGAATTAGAAGTTTAGTCTTGATATCCGCAGTCGTTGCTCTTTGGTTTCGTTAAATCTTATATAATAATTATCTGACTATAGCGTAAAGTTTTTCTTAAAAGCTAACCTGTTATTTTAAATTAGCTTGAAACTTGGTTGACGTATAAATCAAGAAACCCCCATTGAGATTTTAATCAACAAACGAGGAATAGAAACGAAAGAAACATGGTCTAGAAAAAGACATCCGGTAAATTAGGAGTTCGAGCTGACAGAAAGACAGAAGCTTCTTAGTGAATTGTTAAAGCAAAGGTACCAAAGCTCCACACGACACTACTTGAAGTAAGTACTTGCTGCCTTCCGGGGATGCAAACACAACTCTGATTAAAAATGACATTAATAAGTGCATTTATAGTGAAAATCGGGAATTTGGAGTAAGAAATTGCAGATGACTGACATCGTACCGAAGATAAGGCTCAAATTTTAAGAGTAAGCTTGCAGGAACCTTGTCGTGAGTGTAAGTGGACTTGTATAATGGCTGAATTGGTACCTCCAAAGCTCCTAAATTCTTCTTGAAAGCGAGGAATGAGGCACTGCGAATCCGTTCCCACAACAATCTGTAGGTAGACTCGGACTAAATAGGGACTTTCCAACGACTGTCAATTCGGCGGCATTCCCCAAAGTTATTTGGAGAATATTGCCATTAATGCAACGCAATTGAGGAGTGCACCTACAGAATTGAGACCTGGGACAACCATATTGTCCAGATTTTATCATCTGGTGATGGCTAACAATGTGCATTAACAGCAGGTCATCTTTGGAGATCAACTTTAAGTTTTGGGAGCAAGTTTTGCCGGAATCCTCCTTCTGGTGTTTATACTTGTATATCGGCTGAGTTGGTACCACCAGAGCTTCAAATTGAGAGCAAGGTATATGGAAACTGCGTTATCGTTCCCACAATAATTGGGTCTATATAATCGGAATGCAAACTAAGTTTTTCCGTCCAAAGACTGTCAACTCGGCAAACCTCAAAGTTATTTGATGAACGTATTCTGTCGCTGTCGTATTCTGTAACAGAATTTGGATCTCTGATAGGACACACCTATTGTCCGAATTTGGTCATCCTGGGGATTAATTAAAATTCAACACGGATTTTTTAATTGGAGGTCGTATACAGTTAAATGTGTTTTTATATATTCTTTACCCTTGTCTTTTAATATAATTCTCGGGCTTGGTCAACAGTAAAGGAAGAAGATGTTGTGTTAATTCTGGAAAGCATTCAGTTCATCATTACCTCGGATGGAGACTTTAGGCTTATTGAGTACAGGATGAATCAAGCTAAACTCCATGAATCTATCTACACAGTCAAGTAATTACCTTAAATTTGAAAGCTTTATCGAATCTGTGTTTGAGTTTTGATCCTAGTTCATAAAAGTGTAAGAATGTATGGTTCCTGTCAATGACCACACCAACTAACTGATAAAACAATAATTTGTAAGAGCTAATGAAGAGTTGCTTTGCAATTTTTCCTACTTGCTTTTATTATAAAAAATTTCCACTGTACCCTGCAATAACTGTTCTTGAGAAGCAAATTAGTTCAAGTAATTTAGTACCATCATTTGTTTAAGTGCATTGCAGCGTTAATTGTCGGCAAACTCAAACAACTAATTGCATAAAATGTCTAAGAAAAATTACTTAGACTCCTCACCTGCGCGACCACTTCTCCTGCCTGTGAAACATTTATAAGCTTTCGCACGCCACAACGCCAGATATTAACAAAATGGAAGAGCGTTTGCGTCTTTGGCTACGCGGATGCGCTGTGTTTGGCATCTACGTGATTCCCCTAAAGGAATACAATACAGCGCCGGACTGGCAACGACTGTCACGAATGAAGAATAGTAGGCAATTGGCTTGGGCTGAAGAGAAGGCTACGAGCCCGATTTATTTGCTGCAGCGTCTGTATTTGGCGGCGCTCGCTGTAATCGTTTGTGTGCTCTACTTACATGGCTTGTACGCGCGTGAGATTGAGCACGGGTTCGTGCTCACTTGGTTGGCCGCGACTTTGGTCTACACATCCCAGGTGTTAACACATCTATCCATCTTCATGGCGGCGCTGTGGAAGCGCGATCAGCATGAGTCATTTCTACAGTTGTTGCAGCAAATCGAAGTGTCGCTGAAGTTGCGTTTGAAATGCAATACACGACAGAGCGCGCTGCGGCACAGTTTACGTCTGTTGCTCTTGTCTTTGGTACTATTGTCGGTGGTGGGACTTTGCGTATTCACCACTGTCTCGGTGTGGCTTAACGATATTGGTTATTACTGGCATGCCGCTTGGACCATTGTTACGTTACGCGTACGCATACTACAGCTGTTGATTTACGCGCGCATCTTGCGCCACTATTTGGAATGTGTGTGCGTCAAGCTGCGACAGGTAGTCGCTTGCCGCACATCGCCCGCCAGCCAGCTGTTGGATATTAACTATGAAAAGCTCGAGTCTTTGGAGTTTCTGCTGGCCATTAAAGATAATTATGCGCTGATTTTCAAAGCTGTGCAGCTTTTGAACGACTTTGCCGGCTGGTCACTCTTTGGCATCATTTCGGGTTACATGCTAGATTTCACATGTCACGTCTATTGGTCGTTGCTGGGCTTGGATGGTTATGGTTCGCCTTACACTTATATAGTAGGCATGCCGGCGGTTTTGCCATTTAGCGTGATAGTTTGTCATCTGTGCTATGTTTGTGGCAATTGCAAACAGTTGGTAAGTTCATTGCTTAGCTTTTAATAAAATATGTTTAAAAAGAAACATTCATTTAGGGTGTCGTCATAACAGATTTGGTAAGCAAACTGGCTACTATGAGATCAACGCCGGCGCTGAAACGCTACAGCGGTGTAGTGTACCAGTTCTCCACACAATTACAGCTGCAACGTATCGAGGTGACCGCTCAGCATTTCTTTGTATTGGACTTGCGCTTAATTATGTCGGTAAGCCTATGGGTATGCTATATTGCTTTGCAAAATATAACGAATCTTTTCACAGATTTCCACAGCGATTGCAACGAATCTTGTGATACTTATACAATTTTTAAAAGCGGAGAAATCAGAGATCTCTGGAGCCTAAATCAAAAATGCTTTGGATTTTTATATGAAAGCAAATAAGTTTTGGCCTTGAAAAGCTTTTACCAAATTTGGCTGTCATCATAACTAGCCAGAAGAAAGTTTCAGCTTCAACAAGCAATACGTATTTTATAAAAGTTTTCTCTAAAAATTTAAAAAATATTTCACCACACAAATTGAATATTTCTGTAAAATCCATAACTATAAAAATACCTACACAAATTTAAAGATATTTCACCATGAAAATGCTTATAAAAATAAAAAAGTAACAAGCATCAGATACGATATGTGATAGCCGTATTACCTAGCTCAAAATAAAATTGAATGAAGAAAAATTAGAGCAATTTTCATCGAAAATAATAAAAATATCCCCTACATTTTTTAAAATGTTCATGAAAGCTTTAGAAGAGCTTGATTCCTCTGTTAGAGTAAGCTGTCGCTACAACTTCTTTATTCTAATTGTGGGTTATAAAGTAACATATTTTGTGATCCGAGAGAAATCTGTTTTTTTAGACATATATTATTGATTGTTTAAGCTTTTGGCTAGAGAAAGTTTCGCAACTTAATATTTATTCTCGAAAAGCGCACTGAATACAGCTTTTTCGCTTATAAAATTGAGCGTCGCGGTTGTGAATACCGTTTGCACATCGTAAATATTAACAAGAAGATCTTCTAAGTGCGAAAGTTTTCCCTTAATAAACGTAAATGTCGTGAGTACTCGAGAAATGTGAGCAAAAGCTTTTATATATGAGAGAACGTTAATTTATGAAAGCTTTAACTTTTCTTATAAGCAAATTTACCCTTTATATTAGCTTTTTGCTTAACTTCCACCAACTCAAAATAAGAAGAAGACTTTTCACATAGATGGTTGTTTTTGTGTTTCACATATTTGGGTTTTATTAATTTCATTTTGAGATAAGCTTGATGACATTTGTTTGGTTTTTCACAATTTTTAGATTTTTTAATAATTTTTATTTAGTTTTTATATTTTTTATTTGTTTGGTTTTGCTTTAAATAATTTGAAATATAATTAATTTCATGGATATAGCATATTCTTGTTTTTATTATTTACTTGACCATCAATCGGAATTTTCGCTTTGCTGTAGCTTCGGACTAATTATTATTTTTTTTTAGTTTTTCATTAAGACATTATGCTGACATTTTACTGCAAGAATTTTGCAGTTTTTATTTAATTTAATTTCTTTCTTGGAAATTATGTGAGTAAGCGATTTTTGTATATATATTTTTGTTCATTTGCCAATACTTTTGAAGCATGTGTGCCGAGAAGTTTTACTTTCTAATTATTATTATATTTGATTTGACTTAAATTTCATTTGCTTTTATTCGTATATATTTTTATAATGATTTTTTTATTATATTACTTTTTATTTTTAGTTTAACAAATTTGAATATGCGCAAAATTTTATTTATTTCTTTAAATTTTTTCTTTGGTTTTCGTTCTTTGTTTTTTGTTTTTTGTATTTTTTATAATTGAAGAAACAATAACATATTTCTTTAACAAACATAGCTGTCTTAAGGCAATTGAAAATTCACTCGACAGATAAGTGAAGCTGAAAGCTCGCTACACATTTATGTATATATACACAAAATTATTTTTATTTGCAAAAATATATATCAAATAATTAGGATTTGGTTGTAGAATGTAAGATATTATTTTAAACTATTATTTTCACTTTTCAACAAAACAAAAATAATAATAAAAAATTGATTATTTGAAACGGAAAGACAACTTTGTCACCTTGATATAATTTTTTATAAATAATGCTTAGAAAACATAAAATTCAAAAATATCTATGAAAGCTTTCACCAAAAATCTGAAAAGAAGGTTAATTAAAATTGTAAGAATTTTATGAAAGCTTTTACAATTTTATGCTTAAACTGAAACTATAAAAAATATACTTATGAATGTGTTTTCACAAATGTTATGTAAAACCAATTCGAAGAAACGTTTTCAAGTGTTATAAGTGAAAGCATAATTTGTTTACTAGTTTAAAATTATAATGCAATAATATTCAGAGCTTTTGGAATATTTTTGAAAGTTTTCACCAACAATATAAAAAATATAAATCTAAAAACTTTAAAATATGTGCAAAAGCTTTAAAAATTGTTAGCTTTCACCAAAAACATTCTCAAAAAAGCAATACGATACATATCCTTGAAAAAATGAAAGATATATAATATCTGTGAAAATTCTAGGAATGAAAAGCCGTTTATAATTATTTTTTTTTGTGTAATTTTTAACACGCTTCACCAAATATTATATTTGTGCCACGTAAGATTCCTGATTTGTATGAAAGCTTTCACTAGCAAATTTCGACTAAATCAAAATACTAAAGACTGAATTAAATAAAAGCGCTTGTAAAATAATATCTGAAAAAATTTAAAATCAAAACAAATCTCAATAAATTACTTTTATTTAAATTCATTTACGTACCTGACATAGAGTGTCATTTAAATTCATTAAATATTTTGATTTTACGTTAAATTCACTTTCACGTATTTCGTTATTTTTTGTCAATTGTGTAAGTGACTGCGCTTATTTAAGCAATTTCTTTAATAATTGGTTGTGTTGTTTGTCTAAGATTTTATTTTTCCAAATGAAAGTGCAAGCAGAACTTTTTAATTTTGATTTTAAATACAGTATTGAATATTCGAAATTGTGAAAGGTTTCACTAACTCTTTGATTTTTCAGTAATACAGCACTCAGTGACTGTTGATGTAGGGAAATTTCTTTTAATATATGATTATATTGTATGACTTGAAAGTCTTTAGTTTAAGCTTTTAATAAGTGAAAGCTGCATATTTGAAACTGTTTTGTGCGCAAATACATTTTTATTGAGCTTTCACATAAAACTGAGCTGGTCATTTATTATATTTTTCGCTAATGCTTGATATTAATCGTCATTTCATTATCCAGTTTATATCATTTCAGGATTGAACGCTCCAAATTTTAACCTTAAAACATTTCTTTAGAGAAAATGTTTGATTTTCATCAGATCTCGGTAAATTTTTGTTAAGATTTTGATATATATTTTTAATATCTTAAAATAATTTTGAATGTTATGTTTTGAATGAAAGCTTAATAATTGGAATGTTTTCAAAGTTCTTGAAGCATTTAAAGTTTTTATCGTATTACTTGTTTATAATAAAAGCATTGTTAGATAGACATACCATAAGGAAAGTTTTCATATTTTTTGTGAAAGCTATATTTGGCATGAAAACTCACTATTTAAAATAATAGTAATATTGAAAGCTGTGACAAATAACTTGAAATATAGAACTTGCTCACACTTTTTTGTGTAGTTAGGTTAATTTATTTTATATTTAATTTTTTGCTTTTAGTATTTGTATTTTCTTTAAATTTACGCTATCCTATTATTATAAACATTATTACTTTTTTAATAAACTGCTTTTATATTAAGTAACAGCAATAAATGTATTTTATAATTTTATATTTCCTTAACCACACATGTGTCGCTAAAAATTGCTATAATTTGAAAAAAATAGATGCATATATATTATTGCTAATGCTACCATTTGTCTCTGCTGCTATTAATTTTAGTTCGCTTTTTTGATAACATTTAAAGATGCATATAATTAACTGTAAAAAGCTTAATTCTCGCATGTATTTTTTTACTTTTTCTTGCAAAATTTTTTGCTACGCTAATAATTTTGCGCTTACTTATTTAAAGTTAGCATTAAGCACGATTTACACACAGCGGTGCTTAATGGACAAACATTTATTTTGAGATGAAAGAAATTTTTTTAAATTAAAATCGGCAAATAATTTGTAAAATTATATTTTGCAAAATAAACATACTTAATATAAAACAAATGGTGTACAAATTTATTTGTATTAAATAAAATTAATTTCGTTTGCAATTTTCAAGAAAATTTTTTTTCAATAATTTTTAATTTTTCCAAAAAAAATATTTATTTAATTAAAATTAATCTTTATTGAAAGTAATTTTATTTCCTTTAGAATTTGCTAAAAAACAATTATGTTTTAAAAATATTTGATTCGATTTTTATATTTTAATTGCAAATTTTAAATTTAACATCTTTCTTAAATAAAATTTTATATTTCTCTTACAAATTTTCAAAGTTAATCCAATACCTTTGTATTCAATCATTTTTAAATTTTCAAAAAAAAAAAAATTTTTTTCAATAATTTTTAATTTGCAAAACAAATTTAATTTAGAAATTTAAATTTGAACTTAAACTTTAAACTTGCAAATAGAACTGCAATTTTTGGAAAAATTAACTTTCGACGCTTGCAAATTCCATTGCTTTATTAATACCCGTATGCACGCATCACTGCCATTAACATTTTTTTACGCTCGCTTATTAAAAAATTTTGCAAAAAATACTTGTTTATGTAAATCCTTACTAATACTTGCATATATAAATGCATGTGTATTTGCCTGTGTCTGTGTGTGTGAAAAATTAATTTTATCACATATTTGCTTATTTTTCTGCTTAAACGCCGCATTTGCCAACTTAATATATTAGCTGTACGCTAATTAGCCAAAAAGTATGCTACGAATATTTGTAAGTATGTGTGTATGCACAAAAAAAAATCCTGGACGGTCTCACGGCCAGCTTTTACCGTTAACTATTAATTTGTTGTCAACTTTACTTTTCGTACTTGGTAGCATGATTTGCAAATTTATTTGTTTTATGTTTTTTGTTGTTGTTGTAAGTGCCTCATTATTTTTAAGTTGTTTGTAGTTTTTCATGCTGTCACCATATTGACTGCAACAAAATTTTATTTAAAAAAGCAAAAAAAGTGCAAGCTTTAAAGCTGCGAGGCTCAAAAGCTCTGCGTGTTCGCCTAAAAGTATGCTGCGCATTTTATAATTTCGTTTTTATTTTATTAAAATTGTTTCATTTGAATATTATTCTTTTACCATGGTTGTAATTTATATTTTTACTGTTATCGTTTAGCAGCGCTATCTGCGTGTGTACGTAAGTTTTGTAGATTTGCTTGCATATTTAACTTTTACGGCTTCATATGCTTATGTTTACTGTCTTAACGCTAATTAGTGGTGTGTATTTTATTGATGTTCTTTCACTATTTCTCTGCAATTTGTTATTCTAGTACTATTATGAAAAATTAAAAAAGTTTTCATCTTTATATTGTTTAAAAAAATAAAATATTTTCATTCATCAACTCAAGCCCCGCTACTCTGCTCAGTTCCTTTACCCAATCCATTACATTTAACCGTTATTCAACACAGTCTGTCACCTAACCTCTTTTCAGGTATCTGATTTACTCTTTTCCGCTCTCAAATCCTTTAAAATTTATGTATTCACCGCTCTCACTCCCCTCATTTCCCTGCTATCGCACTTTATATTATTAATTAAAATTTTATTATATTTATTTTTGCATACCTACCCCTTATTGTTTACTCTATCGCTTTCTATAACCTAATTGTTTGTATGTATTTGTATACATTTAGCTGCCCTACAACTCAACAACAACAACAAGTCACTCATTAACATTGCACTGCCATACTTAGTTTAATACTTGACATACCCTTGAAAATAAGAAAAGTATTCTAACCAAAAGTCATTATAAAAAGCTGCCACAAAAGCTCTAGCACTACAAAATATCATTATAAAAGCCCTTCGGCCGACTTATCGGTTTACGCAGCCTTTACTTTAATTCATTTCGGTCGAAGTGAAAGCTATTTCGACTTTTTCCGTCGGGTGTATGGTATTGGTATTTCAAAAGCTCTCTAGCTTTGTCAATTAAATAAGTTAATTAATAACTAATCAAACCTATTTTGATTTCTAATTCATTTATAATTTTACAATTGTTTTTACTTGCCCAACTCGCTTTAAAGATTTCTCCACAGCTTTATGTGAATCAAAATGTTCCCACCGAGCTTTAGATTCAATTGTCCCCGTTTATATTCTTTAAATTCCGTCCACAAAAAATCTTGTTTTCAAATTCTTTCAATTCTCCAGCTCAGTTTTTGCAACTTATAAATTTTTGGAAATCTCACTTTCGTAATTTTGTGTGAGCTTTCACTAACTGATTGCTCTTCAGAGCGACTCTTTTATTCAGAAAGTTTTGATAATAAATTAAAATTTCCCGGATTATTTCTGGAAAGAATTTTTGCCTTTTTAAAATAATTTTCCAATACCTTTCGAACTTTCATCGGAGTTTTTATATTCTTATGAAGTTTTTTGTAACTTCAGTTTAGTTTCATTTCTTATCTGTACTCATCCTACGAAGCTTATTTGTTGGACTTCCTTGCCACCTTTAGAACTTTTAGCCTTATGAAGCTTTCGTAAAAGCTTTCATGTACCTTCATTTAGTTTCATTTTTTATGTGCACTGACCCAACGAATATTTTATATTGTATTGTAGATCCTTCAGACTTTTTAGCAATATGAAGTTTTCGCAAAAGCTTTCATTTAACTTCGGTTTAGTTCCGCTTTCTATTTTCACTCATTATCCGAAGCTTTTAAGTTGCATATTCCTCTTCAATTTACAACTAACAAGAGCTTTCGCTTCAGATTTACGTTTTTTTTCTTTCTACCTTTCGCCATTTCTTTTTTTCGTTCCTCTGTTCTTACTTTAATTAGATTTGCTCGTATCTTCATACTTAAAGAACCCTTTAATTTAAAAGCTTAAGTGTTCACAGAACTTTCCCGCAGAATACAAATCAGATTTACCTTCCTCTCAGCACAAACGCCTTAGTCTTATACTAAAATGACTTTCAAGATTTTACAAAGCTTTCACATCTACGGAAATTTGAAAGCGCCACCTATTTGAGTATTTTCCATGTACGTGCTTTCATAAAAGCTCATTTATAAATCTCAGAATTCGATATTGAAATAAGTTTTTGTTATAATTTAAACTGCTTGTGTAATTATATAACTGTCAATAGCTTCGCTTTAGTATGAATAAACCAAGTTTTGTTTTAATTTGTTTTTGTTTTTGTATATTTAGCATATAATAATTGTGTGTATATTTTATTTATATAATGCTTCCTTTTTAATTTGCATATAATTCCGCAAAATAATTTAAATGCTTAGCGCTTTTGCTGCTTAATTTCATAAATACTTCAGCTGGATTTAGCTTTTCTTACTTATTATTATTTAGTTGTTTTTCGGCGATTTTTTCGCGTTTAATACATACATACATAAATAATTACACATTTAGCTTTATGCTGATTTTAGTGTTGTTTTAACATTTCATTTACAACAACATGCCACTATATATATGTATACTATATATGTAATAAATTAAGTACATTTCTTTGTTTGCTTTTATTTACTTTATTTTTCTTGTTGTTTTTGGTTTAGTTTTCGGTTTTTGTTTCTTTTTTAAATACGTATGTATGTCTGTGTAAGTGAATATATGTGATATATATAATTTCATATTTCTTTGCTTCATAGGAGGCAAAATTAATTTTCTTGTAATTTTTTACCTTGTTGTTGCTTTGTTTTGATTTTTTTTGTAATTTGTGACTTGTTTTCGCTTATATCTTTCATTTTTGTATTTATTTGTAAGTTTTTTTGGAAGTATAATTTCTTTATTAAATGTTTTTGTTTTACTATTTATTTTTTGTTAATTTATTAGTTTTTGTTTTTATTATAACGATTTTTTATTATTATATATTTATTAAAATTTTTAAAATTTTTATTATAAATAAATATATAATTACATTTTTATCATAAATATATATTTTAAAGTATTAGTATTTGGTAAATATTTTTAAATTATAATGTAAATCAAATAAATTTTAATAAAACAAAAAATATTGCAAATATTGGCTTTTTTAGCCTTAAGAGTTTTCGAAAAACTTGGGTTCAGTTTTTGTTGCATGCATCCCACGAAGCTTTTGAGTTGCAGATCCCTTATAACTTTAAAAACCATAACAGCTTTGATTGCTTTCAAGCGCTTGGGCTCAAGTTTCAAATAAATTATTTCTTTGCTATTTTGTCACTTGCTTGACTGTACTTGAATATGCTTATTTACATAAATTGTACAGTTTTTTTTCCATTTATTATTTTTTGGTATGTTTTTATCAATAATTTTATTTTTATTTAATATAATGTTTTATTAAAAAAAAATTAAATAAAATATTAATTTTAAATTAAAAGAAAAAAATTAAACGTTATGAACTCGTCATTTTCAATCATCATCAAAAAAAAAAAAATCAAAACATAAAATTAAAAGAAAATTATTCGAGAAGAGTTCATTCTTCTTTGTATATTTGTGAACTAAAATTTACTGTTTTCTTCCTTTTCTTTAATTTTGTAAGTCTTTTAAGCCACATTTTTTACGTTACTTTTATTATAATTTGTTTATTTATTCAAATTTATTTGTTGTTTCTTGAATAAAATTTTTTGTTGGGCATAGCTATTATTTTATTCCTTTGCATTTACTTTATCTCGTTTCAATTTATTTCTTTTCGCTTTATATTGTATGTTTTTATTTTAATTCTTACTAATTTAACTTTTTTAGTTTTTATTTAATGTTTTTTATGTTATGTTATTTTATTTCTTATTTAATTCGCCTTTTAGATTATTTTAATTTAAATTTTTTTTTTGATTATATTTCATTTTATTTTATTTTCATTTCGTTTTATTTTATTTTACATAATTTTATTTTATTGAATTTTATTTATTTTATATTTAATTTAATTTTATTTTTTGCCATAGTTTCATTTTATTTTATTTTATATATATTTTTTATTTTTTTAAATTTTTGTTTATATTTTTTTTCTTTTTATTTCATTGTATTTTATTTAATTTTTTTTCATGTCATAGTTTTTGATCTCATTTTATTTTATTTATTAGTTTTTTCATTTCATTTTATTTTATTTTAATATATTGAATTAAATTTTTTTATTTGTTATTATTTAGTTTTGTTTTTTATAATGAGAGAATTACTTGAATTATTTTAAAAATATTTTGACTTACTTTATTTAATTATACTTTAATTTTAATTTTAATTCATATTCAATTATTTTTTAATTGAAATTATACTTCTTTTCTGTTATTTTTTTAATTATGATTTCTCTATTGATTTCCTTTTTTCCACCCATTTTTAAATTATTTTTAAGGTCATTTCATTATTTTTTTTTTTGATTTGGTTAAAAAAACATTTTATATTTTTTCAGTTTCATTGACAACTTTTTTTGTTTCAGTTCTGGATATATTTAATAAATATAGTTCTAATTACTTTTATTATTTGTTATTATTATTCAAATAATTATTAAAATAACCATTAACCATATTTTGAAGTTTCTTTTTAATTATTTAAAACTTTTTATTTCTCCTTTGACTTTTTTTTTAGCAATCTTGTCTCTTCAACGCTCTTAATATTTGCTCTTCTCAATTTTATTCTTTTATTCGCTTTATATTATGTCTTGATATCTTGTTTTTAGTGTTTTATTATTTCTTCTCTTTTACCGCTCGTTTCTTGTATTTTTTTAAGATTTTGGTTTTCTTATAGAGTCATTTACATCTTTATATGAATCGGGCAATGTGTACGTGCATATATTTCTCTTTTATGTAATTAAATATCTTCAACAAATATGCATTTAATTACTGTAATTACCATTTTCCATAAAATTACAATTCATTTGCACTGTTTTACGTTGACAGTTTCTTTTTATGTTTTATTGCCTTCCGAGACTTCGCATAAAAAGCGGCATCAATAAACAAAATGGCGCTACACTAAATTTTTTCCAATTGCAAAATCTCGTGTAGTACACCAAAAACTCCGCCATAATTATGCTTATGTCTGCTATGCTAATAACTCTCGTTTCATAAAAAGTAAGCAAAAGCTGCGTACTTATTTATATAAGCGCAAAGCTCTGTAAAACCTTCACTCATTCCATTTTCGCAGTTATAGATTTTCCGTTTTATATTATGTATGCATTTGTGTTTTGGTTTCTTCAACAGGTATGTCAACCTTTTGTATATGCTCTTGTGTTGCGACGCTGAGTTGTGGACCTTTGAAGCGTGAAAGCTCTCACTGGCTGTTGCACTTTGCAGCGGCTGTTTAAATGCGCACACTTACCGCGCCTACATGCGAATTTCAGCCATTAAAGCTTTCATGTGTTGCTATTATTTGCTTGTTCGTTTGTTACAAGCTTTACCTTTTTTTCATAAAAAGCTTCACGATTGATGTTCGGTCAAAAGCTTCATTGCCATTTTAGTTTGTTTGATTTTTTATTTTTATTTTTGTATTTAGTTCTTATGTTTTAGTACTTAAAGTATTTAGTAGAGTTAAGCTTTCAGTTATAGAGTTGTATCAGATTTTCGGCATCGGCGAATGAGATAAACATCCCCGTGGCCTAGAACTCCAAGCGATAGGCGGCGCATGATGTTTCGTGATCCTGCAAGTTGATTGTGCAACGCGATGCTGAAGGCGATAAATCGATACGATATTTGGCCAAAAGCTCCTCATTCTCAGCAACCCAATAGCCTAGTACATCCGTATCGTATGTGGGTATTATGGTGACCTCTGAAAGCCCGGAAAATATTATTTAGACCAGCAATTGACATTTACAACAAGCAAATTAGACTTACCCAAGTCCTTGTCCTCCCATGTTTGTTTAGCCTCCAACAGCGCATCGTACACTTGACGGCTGGGTTCGGTGCCGGAGAAGACATAGTAACGCGCGCGTACACGCTTGAAGAATTCGACGTGCGAGTAGTAGGAATTGCCATTGTGTGGTACGTAGGTGAGATCCACATAAACGGGCGCCGGCTTCTTGGCCTTATTGGGTGACTCTGAACGTTTGCGCAGATTCTTTTCGTTGTTTAAACGTGTCTTAGTGGCCACTAAACGACGCTCCTTTTTCGGTGTGGTGCGCACATCACCCTCAATGGGTAGCGGTGCGGGTGATGGCAGACCCAATGGTTTGCCCCATTCCTTTAGTGGGTCTTTAGGCAGTGCTCCGGTAGCGCTTGATGACGTTGTGATGGTGGTTGTTGCGGTCTCACTTGCAGCTGTGCCGAAAGCAGTTGCGCCTGCGCCTTCAGCACTACTAGTGGTTGTTGTGGTTGTAGTAGTTGTTGTCTTGCCATCTTTGCTTTCAGTTGCGCTTTCGACCGTGCTGCTGGTGTGAGTGCTGCTGCTAGTTACAGTGGTGCCGGTTTCGGTGAAGCGTGTTTTCTGTACATCGACTAACGGGAATTTTGGTTTCTCAACGCTGGCCACACTATGCTCTACCTCTTCCGCTTTGGAGGGCGAATAAGAATATTTGGCGGTAACTGAAGACATAACATCTGCGCCACGTACTTGAACATGCTCTTCGAGCGCCTTTTCGAAATCCATGTCAGCTTCTTCGAGGAATTTGTGATCATCACTGTCAACGCTGGCGCGTGTTCCGCCGCTGATTACTTGACGGCTGGCTGAGGTTTGGCTAGTGCTTTCGATGCTCTCCGTGGATTGACTTGCAGGTGAGTCGGCTACATATGTGCGCGTGGTGACGGTACGCGTGGTGGTACCGCATATAGGTATGGGTGCGGTTGGTTTGGTGTCGAAACTATCGGGCAATGCGCCATAGAATGAAGTGCTCATTGGATCGGCGATCTTTTGCAGACAGCTGATGGTTGAGGATACAGCGCGGGCGGCAGAGTGTTCTTCGCTGCCATATTGTGGCGGTATATCATCTTGGCTGTCGTCCACATCAAAGTCGGAGCGTTTACTCACGCCCGAGCTGGATCGTTGTAATTCATAGCTTGCACCATGTGATGAGGCAAGGCTGCGTGGCGATGCGGGTAGCTCTTCATCACTCATGTAAGCACCAGTCATGCGTTCGTCATCACTGCCGGGTGTGGAAGAACGGTATGCGCCGCGCAGCAACGCCACCTCCTTGGGTAATATATGATCGCCCTTGTCACTTTCGCTGGTAGTGCGTGTGGTGGTTACAGTCACCTTCTCGCCATCTGGCTCTGTGGTATCTGTGGTGGTAACTGTCTTCTCTTCCATAACGATTTCCTTGCCATCGCTAGATATCACTTTGGTTACGGTTGTAATAGTTGTTGTGATTATTTTTTCAGTGCTACCACTAAGCGCAGTTGTCTTTTCAATTCCGCGTAGCTCATGTAAATCTGGGAGCACGCTCTCGCTGTACTCTTGTGTCGCAAAGGTACTAGAGCTAACGGCCTCGCTGACAGCGGAGCTGGCTGATTTCAACTCTTCTTTGCTTACACGTGGGAATGGCGAAGTGGGCTTTGGCGACGATTCGGACGCATCTGTAAGAGAACCGCGACCAAAAGGTGTTGGTAATGATTGACTTTCAGACGTGAGTGCACCGGGACTCGACTTACCGCTAATATCCCTTGGTGAGAGTGGTCCACTAACTGAAGCTGCACTGCTGCCGCAAGTTTCACTTAATGTTGTTGTAGTGGTGACTACAGTACTTGCGCCAGTTGTGGTGTGTCTTATGCCAGGGCTCACTGGTGCAGTGGGTGGTGTCTTTGGATCACTCTCGAGTGGTTGCGTTAAGATTATGGTTTCCAATTGTGTTGATATTTTCGATTTGATCTCGGAACCCACGCCACTAACTTGTTCACTTGGCTTGTGCGCAGTAGTTGTTGTTTTGGTGACAGTCGATTTGGCTGATTCAATATACTCAGCATGCTCTTCACTTTCCTCTTCTTCTAGTTTCTCAAAGGTGTCTATGTCCTCGGAGGGTTTATAAATGCTGGTCATCATAATTGTCGCTATAGATTTAGAACGTCCCTCCTTCATGCTAATTAGACCCTCATCTTCCTCTTCGTCTTCGTGATCACTGTGTGTGTGCCGTCCTTCGCTTGTTTGGCTGAATTCGGATTCTCTTCGCGAACTATCTTTCATGCTTGCCACTAAATCAGATGTTCTTCGAGATCCTGTAGTCGATTGTGTTGTTGTTGTTTTTATAGTCTTATCTAAGCTTTCACCTGAAGATTTTGTAGTTTTTGTATCGCTTACAAAGCTATCCTTCGCTGAAACAATTTTCTCTACAGCCAAGAACTCAGCCACGGTGTCTTTGAGTATTTCTTTACTGTCTAAGACCACAGTTTCACTTTGGGTGGCAGTTTTGAGCGTAGTGCGAGCATCTACCTTTTGTGTTGTCATATCGCTGGTTTGAATTTCACTAATTATCGACTCTGAAGAACATTCCTCTGAATGTGTCATGGACTCCTCCGCTTGGGTGAGCACTTCAGTTTTCATAGTCTTCACGAAGGACTCCTCAAGCTTTTTATCATCGCTTATTTTACGATCATATTTGCTTGCAACAAAACTGGAAAGGCACTCTCTGGAGGAACCATCTTCCACTTTAACACTATTCATGTATTCACTATGAGACTCCTCAGGCAGATGTGTTCGAATGGATGAATCTATTGACTTACTAACAGGGGTTGATATTTCCGTTGAAGAGGATATGGATTCAGAAGTTGTGAACGAGTCAGCACCCTTTTCATCTAATGCTGTTTGAGCGAACCTAGATTCAGAGTCCGCTAGGAAAGCGTTTTTTAGTTCTTCCTTTTGAGTAAAGATTTCACTATCCACTGATCTTGTTACTGCTGAAGTCCTTCCTCCCATCGTAATTATATGAATATTTGCGGATTCTAAAACTTTTTCCTCTTTGGCAGCTTTCACTTCTTTTACTTCAATTGACGACAAATCTGAAGCACCTCCAATTTCCCCAGTATTTCCAATCTTCTCGCCCTTGGTGCTAGCAACAGATTCAGGTCGTAAAGGTTCCTTGGAAGTAACAGGTGACTTATCATCTTTCTTGCTTTCTGCTGCCGACAAAACTGACTCACGACGAGATTCAACAGTTTCTTCCCTCTTAATTTCTGTAGATGACAAAACTGATTCATGACGGGATTCAACCGCTTCTTCCTTCTTACTTTCTACTGTCGACAAAACTGATTCACGACAGGATACAACAGTGTCTTTAATATGCTCGTCTTTAGTGCTAGAAACAGATTCTGGTCGGGACGGTTCCTTAGAAGCTGCAGGTGACTTATCGTCTTTCTTGCTTTCTGCAGTCGATAAAACTGACTCACGACGGGATTCTATCGCTTCTTCTTTCTTACTTTCGGCAAATGACAAAACTGATTCACGGCGGGATTCAGCAGCTTCTCCAATTTTCTCGTCTTTACTGCTGACGACAGATTCTGGTCGTGATGGTTCCTTGGAAACAACAGGCGACGAATCATCTTTCTTGCTTTCTGCAACCGACAAAACTGACTCACGACGGAATTCAACAGTTTCTTCAATATGCTCTTCTTTACTGCTGACGACAGATTCTGGTCGTGATGGTTCTTTGGAAGTTATTGGTGACTTATCGTCTTTCTTGCTTTCTGCAGCCGACAAAACTGATTCGCGACGAGACTCAGCAGTTTCTTCCTTATTGCATTCGGCAGATGACAAAACTGATTCACGACGGGATTCAGCAGCTTCTCCAATTTTCTCATCTTTACTGCCGACGACAGATTCTGGTCGTGATGGTTCCTTGGAAGTTACTGGCGATTTGTCATCTTTCTTGCTTTCTGCAGCCGACAAAACTGACTCATGACGGGATTCAACCGTTTCTTCCTTCTTAATTTTTGAAGATGACAAAACTGATTCACGACGGGATTCAACCGCTTCTTCCTTCTTACTTTCTACTGTTGACAAAACTGATTCATGGCGACATTCAGCAGTTTCTTCAATCTTCTCGTCTTCAGTGCTAACGAGAGATTCAGGTCGGGACGGTTCCTTAGAAGCTGCAGGTGACTTATCGTCTTTCTTGCTTTCTGCAGTCGATAAAACTGACTCACGACGGGATTCTATCGCTTCTTCCTTCTTACTTTCGGCAGATGACAAAACTGATTCACGACGGGATTCAGCAGTTTCTTCAATCTTCTCGCCTTCAGTGCTGCCGACAGATTCTGCTCGTGACGGTTCCTTTGAAGCTGCAAGCGACTTATCATCTTTCTTGCTTTCTTCAGCCGACAAAACTGACTCACGGCGACTTTCACCAGTCTCTTCAATCTTCTCGTCTTCAGTGCTGACGACAGATTCTGCTCGTGATGGTTCCTTTGAAGCTGCAAGTGACTTATCATCTTTCTTGCTTTCTGCAGCCGACCAAACTGACTCACGACGAGATTCAGCAGTTTCTTCTTTCTTACTTTCGGCAGATGACAAAACTGATTCATGACGGGATTCAACCGCTTCTTTCTTCAATCTTCTCGCTTCAGTGCTGCCGACAGATTCTGCTCGTGACGGTTCCTTTGAAGCTGCAAGCGACTTATCATCTTTCTTGCTTCTTCAGCCGACAAAACTGACTCACGGCGACTTTCACCAGTCTCTTCAATCTTCTCGTCTTCAGTGCTGACGACAGATTCTGCTCTGATGGTTCCTTTGAAGCTGCAAGTGACTTATCATCTTTCTTGCTTTCTGCAGCCGACCAAACTGACTCACGACGAGATTCAGCAGTTTCTTCTTTCTTACTTTCGGCAGATGACAAAACTGATTCATGACGGGATTCAACCGCTTCTTTCTTCTTACTTTCTACTGTCGACAAAACTGACTCACGACGGGACTCAAAAGTTTCTTCAATCTTCTCGTCTTCAGTGCTGGCGACAGATTCTGCTCGTGACGGTTCCTTAGAAGCTGCAGGTGACTTATCGTCTTTCTTGCTTTCTGCAGTCGACAAAACTGACTCACGACGAGATTCGGCAGTTTCTTCAATTTTCTCGTCTTTACTGCTGACGACAGATTCTGGTCGTGATGGTTCCTTGGAAACAGCAGGTGACGAATCATCTTTCTTGCTTTCTGCAATCGACAAAACTGACTCACGACGGAGTTCAACAGTTTCTTCAATATGCTCTTCTTTAGTGCCAGAAACAGATTCTGGTCGCGACGGTTCCTTGGAAGTTACTGGTGACTTATCGTCTTTCTTACTTTCTGCTGTCGACAAAACTGATTCACGGCGAGATTCAGCAGTTTTTTCAATTTTCTCATCCTTAGTGCTGAGAACAGATTCTGGTGGTGATGGTTCCTTGGATACAACAGGTGACGAATCATCTTTCTTGCTTTCTGCAGTCGACAAAACTGACTCACGACGGGACTCAAAAGTTTCTTCAATCTTCTCGTCTTCAGTGCTGGCGACAGATTCTGCTCGTGACGGTTCCTTAGAAGCTGCAGGTGACTTATCGTCTTTCTTGCTTTCTGCAGTCGACAAAACTGACTCACGACGAGATTCGGCAGTTTCTTCAATATGCTCTTCTTTACTGCTGACGACAGATTCTGGTCGTGATGGTTCTTTGGAAGTTATTGGTGACTTATCGTCTTTCTTGCTTTCTGCAGCCGACAGAACTGATTCACGACGGGATTCAGCAGTTTCTTCAATCTTCTCGTCTTTAGTGCCAGAAACAGATTCTGGTCGCGACGGTTCCTTGGAAGTTATTGGGGACTTATCGTCTTTCTTACTTTCTGCTGTCGACAAAACTGATTCACGGCGAGATTCAGCAGTTTTTTCAATTTTCTCATCCTTAGTGCTGAGAACAGATTCTGGTGGTGATGGTTCCTTGGATACAACAGGTGACGAATCATCTTTCTTGCTTTCTGCAGTCGACACAACTGACTCACGACGGGATTCAACAGTTTCTTCAATCTTTTCGTCCTTAGTGCTACAAACGGATTCTGGTCGTGACGGTTCCTTAGAAGCTGCAGGTGACTTATCGCCTTTCTTGCTTTCTGCAGTCGACAAAACTGACTCACGACGGGATTCAACAGTTTCTTCAATTTTTCGTCCTTAGTGCTACAAACGGATTCTGGTCGTGACGGTTCCTTAGAAGTGCAGTTGTTGACTTTCTTGCTTTCTGCAGTCGACAAAACTGACTCACGATGGGATTCTATCGCTTCTTCCTTCTTACTTTCGGCAGATGACAAAACTGACTCACGACGGGATTCTATCGCTTCTTCCTTCTTGCTTTCTGCAGTCGACAAAACTGACTCACGACGGGATTCAACAGTTTCTTCAATCTTCTCGTCCTTAGTGCTACAAACAGATTCTGGTCGCGACGGTTCCTTGGAAGTTATTGGGGACTTATCGTCTTTCTTACTTTCTGCTGTCGACAAAACTGATTCACGGCGAGATTCAGCAGTTTTTTCAATTTTCTCATCCTTAGTGCTGAGAACAGATTCTGGTGGTGATGGTCTTGGATACAACAGGTGACGATCATCTTTCTTGCTTTCTGCAGTCGACAAAACTGACTCACGACGGGATTCAACAGTTTCTTCAATCTTTTCGTCCTTAGTGCTACAAACGGATTCTGGTCGTGACGGTTCCTTAGAAGCTGCAGGTGACTTATCGCCTTTCTTGCTTTCTGCAGCCGACAAAACTGACTCACGACGAGATTCAGCAGTTTCTTCAATCTTTTCGTCTTTAGTGCTAGAAACCGATTCTGGTCGCGACGGTTCCTTGGTAGTTACTGGTGACTTGTCATCTTTCTTGATTTCAGCAGTCGACAAAACTGACTCACGACGGGATTCAACAGTTTCTTCAATCTTCTCGTCTTTAGTGCTACAAACGGATTCTGGTCGTGACGGTTCCTTAGAAGCTGCAGGTGACTTATCGCCTTTCTTGCTTTCTGCAGTCGACAAAACTGACTCACGACGGGATTCTATCGCTTCTGCCTTCTTACTTTCGGCAGATGACAAAACTGATTCACGACGGGATTCTATCGCTTCTTCCTTCTTGCTTTCTGCAGTCGACAAAACTGACTCACGACGAGATTCAACAGTTTCTTCAATCTTCTCGTCCTTAGTGCTACAAACAGATTCTGGTCGGACGGTTCTTAGAAGCTGCAGGTGACTATCGTCTTTCTTGCTTTCTGCATCATCATCCTTAGTGCTGAGAACAGATTCTGGTGGTGATGGTTCCTTGGATACAACAGGTGACGAATCATCTTTCTTGCTTTCTGCAGTCGACAAAACTGACTCACGACGGGATTCAACAGTTTCTTCAATCTTTTCGTCCTTAGTGCTACAAACGGATTCTGGTCGTGACGGTTCCTTAGAAGCTGCAGGTGACTTATCGCCTTTCTTGCTTTCTGCAGTCGACAAAACTGACTCACGACGGGATTCTATGGCTTCTTCCTTCTTACTTTCGGCAGATGACAAAACTGATTCACGACGGGATTCAGCAGATTCTCCAATTTTCTCGTCTTTACTGCTGACAGATTCTGGTCGTGATGCCTTGGAAGTACAGGTGACTTATCATCTTTCTGCTTCTGCGCGACAAACTGACTCACGACGAGATTCAGCAGTTTCTTCTTTCTTACTTTCGGCGGATGACAAAACTGATTCACGACGGATTCAACCGCTTCTTCCTTTTAACTTCTGTGAGACAAAACTGATTGACGACGCGATTCAACCGCTTCTTCCTTCTTATTTTCTATGTCGACAAAATAATTCATGGCGACATTCAGCAGTTCTACATCTTCTCGTCTTCGGTGCTGACGACAGATTCTGGTCGCGAGGTTTCTTGGACGCTGCAGTTGACTCACCGTCTTTCTTGCTTTCCGCAGTCGGCAAAATTGATTCACGACGGATTCAACCGTTTCTTCCTTCTTATTTTCGGCAGATGACAAAACTGACTCACGACGGGATTCAACAGTGTCTTTAATATGCTCTTCTTTAGTGCTAGAAACAGATTCTGGTCGCGACGGTTCCTTGGAAGTTACTGGTGACTTGTCATTTTTCTTGATTTCAGCAGTCGACAAAACTGACTCACGACGGACTCAGCAGTTTCTTTAATCTTCTCGTCCTTAGTGCTACAAACAGATTCTGGTCGTGACGTTCATTGAACTGCAGGTGACTTATCGTCTTTCTTGCTCTGTCAGTCGACAAAACTGACTCTCGACGGATTCTATCGCTTCTTCCTTTTACTTTCAGCATACGACAAAACTGACTCACGACGAGATTCGGCAGTTTCTGCAATCTCTTCGTCTTTAGTGCTAGAAACAGATTCTGGTCGCGACGGTTCCTTGGTAGTTACTGGTGACTTGTCATCTTTCTGATTTCAGTAGTCGACAAAACTGACTCACGACGGGACTCAGCGGTTTCTTTAATCTTCTCGTCCTTATGCTACAAACAGATTCTGGTCGTGACGGTTCATTGGAAGCTGCAGGTGACTTATCGTCTTTCTTGCTCTCTGCAGTCGACAAAACTGACTCTCGACGGGATTCTATCGCTTCTTCCTTCTTACTTTCGGCAGACGACAAAACTGACTCACGACGAGATTCGGCAGTTTCTTCAATCTTTTCTTCTTTAGTGCTAGAAACAGATTCTGGTCGGGACGGTTCCTTGGAAGTTACTGGTGACTTATCGTCTTTCTTACTTTCTGCTGTCGACAAAACTGATTCACGGCGAGATTCAGCAGTTTTTCAATTTTCTCGTCCTTAGTGCTGAGAACAGATTCTGGTGGTGATGGTTCCTGGAAACAACAGATGACGAATCATCTTCTTGCTTTTGCAGTCGACGAAACTGACTCCACGACGGGATTCAACAGTTTCTTCAATCTTCTCGTCCTTAGTGCTACAAACAGATTCTGGTCGGGACGGTTCCTTAGAAGCTGCAGGTGACTTATCGTCTTTCTTGCTTTCTGCAGTCGATAAAACTGACTCACGACGGGATTCTATCGCTTCTTCCATCTTACTTTCGGCAGACGACAAAACTGACTCACGACGAGATTCGGCAGTTTCTTCATCTTTGGCTTTAGTGCTAGAAACCGATTCGGTCGCGACGGTTCCTTGGAAGATACAGGTGACTTATCATCTTTCTTGATTTCGGCAGATGACAAACTGACTCACGACGGATTCAACCGTTTCTTCTTTTTACTTTTGGCAGATGACAAAACTGATTCACGACAGGATTCAACAGAGTCTTTAATATGCTCTTCGTTAGTGCTAGAACAGATTCTGGTCGCGACGGTTCCTTGAGATTACTGGTGCTTGTCATCTTTCTTGATTTCAGCAGCCGACAGAGCTGACTCACGACGGGACTCAAAAGTTTCTTCAATCTTCTCGTCTTTAGTGCTACAAACGGATTCTGGTCGTGACGGTTCCTTAGAAGCTGCAGGTGACTTATCGTCTTTCTTGCTTTCTGCAGTCGACAAAATTGACTCACGTCGAGATTCAACACTTTCTTCCTTGGTACTTTTAGTAGTCGACAAAACTGACTCTCGACGTGTTTCAATCGTTTCTTCCTTCTTGCTTTCAGCCGTCGATAAAACTGATTCACGACGAGATTCACCAGTTTCTTCAATCTTCTCGTCCTTAGTGCTACAAACAGATTCTGATCGTGACGGTTCTTTGGAAGTTACTGGTGACTTATCGCCTTTCTGGCTTTCTGCAGTCGATAAAACTGACTCTAGACGAGATTCGGCAATTTCCTCAATTTGTTCGTCTTTTTTAGCCTTAGTTGCTGCTTCCTTACGCAGCTCTTTTTCGGACTCTTCAATTTTGTCTTTTTCTTCAATTGATATTGGACCCGACCGCAGTTCAGGGGAAGACTTTTCTGATTCATCCGCGGCAGAGTCTTCAGTGTAGTGCTGGTAGTCTATGTCTAGTGGTTTAATTGTAGAAACTCTTTCTGGTATAGTTTCGGGAGCCATGGTCGGCATAAAAACAATACTGCCTTTTGGACAAATGTCTATTTCTTCTCCACCATCTTCACTACTGGCAGTTACCAACATTCTTTGTACTGTTGTGGTTTCTGGCTCTGCTTCTTCTGGCGTTTTCAAACGCTGTACCAACTTTTCTTCATCGAAATCGGGAATGATTTCAGTTATATCTTTTTCAGATTTCAAAACCTTGGCAACATCGGCTACTATTTTGGCGACCTCTTCCTCACGGGGTGAAACTGGACGTAAGGGCTGTTCACTGCATATTGCCGGTTTTGTGGTGGGTGGCGATATTCTGTGCTCTTCCTCCTCTTCCTTTATGTCGTGAAGTATGGTTTCATCGCGTTCGGTCATCATCACTTTGAATTCTGGCGATTCTACCGTTGTAATATGTGTTTCTCTTAATTCGGTGGAGTATGTGGTCAGCTCAAGGGGTAGTTTAGTAGTAACTGGCAAAGACTCCAGTTCGATTTGTTCAGTTTTTGCTAATTCTTTCGAAATTTCCTTTACCTCCTCATGTTTTTTCTCTACAGTGTCGAATATGCTGGTCTTGACATCTTTAATGAATCCAGTTATGCCTGTGGAAATATCGGTTTTAATATTATCAACCGTGGTAGTAACCGCTGTGGTAACCTCGACTGTAGTAGACTTTGAGTCGTCAATCAGTTTATCTACACCGTCTATAACAACTTTAATTCTGTCATCGGCTACCTCTGATACAACAAAAATTTTGTCTGCTAAAACCTGAGAAGCAGCTTGCACAGTTTCTTCTGTTGTCTTTTGCGCATCTTCGATTATTTCGGTTACTGGAGTTACCTTTTCTGAGATTTCTTCGGGAGCTAGTTTTGCCTTATCAACAGCGAAGTATTGAGCATCAGTCGCCTGCTTGGATATTTCTTCAGCTGTCTCTCCAGCCTCTGAAGCGATAGCTTTCGTTTTCTCCTCAGCCGCTGTTTCTACCTCTTCGACTTTTTTGGTGACTTCTTCTGTTACGGGTTTCGTCTTGTCTTCGACAACTTGAGACATTTCACCAAACTTCTGTGTTATATCTTCGACTACAGTTTTATGTTTCTCTGCTGTAAGGCTAGTGAAATCTTCAAGTTTTTTTCCTGTTTTAAGGAGAGCTTCGCCAATCGACTTTGTTGTTTCATCTAATTTTTTAACGGCTTCTTGTGCCGTTACTTCCACCTTTTCTGCTACAAGTTCCTTATCTAAAGTCTCGGTTACAAACTTGATCTTATCATCATCAGATTTTTCAGCAACTTCTTCAACTTTCTTTACGTATTCATCTAATACTGCTTCTGTTTTATCTTCAACTGTATCCTTGAGTTCTCCGACTGCTTTGGTGGTGTCTTCAAAACCACTTTCTGCTTTAGCTGTTACCTTTTCGGTTATTTCGCCAGCAGTTTTAGCAGCTTCAGCGAATATAACCTTTCCTTTATCTTCAACTATATGTGCAATATCTTCAACTTTCTTAACTGTATCTTCTGTAACTGATGTTGTTACATCTTCTATTACATCGCTGATAGCCTTTGAAGTTTTCTTAATTACAGCCTCAGTCTTTTCTTCCACTAATTTAGCTTCATCTTTAACTGTCTCTTTAGCGATTTTTGTAGCCTTGCTAATTTCTTCGATTGTAGTCACTGCTTTATCTTCAACAACCTCGCTTATAGCTTCAATTTTTTCAACAAATTCCTCTGCTACCGTCTTAACTTCATCAGCCATTGCCTCTTTTCGGACTTCAGTTATTTTAGTATATTCGTCTGCGACTTTAGTAACTTCTTCAGTGATCTCAATTGTTTCTTCAACTGCCACCTTTAACTTGCTTTCAACTTCTTCGGTTATTTTATCAATCTTCTTAATAGCTTCCTCTGCGGTTGCTCTTACTAATTTTTCAGTTGCCTGTTTTGTATCGGTGACAATAGCGCTTGCTTCGGAGTCAGTTTTTTCAATTTTAGCGTCGTCTTCAAGTTTTTCAGCTGCATCCTTTAACTCTTTTCCGAGGACATCGAGTGTATCATCAAAGACTGTTGTAACTGCCTGTCTAACATTACTGATATCAATTAAATCTTTAGCTTCGTCTACGGGACTTGAAACTGTGTCTGTAACACTTAGGACAGCACTTTCTGCTGGTGCACTTCTTAGATCAGCTATTTTGCTGGGTTCAATTGCGGCATCGGGGAAATGTCCGTCTGCTACATCTACAGGGCTTGACTTCGTTGGTAGTTTGGCATCTAACTTCGCACTTTCCAAGTTTAATGCCAACTGCAGATCTTCCATTTTTATTGGCGCTCGATCCACAGGAGATGAAGCAGTATCAATTTCATCCTTGGCTTCCACACGAACAATATCTATGGAAGCTGTTGGTGATTCTGATCGAGAAATTTCTTTGGAAGCAACATGCGATTTTTCATCTCTTATACTCTCGGCAGCTGATGCAGGCTTTGAAGCGAGTGGTGATTTATCATCTTTAATACTTGCAGCCACAGACTCTGGGCGTGAGGGTTCTGCAGATGGAGCAGCAGATTTTTCATCTTTCACACTCTCTACTGCTGAAGTAGGCTTTGAAGCGAGTGGTGACTTTTCATCTTTAATACTTTCTGCCATGGACTCTCGACGTGAGGGCTCTGCAGAAGGATCAGCGGATTTTACATCCTTTACACTTTCTCCTGCCGATGCAGGTTTTGATGCGAGTGAAGACTTTTCTTCCTTTATACTTTCAGCAACGGATTCTGGTCGTGAGGGCTCTGCGGAAGGAGCAGGGGACTTTTCATCTTTTACCCTCTCTATTAACGAAGCAGGCTTTGATGCGGATGGTGTATTTTCATCTTTAATACTTTCTGCCATGGACTCTCGTCGTGAGGCCTCTTCAGAAGGAGCAGCGGATTTTTCATCCTTCACACTCTCTACTGCCGAAGCAGGCTTTGATGCGAGTGGAGACTTTTCTTCCTTTATACTTTCAGCAACGGATTCTGGTCGCGAGGCCTCTGCAGAAGCCGGAGCTGATTTTTCATCCCTCATACTCTCTGTGGCTGATGGCGGCTTCGAAGCTACTGGCGACTTTTCAACTTTGTCTCCTACAGAGGGTCGTCTAGAGCTTTCCTTCGAAATTTTGGGAGAAGCACCTTCAGGACTTTCGGGGCGTTCTACCTCGTCTGCAGAGATGACAATTAACTCCTTTGCTTCATCAACTGGAGTGGATATTGTTTCCGCACTTGCTACAGTGGTTTCTTCTGCGGGAGCCTTTTTATGTTCTATAGTTGCTTCCTTTACTTCTGGGAAGTCACCATAGGCAACATCTACAGGACTTGAAGATGTTGGAAGGTTAGTGCTAGATTTTACTTTATCTAAATCAAGTGCCAATTCAGTTAGATCTAAGTTCGTGGAGGCCTTATCCACTGGTGATGAAACGGTTTCTGATTCAATAACTTGATCCTTGTCTTCCTGTGTGATCTCTGCAACAGACCCGGTACGAGATACTTCTTTAGATGTGGTTGGGGATTTTTCATCTTTTATGCTTTCTTTAGTTGATTCTGGCTGTGATACTTCTTTTGAATCAAGAGGCGATTTTTCTTCTTTGACACTTTCGGCTATGGAAGTGGGTTGCGTAGTTTCTGTCGGAACTTCATGTGACTTTTGGTCTATGTGGCCTCCCGCAGCAGTATCTACTTTGAAAGCGATTGGTGATTTGTCTTCACTTTCTGATGTTCTTCGGGATGGTTCTTTTGAAATTACTGGTGATTTTTCATCTTCTGGACTCTCTGGACGCGAAGCAATAGCAGCCTCCGTGACTAGATCTTTTGCCTCATCTATAGGACTGGAAACGGTCTCCGCACCACTAACAGTAGTGCTTTCAGCAGGTACTTTCTGAGTTTCAAATGCGCCCTTAACTTCCGAGCACTCGCCTTCCGCCACATCAACAGGACTTGAAGATGTTGGCAGTTTTGTATCACGCTTTGAAACGTCTAAGTCCAAAGTAAGTGCAGTAGTATCAATTTTTCTTGGTGCCTTATCAACCGGAGAAGAAACAGTTTCTGCTTCGAATTTTTCAGCTTCACTGTAAATACTTTCTGCAACAGAAGGTGGGCGAGATTCTTCTTTAGAGGCAGAGGGAGACTTGTCATCTTTAATACTATCGACAGTTGACACTAGCAGTGAGGCTTCTTTGGAGACGGGAGGTGATATCTCGTCTTTGATACCCTCGGCAGCAGACTTTTCTTTTGGAGAAAGTTCGACTTTTTCTTCCTTCTCTTCCTTTTCATCTAACATTATGGATGTTTTACGAGATCCTACCTTGAAATCACTTTCTTTTATTTCCTGAGATGTTTTTCTACTGGCTTGTAAGGACTTCTGCATTTCAACTTCGATAGCTTCTTCGATGGTGGCTGGACTTCCTATTGAAACTGTGTCGTCCTTATCTTTTGGCTTAGTTGTATCAATATCTGCAAGTACTAGTGCAGGAAGCTCGTCCTCCGATGTAATTTCACTACCATCCTTTTCTTCAGGTGTACTTGTGGATTTCTTAGATTCTTCTGTTGTTGCTTTGTCAACAGGGGATGATACTTTATCTTTAGGAGACGAGGGCTTTTCATCAGAAACTGATTTCTCAGCGAATATACTTATAGGTGAGGTCGCTTTAAGAGATTCAGCTATTTCTTTTTCCAATGACGTTGCTGGTTTTTCTGCATCAGCGGCCAAAATATCTTTCGTTTGTACTTCGAATTCTATAGGTGATTTTGGTTTCTCGATCATCTTATCGGTTAAAGCTCCTTCTGCTTTTTTCAATGTGGAGACTTTCTCAGCAGTTGTGATCTCCGCTGCAACTGGAAGATCTTCTGAGGCTAAAATATCCTCTTTCTTTGCAGGTAATTCTTTCTTTTCAGCAGAAGATGCAGGTTTGTCAGCTGAAGAAGGTGCTTTCTCTACTTCCATTTTTATTGGAGAGATGAATTTTTCTACCTTCTCCGTTAAAATCTCAGCATTTAGGATCTCCTTTTCTTCAGGAGATGCAGGCTTCTCGGCAGGTGATGTCATTTTCTCAGATTTTTCTGATGGTGATCGAACCTTTTCAGTTAAAATGTCCTCTGCTTTTAATGCTTCCTTCTCAACAGGAGATGTAGGTTTCTCATCAGGGGAAGATACTTTTGAAACTTGTGGAGCCTCCTTTTCTGTTGGAGAAGTAGGAGATGCAGGCTTCTCGGAGGCAGAAGATACTTTCGAAACTTGTGAAGCCTCCTTTTTTGTTGGAGAAGCTGCAATAGGTGACGGTACTTTCTCCACTTCTGCAGTTTCAATTGGAGAGGCAGATTTTTCAGCTGGTGAAGGTGTCTTCTCAGTTATAATATCATCTGTTTTAATCGGTTCCTTCTCAATAGGTGATGTAGGCTTTTCAGCAGGTGATGCAAGGTTCTCCGCAGCTGATGGCGCTTTCTCCTTTTCAGTTGGAATATCTGCAGGCGAAGGAACTTTCTCAACTGCTGGGGCCTCCTGTTCTGAAGGAGCCTCCTTGGTCAAAATATCATCAGCTTTCATCGCTGCTTTATCAACAGGAGATGCAGGCTTCTCAGCAGGGGAAGGTACTTTTTCATCCTGCGGAGCCTCTTTTTCTGTTGGAGAAACCGATTTTTCGGTTGGAGTAGGAAGTTTTTCGGTTGAAATCTCCTCTTTTGCTTTCTTCTCTTTTTCAATGGGAGATGTTGGCCTTAAAGCAGTTGAAGGTTGCTGCTTGACAGGGGATTCTTGCTTCTCAGCGGGTGAGGATACTTTTTCGGATAATATTTCTTCTTTTTCGGTAGGAGATTTATCCAAAGGATAACTTGGCTTCTTATCAGGAGAAGCGGTTTTCTCGATGAGAGTTGGTGCTATTTCGAGAGGAGATATTGCCTTCTCTATAGGTGATGATGGCATCTTTGCAGCTGGAGACACAGCTTTTTCATTTGTTGCTGGCACTGGTTTTTCTGCAACTGGGGAAACAGTCTTCTCTTTGACCTTCTCATCATCAGCCTTATCTTCTAACTCATCTGCTGTCTCTGCTTCCTCTTCAACTTCAGCTTCTTTTCCTTCGCAAATATCTTTTTCTTCAGTTTCCTTTTCTTCCTTTGTAATTTCTTCTTTATGCGAAATGACTTTACCGCTTTCTTGTGTATCCTTTTCGTAGACGCCCAAGTCGGCTTCTTCATGCACAGGCAGATCAGCTACTTCATCTGGAGTTTTAACTACATCGCGCAGTAGATTTTGTTGTGCCTCGAAAGTCATCTTCATTGGCAGTACACGTTCTGCGGTAGCTAAACCGGCAATCACGGGCTCGGCTATCTTCTCAATGACAATGCCAGCGGCAGTTACGGCAGGTTCAGTTGGTTTAACATCTGCTACTTCATATCCAGCTGCCTGGTCAGTTTCTTTGGTTTCTTCTTTAACGTATTTCTCTTCAATTATCAAATCTTCCTTGATTTCATCGAGAGGTATGCGTTCGTCCTCGGGCAGCGTTGGCGCTGTAGTAGCGCCAGACTCGATTGTAGCCGAGAACTTCTCTTCTGGTAGACTTTCTTGTAAATTGGCAGGCATAATTTCAGGTTGTTCGATAAGCTCATCTTTGGTGTCGGAAGTTTTCTTGGTACTGCTTATTTTGTCCTCAGGCGTGGGTGAGGACAGTTCTTCTTCGGCCTTAGTTATTTGCTCTTCAGTACGCGTTGTGACTATATCCTTGGCTGTCGTAATTATTTCTTGAACCTCGGCTTTAATTTCCGACTTCTCTGGCGTAGTTATTTTAGGTGCGGGTTCTTCAACTTGTTCCTCACCTGCCTCTATTGCAGCTTCCACCGTTTCAGGTGCTTCGTCGGCAGCTGCATCCTCAAGCCGAGCTTTACGTTCTTCGGCTTCTGCTTTAGCAATAGCGGCTTCAATTTCTTCTTCGGCGCTCTTTTTTCGTTTCTTTTCCGACTCTTGTGAATCGCGTTGATGTTTTTGAATTTCCTCTTCTTTCGTCATGCTGCTTTCTTGCTCCACAATTGAATCCTCGGTATACTGATCGATCTCTTCCTTTTCAATTATCAAATACTCCTCCTCTTCTTCTGCCTCAGTAGTGCTATCCTGTTTAGACATTTCACGCATTTCAGCTGCTAATTGCTTTTGTCGTTTCATTTCATCACGGCTAAATACTGCTTCTATCTCCCGTACAACCTCTTGTTCTTCTTTAAGGTCGTCGAGTTCACGTTGCTTTTCAGCATCCAACTCTTGTGACGCGGTCAGATCTTGTAGTTTTTTAGCAGCAACTGCCTCATCTGCCGATGGTGTAGACACCAGACTGGAATCTGTGGTGCCACCCTTATCCAGGCGTGATTTCTTTAAATCCGCTTTGGGTTTAGCTGACTTGATTGGACTGCCGGGTGCACGTTTCGTTGGCGAAGCGCCGCGTGGACGCCGTGAAATCGGTTTGCGCTGTTGAGTTTGCTGTTGTTGTGTGCGTGATTCTTTGCGCTCCGCTGCAGTAGTGCGCGTCATTTCACGACGTGTGGTCGTAGTAGTGGAAGTGCTGGTAACTTGTCGTGTCGCTTGCTGCTTCGATTCGAGCACCTTGCGATTATTAGCGTCTTTTGCGCTCTTGGCTGGCGTGCTGCTGGGGCTGGATTTGGTGGCACGTGTAATAACGCGTGGTTTTACATCACGTGGTGCTGTCGGTTTGGGTGCTACAGGCTCTTTACGTGGCGTAGCAGTTGGTGAGCCCTTCTTCTCAGCAGCCAAGTCCTTCCTAACACCCTTCCGCTCCATTGATTTGGGTGGTTTGGTATCAATGCGTGAACGCACCACAGGTTTGACTTCAGCGCGTGGTTTGTCTCCCTTGCTTTTGGTAACCCTGCTTGGTTTAATTACTTCGGGTGTAGGCGTTTCTTCCTTCTGTGGTGAAGCTTGTGGCTGCGGCTTAACGATTACCACCTCAATCTTCTTCTCAGTTTCGGCCTCTTTCTCTTTATTATCCTCATCTGCCGTTTCGCCATCTGGTTTGTCCTCCTTGCTCTCTACCTGCACAACTGGTTCTGGTTCTGGCACTGCCTCATCGCCAGTCTCGGCGGCAGGCTCATCAGTGTCCACTGAGTCTTCTTTCTTGGGCAATACAATTTTCTCGGTCTCTACTTTCTCAACTTTAGTCTCTTCGATGACCTGTGCAGCGGCGGCGGCTGCAGCTGCGGCCTCTTTAGTTTTGTTGTCTTGCTGTACAGCAATAGCGGCGGCAGCAACTGGTGCAAATTTAGGTTTGGACGATATGCTCAGTGGCTCAATAGGCGCACCGATGGCGGATTTAAATGTTTTGCGTGTAGTCACCACTGTTTGTATAGCTGGTGCAATCGATTTGGCAGTGCAGGTAGAGTGCTTCATGAATTCCAGATGTTTAAGTTTTTCCAAGCCCTCTTGTATTTTAAAGTCAGGTGTGCTTCCGGGGAAGAGTATACGTGTAATGGTATCGTCTGGATTGGCTGGTTGCCATACCAGTAGTGCGCAGATCGAAACCAAGTTTTGTAACGGGAAATTGAATTCGCGTGTATCGCGCGCGGCAAAGAGACGCTGATCGCCAGAATGCCACTTCGATAAGAACTCTTTCACTTCTTTAGAGTCACGCGCAGGACTAATCACATACATATCCAGTGTGCCGTGTCCAACTTTGTGATACAGATTGATTGGCTCTTGGTTGCGATAACAGTTTTGTGGTTTCAAGTCCAGGGATTTTAGATCGCTTACCAAATTGTGGCCATGTTCGAAAAGATCAACAAGCAAGGGATCACGATCTTTATCGCCATCGGGACTGGGCAAACCACCCTTACGATCGGGCACATTTCCGAAGAAGTGTCCGATTTGTGGATAAACGTGAGCATCACGCTTTCGTGACACTACAGAACTGATACCCTGCATGTTGCTATTGTTAAGGCGTGTCATGAGGACGGCATCCAAGCGGTCTAGGTGTCGTACGAAGTCCCAGAAGCAAGATTTGCGATTAAACCCGCCATCGACTACAAAGAAGAATGATTTAGTATGAGAGATATTGACAGATGTACAGCTTACTTACCCAACATATTAAAACCATTGATGCCGAAGAGAGCAGCATCGCCCTGTCCACCGGGGAAGACATACAGTGTTGGATGTGTGAAGCGTATATTACCCACAACATCCGAGGTCTCAAGCAGCTCGCGCAGCGATGTAGGCACGAGCATTGGTGCTAGATAGTCTGTGAGGGGGGTCGAAGATATATTAAAACGTTTAAACTGTGGTATACTTTAGCGTTGTCTTACCAATAAAGGAATTTATGCCCTCACTGCTGGTGTCCAATACATCAACGGGATTGATACGTATTTTGCAGAGGCGTGCAAAACTTTTGTGTGGCAAGCTGTACCAGTGACCGGCATCGGCGCAGTGTATATTCATTGTAATTGTGTCGGCGTAGGCCCGTATGACACGCTGTACATCGTGTTCCTGAAACGCCTCCGAGAAGTCGGAGACGGAGAAGGTTCCATCCTATAGGGAAATATTGAATATGTGCATATGTATAATGGCAGGCGCTCTAACTAAATATAAGTTGGTCTATAAGATGTCGGCGGTGACTAAAAGGTCGGTATGGAATAATTTGATATATATTTGCAGCATATCGATCATTGGTCTACTATTCACTGGATTTTAAGGTAGTACAAGGATCTTCAGTTCGAAAGCTAGCAATTTAATACATTACTGTAGTGCGGTACTGAGTATAGAATTTAGTAGGCCATCTATGAATCTTGGTCTGTATATTTGAGATATACCTTTTGAACGGTAGACAGTTAATTGGTTTCTGGAATTTTTTTTATAAACCCCTAGCTCCTAATGATTAATATTTGAGAAATATTTTTTTTTGAATCGTGAGTAAGAATAATTTCTTGGATCGATTTCATAACGTTGTTAGTTTGTGCAATACAAAGAATACCTTAAAGGAATTTGATTCCTTATTAATTGGAAGCTGTATTTGATTATTATGAACAATTATCAATTATTCCAGAGTATTTTCAGCTGATTCCGCTAAGATTCCCCAAAGTTATTTGTCTGATTTTGCACTAAAAAATATTTCTTCTACTAACTTTAAGTTACTCTTTCAGATCCCTACTTTGATGTTACCTTACCCACTTACTATACCTAGTTGTCCTAAAAGTATAATATGCCAACTAAACTCTTACTTTATAAATCAAAATGGTCTTCAAATTGATCTTCAATTACGGATATCTTCTCTTATTTTTGATTGTGGTCCTTGAATCTTTCATACTCCTAACCTGAGTTTTGCTTCATTTCTAAATGCCCACTCACCTGTAAGATCCAGGAACCATTGCCAGAGAACGTATAGCCAGCGTGTATAATGTGACGATGTCGTGTAAAACTACTCAGTAGATTACGCATACATTGTATGAGTGTATTGTACTGAGGGTGTATAAGCACTTCAGTGACTAGATTCTCACTAGCATACTGAATGAGTCGTTCGCCTGTAATGAATAGAACATAATTTGTTATAATTTAATGTTGTACCATCAATATAAGCTGCGTATATAACATGTCTTTAATATCATAACTGCTTTTGTTGCTATTTTTGTATACTCATTAATGTTTAGCTAATAAATATTATATGATATTTCAAAAGCTCAGGTGAGTGATTTATTATTTAGTGTTCGCGTAAATTAGTTAGAAAAGTCATTGGACACGCTCAGTGCGGAGAGATGATTTTTTATGAAGACTACAGCAATCAAGCAGAGCTTTCTCTTTGGATTAAAGTGGAACGTGTGAGGATTGCAATGCTTATATACTTATATAAGTTAAGTGTTTTAATAATAAAGTTGTGCGGGATTTCGTTGCGAAAAAGGACTTGAAAATCTGTGATGAGTCCGAAGAGCTGCTATCCAACATATTTTAATATTTTTCAACTTAGCGCGCATTTTGCTCTAAACTGTTAGAGGGTTGTAGGCCGATTTAGGCTTACTAGATCCTTCGTGTGAGGTAACATCCAGTAGCACACCATAAATAAGAAGAAAAGAGCCAGTATTATCTCAGACTGTTCCGAATACTTATAACTTCGCTTCAAATATTGTCTGATAAAGCAGTCTATAGGACTCCATAACAAAATTCTGCTTATATTCATTTACAAAAACTTTCTCTTCTTCATCTATAACTTAACTTCTCAGCAAGAGTTGAAGAATATTTGACAGTGTTAATAGCGGAACACAACACCAATCTAACTACTAGTATCATATTTTGGTATCTATACTGGTTCTTCGCAATGAAGTACTAATTTCTGGCAAGCAAATTCTATTATTGGAAGACGGTACGGTACGCAGCTTCGACCTAACTAAGCAACGGTCAGAAACTTGCTTGGCGTACATCGATTTTCTCACTCCAGCTAACCAATTCTTTTATACGTTGACCTTAATCATATGAAAGTAGTGCTCTCATAATGAAAATGTTTTAACATATCAAGAAAAGTCCACCCTGCCAACTCTGAGCTATATAACCTTTGAAGCTGGAATATTACTTAACTTCTTACCCTCAGTCCAAGTTGGTTTTGTACCGAGACCGGAACTGTGCCTTTAAGGTCATAATCTTCATAAAATGCGGTGGGAAGGTCATAATTTTCATGATTTTGAACAAGATTTCACTCTTTTGTCTAAGGAAGCTTAGCGCATAACTTTTATTATGGTATAATGACATAACTGTTTGATTATGATATCTATGCTTGAGTTTTCTAAATTTGGAGCCAGTAGAATATAGAGACGGCAAGTTGTAAGCTTATTGTCAAATTTGACTTTGATATTAATCTGCATAATATCTCAAATAACTGTCAAGAGTTTTGCACAGTTTTTTTCTGAACCTGCTAGCAATTTCAAGTAAGTAGATAAACTCAGCCTGCTATTTCATGACATAAAGCAAAAAAAATTATCTAAGATACGCCGATTGTAAAGGAAAATTTATTATGTGTAATATTGGCTTTCACTTCGGTCGGAATTCGGAGCTCTAAAACAACAGTTAATAGCAACGAATATAATGAACTAGAAAGTTACATGCATTGTATGGGTTTTTTCCTGTCAGAATACCTCTTAAATTCAGCATATTACTTTTCAATACTTTCATTGAAGTATACATCTAGAAGCTTTGAAGTTCATTGAAACTTTCAAGTTACACATTTTGACTGAATTTTTTTTTCCCCAGTAAATATTTTTTATGGATATTAAGGCTAACCGGAACTTTGAACTTTAGTCATATAAACAAATATGTATGCATACACTTAGGATTAAGAATACATGTTGGCTTGTGAACAATTAAAATATTTATGGAAGTAATAATTTCATTAAATTTTTTAATGCTCAACTCTTAAGTAAAAATTTAGTAAGCTAAGCCTAGCACAACATTCGGCCACTTATATACCACTTTGATGGAGTATACATTTAAGAGTCAACATCATTTTAGTGTAAATAGTAAAGTATTAAAGAGAGTCATAATATCAATAAATATTTTTAAAGCTCAAGTCTTAAATGAAAGTTTCATAAACTATGTCATAAACTATTGTCATTTTGTGTAGTATACATTTAAGAGCCAGTATGACTTTTAGCTTGCAAGGAATCGAAACATTTAAAAAATTAATAATTTCAATATTTATTTTCAAAATTTAAAAAGTTAAATATTTTTTGCATCTTTGTAGGTACGAGTTAATTCAAGTTATTAGAAAGTGCGTGCTGAAAATGCCATAAAAATGTCTTTTAGGCGTATCATAGCCCACTATTAAGTGTTTTTCTTATTAAATATTTTTGGCTCAAAAGACTCGTAGGGAGAGTACATCAATTATGATAACGCCCACATTAACTTCTACTTTACGCTAAATTTTTAAATTGTCAATTTGGTGGCGCTAATAAAACATTTACGAGTAGATTTCGTGCAACAACACGCACTTGAGCTAACTTAAAACGCCGGTGTGTGCGTGCGTCTGTTGTGGCATTTGGTCACGGACGAAATCTCTTTCAATGTCATTGCTTAAAGGTCGCCATCAGGTGCTGATGTAATTAAAATATTTAATGAGCTTGTCATTACTTTCACTTTTGCAAGATTTATGAGGAACGCAGCTGCAGTGCTAGGACTGTGTGTTGTAAAAGTCCGTTGGGATTTAAAAAAAAATTAGAGTTGAGAAATTAGTTGAGTTATTGAAGTTCTGTGCGAGTTATGCTTGAGGATTTACTATCTAATTGTAATTTGAAATCAAGCGGTTTTCTTAACAGTTGCGTTTTTGGTGGAAAGCCTAAAGGATTTCCTTTTCTTAAACCGAAAATAGCAGTACGCTTGGGTGATTTAGAAGTGAATGGAAGCTCTTCTAGTTTCAGGTATAAAAGTATTTTTAGAAGAACGAAGCACATATTTTATATCAAGCCATCAAAGCTTAAGCTATGAGCCAGTGCCGAAGCGGAGAGTGCACCGCAATGGTTAATTAGTATAACTTTCTTATCTAAATTTTCTAAAAGTTTTTTCTAATATATATATCGCCTCTCGGATTTAAGGTTTGGCGTCCGAGCGAGCTTCAGATATCCTCCCTATAACACGCGAGAAGTAATATTTAATTAGAGACTATACAGAATCAAGTAATAATTCCGGCTTATTACAAGTTGAAATACAGACCATATGTTAAGTGAGGAAGTAACATATAAATTCAAAAAGCTCTGGTACTGAATCAAATATGTACAATACATTGTTTAGAATCTCACTGGTAAGGTTTAGAAACTGATTTGGCAATGAGAATATGCATGCGATGAAGAATGGTTGCATCCGTTCAGTACCTAACATTTACCCTACAACGGTAGGGTCTTGAAAATTACAGGACACCAGAGTTTTTTGGGCGCAGATTTTCGTGTCAAATATACTTTCAGTGGCTATAAAATAACGGTTGAAGTATGATATCAGTGTGGGAAAACTTTTTCTTTATTGAAATTTCATCCGAGTTTGGATTTGTACTTACGACCCATGTAGTGCTTTGGTCATACACTCAGGACACACGGTAACAGATATTTTCTAAAATTCTGAAACAAACAATTACGCGAAAGAAAATATCTTAAGGTAAGTATGTACAAAAGCTATAAAAACAACAGTTTACTATCGCTGTCAAATTCTTAAACATATCTATTTTAATGTCGTGTTGCATGCTTTTAAGCAGATTTGATTGAAAAATTTTCAATTGAATAAAATTCACTTAAATAAATAAGAATATTACATTTCACAAGAAGTTCTTAAACAGTTAGACATAACTTCAGTGAAATAATTGTATAATAAAAAGAATTTTGTGTTGCATACTTTGAGGCTATCTACATTTGTGAAATAAATATGTTTATATAAAATTATGAAAATTAGTTACATTAGCTGAGGATGCAACTTATCAGCACTTCAGTGAAATTTATAGACACAAATTATAAATTTATGTTGCATACTGTAATGCTGATTAGAATTTTCAGTTATGCGAAATACAAGTTTGCATGAAAAGATGTTGCACGAGGCAAAAATATGACAATCAGATAAGATATTTCAGTAAAATTTATAAGAAAAATTTTTGAAATTTTTATTGCATACTTTTGGGCTATGCATTCAACCATATTAAAATTTGCAGACCCACAAAATTGATGGCATTTGGATAACAAATGAAATTTTGAGGTAAAAAGAAAAACAATTTATAATTCTTGAAGCATATGCTTCGCCGTAAGGGCTGGTTTTATTGAATAAGACGAATAAGCGAACATTTTTTTTTTAATAAAATAACAACTATATAGTACATAACTGTATTTATATATTAACACGTATATTTGGGTATTATATTTCATTTTACCTGTTCAAGGTGAGCTAATAGTGTCATGGAGTTCTCCATAATATGAAATTTCGGCACGCTCATGTTCACAAACATACATATATATTTATATATACACACATTTATATTTATTGAATATGTTAATATATATGTATATACTTCCCCTATACATATTTCATATGTAAATTGTTGATTTTGCTTAAAGGGGATGCATTTGTGCCCTTAAAACGCAAGTGCCTGTGTGAAACGCCTAAATGTGTGCCTTGAAAATAAAGTTCCGCCGCACGCATCAGCATACACATACATATACACACCAAACTACTAGACAAAAAAAACATACAAATAAATAAGCGCAAATTACAAGGTCAGCAACGCCCACAATTTGAGTTATTTTCACAGTTTTTTAACACGCACACACACTCATGCATGGCTGCATATATGCAAATTGGTAATGGGTTTTATAGCAGCTTCATTTTTTATTTGTGCCCCACTGGCCAGCGTTGCCGCCTAGTACTAAGCACTTAGGTGATATTATTTTACAACAGGCGATATTTTTTTGGACGGTCGCACGCCATGATTGTCCTTTCTTCCGGTTGAGTGCATCCGACATGTATGTGCATGTGAGCGGAAAAAATAGTACATATGTGGGTGTAATAT